TTGTGATATCCATTGGGCTTTTTGATCAAAAAATAGAAAGTCATAAACACACGACTTGCGTCTAGCAAAAATTCCTATATGTCCCTTATGCCACATCTTTAAACTTTTCTGTTTGAATGACTAATGGCTTCGTTTGCATTCCGATTCGATAACAAAATCCGACAGTCAAAATCCAAAATCAAATTAAAATTAAAACGAAACGAAATTTTGCATGACGTTCGACAGTTGCCGAACAAATGAAATTCAAAATGGAATTAAGATTTGCTTTGCGAACGTAGTCTTAACGAAGTGAGGCATTTGAGCAAAATTAAAAACAAAATTAAGTTCACTTTTGTCGTGTGAATAATCCAAATCTGAAAATTTGCGTTTAAGTCGAGGCGACCATAATTAATTTTTATATTGTTGCCCTAAATATAAAATTTTGCTCCCTGTGGGACATACATTTCATGTTTGGACACACTTCTCCATATCGTTTACTTAACAAAATTAGACATTTCTGTCAAATCAATGGTCGGCAAAAAACAAACACACCAGGACTAAACTTGAACGTGATTTCTTGTAGTTAAACTCTACAAAAGCAGATCTCACATTATTCATTTTCCACATAATGTGCTCCAGAATAACCAAAATATAATTTTTAAGTTATAAAAAAAGACTACATACCACACTGCAGTTTTTGAATATTTCTTTTATATATTATTTTCCTTTTATTTTTTTAGTTGGATTTCAATATCGATTTATTTTTTATATATTTTTATATTAGTTGACTGTTGTTTTTAGTTAAATATTGTTAAACTTTTCCTTTCGATCGTGCCATTTTGATCACAATTTTATTTACAAATGAAATAATATAATATAAAATGAATTTTTGTTGTTGTAGTTCACTACTGTTCGAAAAACCTCTTTATCAAATGAAATTATGTATTTTTTTTTCTTTTTTTTTTTTTTTTATTTTTTATTATTAACGATTCTTCAATTAAAGACAAAAATCGTTTTAATATTGCACCTAGTACAAATAACAAAAAAAAGGTACTAATAAGCAATTTTATTTGAATATTTAATGTAAAAAAAAAAATGAAGCTATTTTGCTACTCGCTGCCCATTAAGTCTGCCACTGTTTTCCTTTTTAGCCGTCTAAATATTGCAACCACCTGGAGAAGACTGGATGCTGTAACGTTGACATGTGTTTTCAATCGCTGTTTGTGAGCAATGGCACACCTTTTTGCCACGACGTCGACTGTTGGTATGTCAAGGTCACGGTGGAGATCACTGTTTCTAATGTAATATGAAGCATTTACGATGTATCGTAGTACTTTATTTTGAAAGCGCTGGATAGTTGCAATGTATTTCTTGCTGGCACAACCCCAGAACTGTATGCCATAACTCCAAGCCGGCTTTAGTATTTGATTGTAGACCATTAGTTTGTTGTGGATTGCCAGTTTAGAGCGCCTGCCTATGAGGTGGTAAAATTTCTTTAGTTTTAGGTCAAGCTCTTCTCGTTTTTTCTTAACATGCGCTTTCCAGCGCAGCTTGGCGTCAAGCGTAATGCCCAGATATTTGGCTTCGTTGGCGTGTGGAATTTTTGTGGCATCGATATGAATTGGAAAATGGTTATAATTTCTCAATGAGAAGACTATATGTACTGATTTTTCCGTATTGAGCTTGATTCTCCATTTTTTTGCCCATGAAGCAATTTGATTGACTGTGTGTTGCAGATTAGCCGTCGCGTCTTCTATATTGTTTTCGATTGCTAGAACCGCAGTATCGTCTGCAAATGTTGCTGTAACTAGTTGGTTTGCAGAGGGTAAGTCGTGTGTATACAGGAGATATAGAATGGGCCCAAGAATGCTCCCCTGCGGGACGCCTGCGCTAATCTTCTTTAGTGCTGAATGTGCATCTTCATATTTAACACTGAAGTACCTGTCGTTTAGATACGATGATAGCAGCTTACAGTATTGTATAGGCAATAATGATTTAAGTTTATGGAGTAATCCTTCAAATGAAATTATGTATGAAATTCTTTTTTTGCCAGATTACCATTTTTACTCGAAAGAAAATGATTGTTGTCGAAGAAAAGTATAGATGATAGTATTATGTAAATAGTATAGTATGTAGTATAATACATTTGATATAAGATATTACAACTTAATATATTATTATTACCAATTACATTTGACTGTAGTTATATTATAAGTTCAGGGGTCAAATTCAAATTTAATTTATGAATTAAAATTGCTACAAAATACCAGTAAATGAACATAAACTCACCTGAAATTGAACATATGGATGTGAAACATATGTGGTCTCAACTGGACGTTCATTCTGTTGCGAGAAAAATTTTCGTGATATGTAATTTTACGTTTTGATTACCAGGATTAAGTGATTTAGTTGCACTGGACTATTTTCATATGGATTTAAGTAAAAGATTGTGTTTGTGTGTACAGTCCTGAAAATTTCAACGTTTCTGTCGAGTTATGGTCGAGCTATGTGCGAATCCTCAGATATAATCTTGAAAGTATTTAGTGCTGTTACATGTCCATTAAAGATATTGGTATGTTGTATTTACCACAAAATGACATGGTTTAAGTATTGAAAATAAACTGGAGGAAAAATTTTAAATAAGTTAACGATGTTTACCAATTTATCACTTATAAGAATAGATTCTTTTAAATTTAAATTATATAGTCCATGAATAGTTTCTGTTAAGTAATAAGAAGTAATATAAATCTTAAAGAAAGCATATAAATGGTTTAAAAAGTATGATTTGTTATAAAATTATAAAATAGCTTTAAAGGAAGTTTATGGATGTGTTGGAAATATTATTTATTAAATGAAATTCTGATTTAATATATAGTTTTAGTTGAACGTTCCATTAGTTCTTTGTATCCAATTTACCGAAATATTCAAATAACATAGACAAGATTTTATTATTACCAATAATATTAAAAACAACTGTTTATATATATTATATTCTTAACGCACAATAAGTTTATTTTGTCTGTTTTATGTTCGTATAGATTCAGATAAATGTTAATTTAAGCTCGGAAATATGTTTGTGCTGCTAAAAAAGTTGTCTGGAAGACAACACAATTAGATACGTAAATTTAAAAATAGACTCAAAAATCAAATTCCATGGTAAGATAAACATAATTCAACAAAAAACTCATACCCGTAAAAAAAATTACATGTGAGGATGCTACTTCCATAGATTATAATAAATAATACTAATTGGTATTGATATGGTAATATGACACAATGATATATATATATGATATATATGATATATATATATTTTTAAGAAATCATTTTAGAATTTATTTTAGTTAATAAAATTGAAAAATGGCTTTTCATAGTTTTCATTACAACTAGAATATTAAAAAATTTTCAATGTTTTGAATTGAAGACGGTAGTTTAGGTGAGCATTTTGTACGTAATTAACAGAATCGTATGCTTTTTTACAAATGGTCCGATAAAACAGAGGTGTATTGTGCAAATTCATGTGAAAAATGTACTATGGTGGCATAGAGATTTCACGTAGTGTATTAAATTGGGTCTTTTAATGCAGTGTGACTTACTGTTACGTTAAATTTTTTATAAACACTAAATACAAATAAAAGTAATTGTGATTTAGTCTGAAATTACTTTCTATGTTGAGGCTAGTTGAGTTGAGTCAGTGCACCTGAGCACTTTTACTCTCTATTAACTGCGAGGTTTCTACAAAACCCCTCTTTGCACCTTGACTGGATTATTGTTTATCCAGTGTTTATTATTGTTCACTTCATTAGACTAAGCAATAATTGACCTCAGATCTGCATATCTCCCCGAGGAGCCTGTAACCATTCTGAGATTTGATAACGCGGTGTTAGTAAGTCTGTCAGATTTCGCAAATAATTTCTGGGCTCTATCCTTTATGTATTTTTTGATGGGATCAATCTTGAGGTCCCTGAGGATGTCATTCGTCCTAATGTACCAAGGAATTTTGAAAAGTCTTCTCAGAGCCTGGCTTTGTGCTATTTCTAACTGGTGTATAGTAGTGTTTGAAGCTTTGCTAAACGCTACACAACCATATAGAAGTGACGGACAAATTATTTGGTTGTATATCAGTTTCCTGTTCTTAGCATTGAGGTTTTCATTTCTAAATAGCGGTTGGAGGTAATGAAGAATTTTGGCGCAGCTAATTCTTTTCAGTTGAACATGTTTAAGCCATGTGAATCGTTTGTCCAACGTGATGCCGAGATATTTAACGCTATCCTCCCAGTTTATCACCATATCATCCACTCTCACTCTTGACGGATTCTGTCTCCACTTCTGTCTCCAATATAGATTTTTGTTATAACCCTGATTGTAGATGACAATGATAAAGACATTCTGATATATCTGTTAGAAAATGAAGAATTTATAAACATTAGGGAGTTAACTAATCATTACCTAAATACTACTCAGCCGAATATATTAGGAAAGTAATTTTTACTACGACTAAATCATCTAATCATCTAATTTCTGTACATCACGCAACATATTTCAATGGAATAACGTTTTTTTTACATATAAACAAAAAAAAAACACTGCTTTCATTTATAATAATTATCTTGGCCTATTCTCGTTCTTTCCTCTGATGAAATCATATTTTTGGTTGAATATAGCAAAAACGGTTTCTGCAGCAAAAACGTATAAATTGCTGTAATTAAGTGTAAGCGTTTCGTTACGGGTTTCAAACACTTGAACTTTGACTTTTAATTGTGCTACAAGTAAATGTGTACGTTTTTACGGAATGAAATCCAAATGTTTTTATGTAGTATTTGGCGATTGCAGTTAAGCACTTGTTGAATGCCATGAGTTTGCTTTAGTCTAAGTACATTAAAAATATTAAACAGATGAGTTAATAATGCAACAGATTACCTTAATACTTTAAGGTAATCTGTTGCAATAGTAATAATAGTTACATTAATTAAATTTTTATATTTTAATCTAATTTTTTTTTTTATTTCCATTATTTTCAGATAAAATTAACAAAAAATGTTTAAACGACCGCCAAATATTGAACTAATTTTGCTGCTGGCATGTTTTGCTCTAGTAAAATGTAAGACTACAATCTCATACTATGTTATTTAAAAAGTTTTTGAGCATATATATCTTATATATATGCATATATCTCATATATATGTATATGTCTCATATATATGTATATATCTCATATTTTTGTCTATATCTCATATTTATGTCTATATCTCATATATATGTATATATCAGATATATATGTATGTGTCTCATATATATCTATATATCTCGCAGTCTTATTAAAATTTTATTGAACAAATATTTTACATATCAATACTTTAAGATGAAAATAATGTTTCGAAAGATATTATCAAATTAATTACATAATAATTTGCTATTATACCTAATTGTGTCTTAGGTGAGACAAATCTTCCACCTGTGTTTACTCAATCATTAAATAATATTGTATTATTTGAAAATGTGGCGGTAGGAACCGTGGTATATAAACTCGAAGGTTATGATCCAGAGGGTAGTAATGTTACCTTTGGCTCAATTGGATCTGAAAATTTTGAAGTAGATCCTATATCAGGAAATATAACACTTATAAAACCTTTGGACAGAGAAGAAAAGGAGAGTATAACATTTTTGGTTACAATTAAAGACCGCGTCAATCCGGATGGAGAATCTGAACAAGATAATGTAGTTGAGGTGCCAATCACATTTATTATACTGGATGAAAATGATAATGCACCAGAATTCGAAAATGTAAGTTTCGAATATTATTATTATTATTTAACTAAACTAAATTTTATTTTTATTACAATAAACTTAAGTATACAAAGACACTTTACGTTTCAATTTACATATATTAATATAACTTACGACTTCTCTACATAATTTTCAAACTAAATCAAATTTTGTGTTTTGCAGAAAATCTATTTCGTTTATATTAAAAAATGCTGAAGTTGTTTTTATAATAAAAATTAAAATAAAAAATATTTTTTTAAATAAAATTTTTTTAATCAGTGTATCAAGGGATTTGGTATTAAACATCTGTTTAATACTACCTACAATTCGCGAAATGTCGGTATTCAGACTATGCTCGGTAAATCGGAAAAAATTAAAACTAAAGTAAAATCTTTTTTTTACGATTTTTTATTTCCACCGATTTTCTTTCTTTATTTACTTTGAATACTTTAAATTTTAAATTAAATTTAAATTTTATGCAACAGTTCACAAAAATAAGAATCAACTGATGTTTTACCGAACACCGAAAAAATTATCTGATCTGATACTTTAGTAATTTGTTAACTTGTTAACGTTGTTGTTTCACAAAAACGAATGTACATAAAGTTTTATCACCTTATCGAGTTACTGAGCACGTGTGAATACCAATATAATTTAAAAAAAAAAGTTTTTTATTTTATTTTTAATTGTAGAAAAAAAATATAAAGTATCTTCATTTAAATAAAAAATGGTTGATTATTTAATATATCGTGCACTTATATATACTTTTTCATGTGATTATTAATAATGCTAATAAATAATTAACGGCAATTATTCTACGCTATTTTTTTACTTATTCCAATTCAACATTTTAATTCTACTCCACTTACAGACTCCATATGAAGCTGATGTTAATGAAGACGCTCCTGTAGGTACTACCATTTTTGATAAAATTCTTGTCAAAGATCGTGATACAATTGGTGATAGTTTGGACTTAAAATGTTTACCGCAGTCACAAAGTCCAGAAGCCTGTAACAAGTCAGTATTTATTACAATATTATTGTTGCAAAAATAATGTACGTATTTTTAAAATTTGCAGATTCCGTTTAGAAATATTGACACGAGAGCCAACCATACTAACAGCATCGGTAGTAGTTAACGACACTCTAAACTACAATCAACGCATGATATATCATTTCCTGATAAATGCAACGGTAATACTTTTACTGGACTCTTATCCTTCAATTATACACGTCAAGCTTTACATATAATGTTATCAATTACTTACTTAAGTATTATGTATGTTGATCCTTTTTTCAAGTCAGCGCAACTGGGCACTTTTACTCTTTGTTAGCTGGGGGTACTACAGGGTCCCACCCATCTCATTGACTAAATTATGTATTCCCTATAAGCTTCATGATTATTGAGTGATTGATCTAAGATTTGCGTATCTCCCCGTGCGGAGAGTGATTACTCTAAGATTAGATAATGTAGGATAGCCTGTTAATTTTCGCATATAACTATAGGGGTCTGTTGCTTATGTATTTTTTGATCGGATCTATTCTAAGGTCTCTTAGCATCATTTTAACTATAAGACCGTCGTGCCAGACCTTGTCAAATGTCTTGGCGATGTCAAAAGTAATCATACCCGTTAATTCCCTTCTGCTCAGGGCAGACTGTATCATCTGAGCTGTTCGCACCATTTGTAATTCTGTGGAAAGCTCTTCCCTGAAACATAATAATATATCAACCGAATTAGTTAACCGTACAAAAGACCCTTATTGTGAAGACCCTTATCTTAATTATTTATACAATTATAATGTTATAATTGTGTCTTAGGTTTTAAAATTACAATTTTCACTATAGGAACATCTTATTGTGAAACTGAATTTTGCCAAGGTTTTAGACAATTTTCGCTATTTGTTGGAGACCGGTTGCTATATTATATTTTATAAGTAGTCATTGTATATTTTGAAGCGCTAAAAAACTTCAAATATTAAGGAAAATTTGTCTTGCTTTCTTATGACTAAAAAATAAATAAAGATCTTAGCAGTCCAATCATTGAAACAGAATTTCAGTCCGAATGACGGCATTTTTCAAAGTACCAAATACCGATTTTTCCTTGTTAAAATAAATATAATACTATTATCAGCTTAAATGAAAACCGTATCTCTATATGACATAGATGGCTTTAATATCTGAGCCTTTCCTGACTCCTGCATCTCTCACTGGTAAACTGAATTACTGTCAAGATTAGATTTCTTTTATTAATGAAATAATAAAATTTGTAAATTTAAATATTATTTTTGATGTAAATTATAAAATATTATTTAAAATAAATGATATTGAATATTGGAGAAGCCAAGGGTATGTCGAGTGAATATAAAAAATAATTATTTTAAAAGACCAGACTAACCTATATATTTATATATAAGTTACTATATTTATATGGATCTCTATAAATATAAATAGTATTTATTCAATAATTATAAAAACATACCAATTATATTTTAACGTCTTTTTAAAAATAAATCGTTTTTATTTTAATATTTTTTATCTACTTTTAAAGGATGGCCAACATCAGTCACAAACAAATTTTGAAGTACGTGTAAAAGATATACAAGATAAGCCACCAGTTTTTCAAGGTTCTATGTCTACTGTCATAGACGAGGATAGTCCCATTGATACCTTAGTACTAAAAGTGCAAGCACGAGATGGAGATACTGGTGAACCTCGTAAAATTGTTTATGATTTATTAACAAGTAAGTTTTAATTATATTATTTACGAATATATGGTACAGTTGGAAAATAAGGACTAAGGAATTTAATTTCTTATCTGTAATCAAGAATCAAGATTTAACAAGTAATAAAGAAGATTTCAATTTAGCCTAATATTTCAATTACTAATATAAATTGTTAATAAACAGATCCTATGGACTACTTTTTGCTGGACGAGTATAGTGGTGAGCTGCGAACGGCCAAACCCTTAGATCGTGAAACTTTACCAGATAGCACCGGTCTTATTACTTTGCAAATAAGGGTAATAAAAAATATGTTTTATTTCTCTTATGATATTTTAAAATTTCGATTTTAAAGGCTCGAGAACTTGTTAATGGTATACCCAGTAATGAACCCTCTGCAAGTACCATAGCTCCTGCAACCATAACCATACGTGATGTTAATGATTCACCGCCAACTTTTAACAAAATGGAATATGAAGTAGAATTGCAAGAGAATACTCCGCCTGGCACACCATTGGCTTTAGATATGAATGTTACTGACCGTGATGTGGGTAGTAATTCCAAGTTCGCATTACGTTTACAAAATTTCGCCGATGTTTTTGAAGTTGATCCGAAATTTGTAACAGGTTATTCTCAAGTAAACATACGTGTTGCAAATCATACCTTAGACTATGAGAATCCAAATCAACGTAAATTTTTTGTGCTACTCGTTGCTGAAGAAACCGATACAAATCCAAAACTAACTTCTACCGCTACTATTAAAATTACTGTAGTAGATGCTAATGATAATAAGCCAACATTTGAACAGGATTCATATTCCACTACAATATCAGAAGCTGCTGTACCAGGGCAGTATATAACTACTATAACAGCTAAAGATGCTGATTCTGGCATGTTCGGAGAAGCTGGTATACGTTATAGCTTAACAGGTGCGGGGGCCGAATTGTTTCATGTTAATGAAGTAACGGGTGTGATTACATTAGCCGATTGTCATCATACATTGACAACTGAAACTCAGAAAATTACAAGTCAACGTCAAAGACGTGATACTGAGGAATTCGTAACGTTACCTAATTTAAATACTAATGAAAATTCTACAAAAAATTTTTACAACAGTCTCATTAGCACAGTTGAGATTAGCACCGCAGCAAGTGTAGAATATATGGTGATAACACAACCTAGCAATACCGACAACACTAACAAGTTGCCCAGTGAAGCGTTGCCTACGTGCCTAGATTACGAAACCGAAACCACGTACTTCTTGTCATACAAAGTAAGTTGTTGATATGCATGTGTGTGTCATGCAGTTGGTTGTCTACTTTTCTATCTAGATATACCAATAAATGCAAGTCTGTGTAGGTTAAACCGTGTTTTCAGAATTTTTTCTTATATCCATTTTTTGTGAAATAGCAAACGTGCAAATTTTAGTGGAAATGTGTTTGTAATTGTTTCCTTTCTGAATTAAATTTTAGGCAACGGATGATGATGGTCAGGGACAAACCTCTGTTGTGTCGCTGCGAATATCAGTATTGGATGCAAATGATTCGCCACCAGTTTGTGAAAGTCCCTTATACCGTGCTTCAGTAGATGAAGGTTCACACGTTTTTGATTCACCATTGATTGTTAAAGCAAGAGATGCGGACAAGATATCAGACATAACTTACAGGTATGAGAAGGGAACTATAAAAAGAAATCTAAGAAATAATTTAAGAAATTTTAAAAATGAAATAAAAAATATTTAATTTTATTCTTGTTTTTTTTCAGCATTATTGGCAGCAAGCAGGTTGAACAAATTTTCGACATTGATAAACGCTCCGGACAGATAACTATACGACCTAATGCTACACTAGATGTCACGCACTTAAAGACAGATAATCTCATTTTCAGTGTAGAAGCCAATGATGGTATTTTTACTACAAATTGTGCCGTTAATATAACTGTGCGTGATGTGAACAATCATGCGCCTCATTTCCTGGCTGAAAAATATTCAGCAATAGTAGAGGAAAATTCAGAAATTGGTACTAATGTTGAAAAATTGCAAGCTGAAGACTTGGACTCCGGCATTAATGCGGAATTACGGTTAATTTTGTTCATTTAAAAGTTTAGGAAAGTTTAATTTTATTTTTTAAATTTTAGATATCGTATACAACAAGGTAGCTTTGGAGATTTTCGTATTGATGAGCACAGTGGTGAAGTTTTTGTGTCACGGAAATTGGATTATGATCGTCGGAATACATATCAAATAGAAGTTTTAGCTTCTGACCTAGGAATACCAAGCTTAACTGGAACTGCAACGCTGACTGTCACAATTAATAATAGCAACGATAAGGATCCATATTTTACGCCAGCAACACAACATGCAGAGGTGCGCTTTACTTTCAAAAATGCTTCAGAAGTTATTCTAAAAAAAAATAAATTTAATTATATTTACTTACATTATTCATTCTTTTATATATTTATTTTCACTTTAAAGGTACGAGAAGATGTACCTGTAGGCACAATCGTTTATACATTAATTGCTGTTGATCCTGATGCCACACATGATGCATTGGAATTTGCCGCAACTGATATTACTGCTATTGATAAAGATGGTAAAGAAGTGCCAAGTACTGAAGATTTTAAGACATATTTCTCAATAAATCGTAATGGAAAAGTTATTGTTAATAAAAAATTGGAGCGAGATATATTTGCAGTAAATTTTTAATGATGTTATTTTTTTAAAACAAAAAATATTAATATTATAATTTCAAAATAGGTTATACGAATCAATGTATTGGTAACCGATAGCACTGCACCAACTGTACAACAAGGACGTGGTTTACTGATAATACAAATTATTGATGTCAATGAAGTACCACCGGTATGTACAACTATATTATTATACATTTAATGTATATTTCATAATATCAATTGCTAAAATATTTTTTTTTAAAATAAAATAAAATGTGGACCATATGTGCTGTTTCTCTCATAATACAAATTTTGTATTTGTTTAAATATTCAAGCAAATTTTATATTTGTTTAAATTTTCAAGCAAATTTTATATTTGTTTAAATTTTCTTAAAAACTATGGTAGAATAGAATTAAATAAACAGATAGCTAAATATAGTTTATGTATATACCTAAGTGTGATTTACAATTATAGGAGATCTAGATTAAGTTAGTTAAGGGTTACTTATTTCACATTATATACATATTTCAAAAAAAAAAAAAATAAATAAATGAATTATATTATTAATGTTAATAATCGTTAACTTAATAATAAGTTAAGTCTACATTAACACTAACTATCTATAATATGCAATATATGTATACAAATATTTAATATTATACGGTACGCGCATATGTAAGTAGGAGTCTTAAAAATAGTTAGTGATATTCATGTTACAAAGTTTAAGAGGTATGATAAATGCCTTCCTTTAGCTGTGGTGTTATAAATTCCGTGGCATCGGTACACAACCGCATCATAGCCTCAGTGAGCAAGTCCATTCTTGTTGTAGTGATAAGAGTGTAAGGAACATGATATTAAACTGTGCTAAACGCTGAGATATTTGCTAAACTTTGGTTAAATCTTTTAATGCGGCACAGTATATGATTGTTGCTGTAGAGGTTATTGTATTTATGTCACACTAGAAGTAGTATTGGTGAGAGATATTTTTCTTGCAGTAGATATGTAATGATATGCTCTTGAGATGCATAATATTTTATTATCATATTGTTCATAGTGGACATACGTGACACAAATTTGTTGTAAGAGTTATTCCTAAGTATTTCATTTTTTTTCACTGCCTTTGGTTCCTCACCGTCTACATATCCTCTCCGGAAAAGATAACGAGAAAATGAAGATAGTTTTCATACCCTTATCCAATAATTATTGCTTTCGATTTTCACAACCTCAGATTAAATAAAATTTACGCTATAGTGGTACCAAAACAACTCTTATATTATAAAAGATCAATAATCATTAATTATCTTATTATGACCATTGATCATAATTATCTTATTTATACTGTTATCTGAATAAAACTATTTAATATAATATTTTTAAATATTATATTAAATGCATTTAAACATTTTCGAAGTAACGACTCAAAAATTAAAACAAAAAATAAATCATATAATAATTTAAAATAAATTCATATTTTATAGAAATTTAATCCACCATGGACTGTAGAAAACCCTGTCATCAAATTGCAAATGACCGAAGAGCAACCAATTGGTTCAGTGTTAACAACTTTACAAGCCTATGATGAAGACTCCACAATTGGTGAATACAATATATCACCAAATAATTACTTCGAAATAAATAAAACCACTGGTGTTATAACTACAATATCTCGCATTGATTATGAAACACTTAAAGAAGTGAAATTTACTGCTACCGTCACAGATACTGGAATGCCAGCCCTAACATCCACTGCTGATGTAACAGTAGATATAATTAATCTGAATGATAATGAACCACATTTCAGTCAGTCCGAATATCATTTTAATATAACTGAAAATTCACCACGTGGTACAGTTGCCGGCAAAGTAGAAGCAATAGATGCGGATAGCAACGTATTTGGAGAAATAACTTATTCACTTATTGGGGAGAACAATAAATATTTCTCAATTGATGCTTACACGGGTAGTATAATGGTTGCTGATTCAACCATTTTGGATCGTGAAAAAATCAGCTTAATAACTCTTACTGCAGTAGCACAAGATAAAGCACCAGCAACAGTGCAAAAAACAGCAACTGCTGTGGTGAGTATTTTGTAATAATTAGATTAATTAGATTCATAATTAGATTATTATGTAATAATTAATTAAAGTAATTAAGTAAAATAATTAATTTAATATTTATTTTTTAATTTAACAGATATTTATAAATGTTTTGGATGTAAATGATAATGCACCAATATTTACACAAGATGAATATACAGCCACAGTGGCCGAAAATGCTGCTGTAAATCCACCAGCTGCACTTTTGCAAGTTAAAGCAGATGATCTAGATGAGGGAATTTTTGGTGATGTACGTTATGTTATCACTGAAGGAAATGTGGATGGATTATTTAAACTGGACTCGCAGTCTGGTATTATTTATCCTGCACAGAGTTTAAATGGTAAAAAAGGTGTTTATGAATTAACTGTGTTGGCACGAGATACACAAGGCTCCGGTACCATGGAAAGCACTACGACAGCAAAAATTACAGTAATGGGAGTTAATCAACATCGTCCAGTATTTGTTATACCAGCGTCATCAAATGCCACTATTGAAATACCAGGCGTAAGATATAAAATAACGTTATTTAAATATTAACTGAATTTTTTTAAAATTTCTTATATTTCTTACAACAGGACATTGTACCAGAAAATTATTTACTTTTAACTGTTAAAGCCACAGATAATGATACTGATGAAAATGGTCATATAACTTATCATTTGAAGGTAATTAATTTACCTTTTAAAAGAAGAATTGTTAATAATTGTTGGAATGTTTTTGCAGATTAATGACCAAAACTTGCAAGAAACTCCTGAATTTAAAATAAATGCAGAAACTGGTGAATTAAGCACCAAAAAGGAACTCAATCGAAAATACCGGGCAAAGTAAATATATATATTATAAAAAATTTTTTATATGACAATGTTTAGAACAATGTTTTTATTTTCAAGTTACAACATTGTTTTGGTTGCACGTGATGCGGGCAATCCTAAACCATTCGAAACTCTACGTTTCCTTAGTATAAGCATTCTTGACGAAAACGAAAATACACCGGAATTTTTAGATGTAAATAACCCATATAAGATATCAATAAATGAAAACAGTGGTCGTAATGTTAAAGTAGGACACATACAGGCATCAGTACGTAGCAAACATAATAAGGACGTTTATTACTATATGTTGTTAGGCAATGAAGATGGTGCGTTTGTTGTTGATAAACGAACCGGAGACATCTATACGAATAAAAGTTTAGATAGGTAAGATTACAATGCAATACATTTTTATTTATATCACAGTTTTAATTTTTTTTAACGATTTAGAGAAACAACCGAATTTTATACACTTTATATATTGGCAAGCGTTAAATATGATTTACATATTTCTGACGAGGAACGTGCTTCATTTTCGATTAAGACCTTGGATCGCGATAATACTGTAGCTAAAGTTTGGGTTACAGTACTGGATGAGAATGATAATGCACCAGTGTTTGAAAAGGAAGTATGTTGAAACTGAACTTGATTAGAGAATAAATTAATATTGAGTTATTTATTTGAAATGTTCTATTCAGATTTATTATGCTGGGGTGAATGCCAAGTCTACAACCAATACATTAATAATTGTTGTTAACGCTACAGATGCGGATGAGGGTAAAAATTCCAAAATAGAATATATGATCGTTGCATCCAATTTATACAAATATGGTGCAACTAAATCTACTGGCTCAATTGTACCAAGTCCATTTAGTAAGTATTATATCGACAATTGTTTAATAACAACTTCATTATTTAATTACAAAATACTAACACAAATACTGGAAGAAATCACTACTCAAGAAAACTTTTATAAAGCATTGGACAAACGCTTGACTAGGCTAGAGCAAAAACTCAACAAAACAAATAATGCTTAGTTATATAAAAATAATGGTATGGAACTCGAACGGTCTTCTTCAACACCTTAGAGAGCTTGAAACAGTCCTATCAGTCAAAGATGTTGATGTTTGCTTAATTAGCGAAACTCATTTTACTAACCAAACATATGTTAAACTAAAGAATTACAAAATATATAGCGCAGTCCATCCTAGTAATTACGCTCGCGGAGGAAGTGCTATTTTAATTAAAAAATCGTTAAAACATTATGAGTCTACAAAAATATCCAAAGAGGAATTCCAGGCAATAACTGTTGTCCTTGACTTACAAAGCAAATTACTACTAACATCGGTATACAGTCCTCCAAGACATTCAATTAAATCCGAACAATACAAAGATCTTATAAAAACTCATAAGCATCGCTTCATTATGGGTGGCGATTTCAACGCTAAACATACGCATTGGGGCTCTCGCCTAATTACAACGAAAGGTAGAGAACTCCTCAAAGCTATACAGCAAACTGGCTGCGAATGCTTGTCATCCGGGATCCCAACCTATTGGCCAACTGACCCAACAAAGGTGCCTGATCTACTCGATTTCTTTATAACCAAGCAAATTTCGTCCTACAATTTAAAAATAACAGATGGAGCAGAACTAAGCTGCGACCATTCCCCTCTCTACATAACCCTCTTCGAATCTGCCTTAATAAATAAAAAATGTCTAAAACTTGAAAATAAATACACGGATTGGAGTTACTTCAGAAGAATCCTTAATGAAAACACCATTGCTTCAAAAGAAATTTGTGAAGAAAATGATCTTGAAAGCGAAATTTTGAACCTTACAAATTTACTACAACATGCGGCATGGTGCAGCACGCCCACATTAAGGAATGCAACCTATCCTCATAAATACCCAAAAGTCATTGTGGATCTTATGCGGGAAAAAAGAAAGATGCGGAAAAAGTGGCAGCAAACCAGATTTCCAGCAGACAAAGCCACTCTTAACAGACTTGCAAAAGAACTCAGCCTAAAAATCAAGCAATTTAAAAATAATCAATTCAACTACTACCTATCTAACTTAAGTAATGATCGTGCTACCAACTATTCTCTCTGGAAATGCACACGAAACCTTAAACGACCTTTAGTACACAAAGCTCCAATTAAAAATCACGTTAATCAATGGGCTAAAAGCGATGAGGAAAAAGTGGAGGTCCTCTCCGAACACCTGTCAAAAGTGTTCTCCATAGACGAAAACGTTAACAATGCAGTAATCTGCCCTCCTAGGACAGCACATTCATCCTGTATTCCACCAACCACTGAGCTTGAGGTAATGATGATTATTAAAAATGAACTTAAGCTAAAAAAAACCCCAGGTTATGAATTGATAAATGCTGAAGTTTTGAAAGAAATTCCTACAAAATGCCTAGTTAAAATTACGAATATATTTAACGCTATAATACAGATGCGAACCCTTCCATCCCTGTGGAAAGTATCTGAAATTATCATGGTACATAAGCCAGGAAAGGATATTAATGACGTAAGTGGTTACAGACCAATAGCACTTCTGCCTGTACTTTCAAAAATATTTGAAAAAGTCTTACTGAAAAGAATCCTTCCTCTGATTGAAAGTCAAAACATAATACCTTTACATCAGTTTGCTTTTAGGTGCAATCACTCCACCATAGATCAAGTCCATAGGATTACCAATGTAATAGAAAAAGCTCTTGAGGAAAAAAAATCTGCTCAGCTGTGTTTTTAGATGTCTCGCAGGCTTTCGATAAAGTCTGGCACTCCGGATTGCTTACCAAAGTAAAAAATATTCTCCCAACGGAGTATTATGACGTAATCTCCTCTTACTTATCTGATCGTTACTTTCGAGTAAAGCACGGTGATGCCTATAGTAAACTGCATAAAATTAACGCTGGAGTTCCGCAAGGTAGTGTTTTGGGTCCTCTCTTATATCTCATTTATACACACGACTTGCCAACGAGTGCAACGACGTTCACAGCAACTTTTGCTGATGATACTGCAGTCCTTGCAGTTGGAGAAAGCGCAGTAATAGCAGCTAATAATTTGCAAAATAGTATGGACAGTATAATTGCTTGGACAAAGAAATGGAAAATTAATCTAAATAAAGAAAAATCAGTGCATGTAAATTTCACAAATCGAAACATCAGTCATATACCTGTCTACATCGATGAAGCACAAATCCCTCACGCGAATACTGCGAAATACTTGGGTATGACTTTGGACGCTAAACTAAGATGGAGCCAATCTGGACATATGGAATACAGCTATGGGGTTGCGCAAGCAGAACACAAATTTCCATCATTCAAAGATTCCAAAATTTCATGCTACGGAGAGTAACAAACGCGCCATGGTACGTGAGAAATTCTGACTTACATCGTGACCTCGGAGTGTCAACAGTACAGAAAGAAATTCATACCAAAGCCAAATCACACCAAGATAGACTTAGTTGTCATATAAATGCTGAGGCGCATTTACTAGCTACAACTGAGCCAATACGCCGTCTAAAGCGTCAAAAGCCGTGCGATCTTTGGGCTTAAATCATTGAAATGTACTACAATTAATTTATTATTGCGTGGAATCGCCTAATCTGTTTAAATTTAAATTGCTTGTTAGTTATCTAATAACTAGTTGCTTTATGTCTTGTTTTGTTTTATTTATTGTTCTTTAATATCATATGTAATAAAACAATTTATAATTAAAAAAAAAAAAAAAAATCATTTAATAAGAAAACCGCTATTAGTGCACAAACCGCACATTAGTGCATTTTAATTATTATATTATTATTATCTTATTATTTTTTAATTAAAATTTACACTGTAGTTTTTTATACAAATTATTTAGATGACATTCAATACTAAACTAGCATTTGATCCTATCTGTCTTATAAAACAACTATGAAAAATTATCATCATAAATTATTTGGAATAATGTCATTATTTAAAAAATAACATTTTTTACTTGTTTACTTGTTATTCCTTTTTAAATATGAATTTAATTAACACTACCATAAGATTGTGCCACTGTGGAAGAATGAACAATATAAAACTAAAGAACTTTAACTGTACTAGTTTATTTAAAATTTCTATTTTTAAAAAGTAATTTTAATGGAATTTCCATTTTTATTTCTGATTAAAAAGAATACTCAGCTCTGAAAGGAACTGAGTATTCACACCTTGTTGTTATTGGTTTAATCCAGTGAAGATCGTTTTGCGGCAGTTAGTTGTCTGAAAAAACAAGCGACTCCTGGATGTATGCGTTTCTAGAATATTTATCTTTAAAATGTGTAGAAGTGTATTTATCTTTAAAATTTCTACATTTGCTACCAATCAACACTCTAAAAATCGTTGTCATATTGTGTAATCAATAGGGATATTCACAAAAATATCTCAAAGGAAAATCTCACAAAAGTAACTGATATTGAAATAAAAATGTATTTTTATAAATATATTTTTTAAGTCTAAAAGTCACAGTGATTTGTAGAAAAAAAATATATCACTAAAAAACAAGTATCAAATAAAGAAATTGAACTTCTATTTTTTATTGAATTTTAATATAAATCTCTTTGTTTTATATTGTCAAAAATAGCTAAGCTTAGTAGTGCAAACAATTCCTTCTAACACATTTCAATTTTACAGATATATCGCCTGAAGGACGTATAACAACAGCTGCTTTTATGGCAGAATATAATCAAGATCGTTTCGAATTAGAAATTGTAGCAAGAGAACTAGAATCACCACAACGTTCAGCACGTACAAAAGTTAATGTAAGTTTTAATTATATAATTAAATATATTAGATATATGTAGACAATTATATATATAATAATTTATTTTTTTTTTTGTATCTACTAAGGTTTGGATATATGACGCATCACAATTAGTCCGCGTAATACTTTCTCGTCCACCAGATGAAGTCTATCAAGAGCAGGAAGAAATTGTTGCAGAGTTAAGAAACGCTACACAACACAGAATTATTGTAGATGAGATACGGTTTCATGTTGATCGTATGGGTCGCATACGTATGGACTGGTGTGATCTATTTTTCCATGCTGGTACTTATCACAACATTTTTATCTAACTATAGGAGAACCATAATTGTTTCATTTCTGTTTTATAGTTGAACCACGTACACAACAAATAGCAGCTGTTGAGGATATACTTAAAGTGATCGATACTAACTATGATTATTTAAGAGTAAATATTTATCTTTATATTTGAAAACACTTTTTAATAAATTTAATAATAAAAATTTCAGGATTATTATGCAGGATTTGCTATAGAAAATGTTGTACCAGCATATACAACGATTGTTCAAGATGAATTTGATTTGGCTGTAGCTGGCTTAGTGGCTTTAATAATCGTACTTTTTGTGGGTGTGGTTAGCTTTATAGTACTTTGTTGTTGTTTAAAACATTGGTGAGTATTTTGTTGTACTTCAAATTTTATATTGGGAGAAATTTGTTTAATTTAAATTAAATTGGATAAGACTCATATTCTAAATTGTCATATTAGTTAAATAGTTATAATTTTTATATATCATTTTTAGAAATATGATCACCGCAAAACAGTTCTGCATTATTCATTATTATTAAAAGTTATGCAGATTTCTGTTTAAAATTATATTATCTGATATAACTTTTTTGAAATAATTCTTTCTATAATTTTAAATGAATGCTAATTAAATATTTTTTGTTAATTGTAATGAAGTATTATTAAAACAAAACACTTAAATCTTGCGAAAGTATACTGAGTAGCCATTAAGTAAAATTTTTAATTTACAATTAATTTTTACAATTATATCGTATATAATTTACGAATATTACGGAGTAATAAATAGTTAATATGTATTTATTACATGAAAATAATACTGAAAAGGGACTTAGTTAAGTCAAAACTATAACCCTGTTCATTTGATTAGTAATACCAAATATTTTATATACAAATATACTTTAGGTGTGACAAAGTATCAGTCATATGGTTTGTAATATATTGTTGTTACATTTAACAATTGTAATAGAGATACAAAGTTCACCTAGTAATTTATCTAGAATACAGAGTTTTTAAAGAACATTTTGCACCAATATACAACAATATGCAATATGCAAATAATAAAAAAATATTTATAATATGTATAATCTAGAAAATGCTTTGTCTTTGTATACAATTTCTATTAACACATTGCTTTCAAAAACATTAAAGATTTTCATTTGTATTAATATTAATATAAACACACCTCTACCACATTTCTATATTTCTATCATATTATAAATATCTTGATATATAAAATAAATATTTTTTAGGAATTTATCTGTTCCGGTAGAAAATCGACGCAAGGAGGCTTTAATTAAAAAACAAATCATAGAAGATTTAAATACAACAGAAAATCCACTTTGGATAGAACAGTAAGTGTTACATGGTCATAAATATAAAGCTAACAGAGTGCAGAAACTTATATCATTCTTATCTTTTATTCTACACTATAGAAAGCTAAAGCTTTATGAAGAACAAGAACTAACCATGCAGGTATTTTCAGAACCTGATCATATATCTACTTCAGAGTCTCCAGTACGTAAAAAATGTTTTGTAAGTAAACACATACTAACGTTTATATTTTCTTTTTTTTTTTTGTTAATTTATCAGGCGCAACTGGACCATCGTAATAACATGGAATTGGGGCACCATACAGTTGATAATACCTATGCCACCATACAACCAAGGAATTCAAATCATGGTCCAGGTAGCAACATCGGTATTACTGGCTTAAATAGCGGTGTTGTTGTTGGACGTATGGACCACCAACATATGAATGACTTTGCTGATTACGCTACATTGCGTAATAATCGTGCACCATCGGTAATTAATTTCTACTGATTCATAGTATCAGGTTCAAAAATAGATGAAGGTTTGCAATATCTTGTAAACTTTCTTTTAAAAAGCGTTTAAATGATTTTTAATTAACATTTAGCACAATTTAGACCTTTTTATTTGAAGGAATATAACCAAAAAACTATACGGCAAAATACATTTTGTCTAAAATTAAAATATAAATTTAATTAATACAGTGAAATTCGAACTTTTTTGATGTCCCATTGAAGATTCGAGTTAGGGAAAATTCGAGTTATAAAGACAACAGTTTTTTTTTTGGTTTTGCTACGAAATATTTTTTATTTAAAATATTCATTTACATTTTTGTACTCTTTACCACTCTACTTCAAATTTCCAATGTATTTAATAATTTGAATATACACACACAATTTTTATTTTAAATATTCTATTATATGCATTGGTGTTTTGTTTACTTGTTGTTCTTTTTCTATATAATTTTTCAAATTTTTTAATTGGAATATATCATCCATTGCGTTTACTCTGGAATGGATAAATGTTCAAATTGTCTTGATCTCACAATCTCGCTACTCTAATGGCATGTTCGAACAATAAGCACGGTTGTTTATCATATAATTTTAAGTACACCAAACGTTATATTACAATCGCCCATGCAATTTAAAAATAATATGATGTCACAGAATTTGCAAAACAATATATAATTAGTTTTGTACGCCATCAAAGGTCATTTTTTAAAAGATATCCCTGCAACTAGTATAAACGTTGCATTGAGAGAATAGAGAAAATTTTACAAGATTTACTTTACTAACACCCAATTCTTAAGTAATTAACTTCCAATAAAATTTCTTATTTTATTGGGACTTAACTAAAGTACAGATGGTTTTGGATGTAGTAAGGCAATGGTAATGTAATGGATTAGAGGATTACAAAGCACGTACTTACGTATAGTCTCTTTTAGGAATGATTTAGATTACTTTTTGACAACACAAAATATTGGCATAATTATTTTCACAGACTTTAAAAACATTATTCTATAATGTATTAGCAATTCAATATTCGCTTTTTTTGATATTTAAACTTGTTATTCCAAAAAATGTTTAAGAACTTTATACTGATTACTAACAGTTATGTTTGAATACAATAATCAATATATAATTTTTGTCCTTTGTAGATGTATGAGTTCACAGGTTCTACATTCCAGGCACCTATAAGGGATGGTGATGATGGTGTAACAGAATTAATATAAACAAGCTACACAAAAAATTTCGAACGTATTTGTATATTTTTAGTAAAAACAATTAGCATATGAAAAAGGCGTTTGCACTGATCATGATTACGTTTTAAGTCATATAGTAAATATAAATTTTTAGTACTGATCTACAACACAATTTCTGTTAAACAAACTCTAACTGAAGCATATATTGAATAAAAAAATATTCGAACACTAGCAGTGCAAGCGCCTTATAATATTAATAAGTTATTTAATTATGTGTGCTTGTTTAAGAACATATTAAGGAAAAGTCGAACAAAGTACGGATTTTTAATGTTGAAAGTATGTTATGGTTTGTACAATTATATAGTCTAATAAATAGTATTTAACTTATACATGTATGTACTCAACATTATTTATATAGACCAGCATTTAAAGTTGTGAATTATTATTTTCTTGTAAATGTATTGTATTAACACAATGAAAACAGCTAATAATACAAATTGAATGAAAATATAATATAGATATATATTATAGATATATAATAGTATATAATATAATAATATATATATTATTATATACACCTATATTAATATTAAATTATAATATATAGTATATATATTATGGTACATGCTACATATTGTGTTGTATGCTATAACTATTATATATACGTACAATGAATATATATTATATATTGTTTTTTATATTATATATATTATTATATATAAAATTAGAAAATAAGTTGAATTTGAACATAATTTGAAATAAAGTTGTTGCATAAAAGTATTTTCATAAAAGTCAGGACAATAAATACCAACTAGTTTATAGCGTACCACAGTTTGTTATGCATATACATATACATAATATAGAATTTAAAAAAATAGTTTGATAAAAAAATATAGTTCTTCCTATATTTAGATATTAAAAAGATTTAAGTTTACTAATTTGTATATCTCAAAACCATATATATTTAAGGAACCCACTTTGACTCTAGTTTGTACTAAATACTAAAATTAATAATTATATGTATTATGCTATACTATGTGTACATTTTTAATATTAGTTAAATTAATTCTTAATATATAAAAGTAATTATTAACGAATTCAAAATAAGTCTTTAAAGGCTAAGTGATTTCTATAAATGTATTAAAAATATATACAATTATTTATACATAATTTTAATTTAAGTTAAAAATTCCATTTGCCAAACTTGCTTTGCTCACTTGAGAGAACAAATTTTTTTATACATTAATTTTTTAATAATGCTTCTTAGTATTTATATTAAATATAACTTAATTTGAAAAATATATAAAATATATGTAAATGATAATATTATATTGATCATAATGTAATAAATTATATTGAATTAAAAGTCTTTAAAATAAATACCTAATTGCTAAATTAGGGAATATTGTAACATCTTAAAAAAAATATGGATTGTATACAAAATGTTTTAGGAGGGAAGAATTCGTCAATTATCTAAATTTAAAAAGCAATTTTTCAAATAATACATCTTTGATCATCAAATAAGCATTAAGTTTGGACCAAAGAATTTAAAGCATTAATACACCTTATATATAGAAATTGTAGCCGATGATTTTTACGGAAACCTTATATAAATTTACTGGCTAGTGAAAGCTTTAAAACAGTGCGAAACTATAATTATTTTGAAAATAACAGTTAACTAAATATTTTATTTAATATTTCTGCTAGTCATTTGCTCTATGGCTTTAATTAAACTGTTTGCAAAGTGAACTTTTAAAGGAACTACTACAACTACTGTGGCAATATTTATAATGCACATGATATACTATATGCATTACATTAATACAAATACAGAAATTTAGAATGAGCATCAATAACTGCACTAAAGAACTCAGATGGTAATAAAATTTAAAATTCGCACACTTTAGAAAAGATGGAAATCTGATGACATGAATAAATACAAACTTGTTAATATTTATTATACAAGTAATGTTTTTATTTGAGAATTTTGTACAATATTTCTTTTTCTGAATTTAGCTTAAGCAGTGGACTACTTAATAAATATAGATAGATCTAACGTCATTTTTTATGCATAGACATGGGTGAAGCGGTCATAGAAACCATATCACCCATTAAATATAATGTTTTCGTTAAATGTTCCAAAAAATTTAAAACTACTTTCATGAAATATATGTCTATTTGTATGCATTTTCCATAATTTTATAAAATTTTTGATCTTCGATTTGAGAATTATTTAAAAATACAGTATTCTTCTACCAGGAAAACATTTTTCTTCATATTTTTTTCTAATTGTTGTTTATGGTAAATGCTTTAACATCTTAATATTGTGTTTAGAGAACAAAAAAATAAAAAAAAAATAATAAAAATTATTAATATTTGGTAGAGCCACCTCTAGCTTTAATTATCGCATAAATCCGAGATGGCATGGAGTTCACTAGACTTTGTAAATTTTCCAGAGATTTCGTCATATCAAACTTTTTCTATAGTTTTATTAAGCTCTATACAGTTTAATAACTTAATTTGATTGATTTTTTCCCAATTTGGTGCCATAAATTCTTAATCGAATTTAAATCAAGTTCGATTTTAATGTTTATACATAATAAACCAATTTTGCACGGTCGCAAGGAGCGGAATCGTCTTGAAAAATTGGAAAGTTGTAATAAAACAAATGCTTTTTCATTGACGGTTTTAAGATATTATTATATATTTATATATATATATATATATATATATATATATGTAGATATAATATATTTATATAAATAGCTTCCATAGTGATTTAGTCCTTTGGTTGAATATGAAATTGGTTGTTACTGAAAAACTAAAAAAATTATATTTAATTTTTCTCATATAAAATGGATTAATTTTACTTTTTGAAAAATTCACTAACAGCTTCAGCTTTTTCCGTTGTATTGCGGTATTTTCTTATTAATTTTTTTTTAATATTTTATTATTCGCAATTTTTATGCATTCTTTTTGAAATTGTAACCAGATTTGTGGAACGACATCTTGTCGCGTTATCTATAAAGAGAATATTGAGGTATTTACTCAGAAATTGATGAAAATAATATCACATTTACCTATCGTGGAGTAGCAGACTGAACAGCTGCTAAAGCTGTAATCAGGGACCGAAAATAACAGTTATTTTAAAATTTTTTATGAAAAAAAGCAGCAACAAAAAGTTGTCTAAACTCTTATTTAAGTAAATAGTTATCATTCTAATAACTTTTATCCTTAATATTATGCATGCTTTTTATATATGAGCTTTTTAAAATAAAACTCAAAAAATAATAATTAAATTTGATTTTTATTATATTCATCAAAAATAATAATTATTATATGCTTTTTATTTTTTTCGCGCAGAAATAACTCTTAAAATTTGCTTCTTATTTTAAAACGCACAAATAACTGGTATACTTGCGTTATATAATATAAAAAGCAAGAGTATCGCGCAAATTCTGCGCGATATTTTTAAAATGAAAATATAAAATGCAATTTTCATACAAGGTAGTTGTTTTTGCAATTCCATAGAAAATGTTTGAAAAGGTTGGTGTAGGTAAAGATTTAGTTCAGTTTTTTGTTTTTGTATTTTACATACAAATTTGTTCTCCTACAAAATACGAATGTAAATACAAAATATAAATGCAAAATACAAAAACAAAAAAACTGAACTAAATCTTTACCTGCACCAACCTTTTCAAACATTTTCTATGGAATTGCAAAAACTACCTTGTATGAAAATTGCATTTTATATTTTCATTTTAAAAATATCGCGCAGAATTTGCGCGATACTCTTGCTTTTTATATTATATAACGCAAGTATACCAGTTATTTGTGCGTTTTAAAATAAGAAGCAAATTTTAAGAGTTATTGCTGCGCGAAAAAAATAAAAGGCATATAATAATTATTATTTTTGATGAATATAATAAAAATCAAATTTAATTATTATTTTTTGAGTTTTATTTTAAAATGCATATGATAACAGTTATAAGATGATTTTTATTTTTTTTATGATAACTGTTACGGTCCCTGGCTGTAATGATTGCTATCATCAAGTGTATATTCTAGAATGACATTTTATGTGCCGCTTAATAAGATGATATATCGAGTTCATTAAAAAATTAAAATCCAAAGGAGTTAATAAAAACGTAATTGTGCATAAAAATATGTGAAATATACGCGCAGTCCATATAGTCAGGGTATATTGCTGCCTGAGAAGTAGCAAAGGTACTTCTCAGGCAGCAATAGGTACGTAAAGTCAAAGGTACGCAGTCAATTATTGTCAAACGACTTCGACTATGACTACGACTATGAAAATAATCGGACTAAAAAGCGGGTATTAAGCAGTATTACACATTTACAGGAATAACAACATTTGCAGGAATAACAAGCAGACTGATGGAAATCAAAAATTCCATTCATATTTATAATTAATCATGAAAATAATAATTAAAATATTGTAATTTGTTGTAATTATCTTTGTAGATTGTGATCCTGATGATGACTCTCAAGGAGAATCGAAAGATAGAATATATTAAAAAATATTAAACAAACGTTAAAAAGTGACCTATAGCCGTATAAAAAAAATATGAAAACCATTATGAAATCAAAATATTTTGATTTTTCATCAGTCTGGCAACGTTTTTTTTTCTTATACAATTGAATTTTTATCGGCTTCAATACAAATTTCATTTTCTGACTTCAAACAAGAACTGTAAACATTAAAGTCTACAAGCCTGTTTGAAATATTTTATGTATTGAAAATAATACAAAAAAAAAATAAGAAAAAATTGTTTTACGTAAAGTGAAATATGTAATGGTACTACAACAGGTTCTGAATTGCTGTGACTATTTTCAATTGCTTTTTTTTGAATACGAATGCGTGCATACACATTTATATTGCGTTCGGTTTTGTTGTTGCATTTGCGTTTCGCTTACTTCTACTTTCGCAGTCAAAAATAAGCAATTGAAAATAGACACAGCAATTCAAACTCTGTATTACATACTCAACTACATATATAATTTCTAATATTAAGGGTGCTCATTTTAAGTGATAAATGCTTTATCAACCTTATAAGCGTATAAATTTATCTATTTTATTAGTTGGATGTTAAATCTTCTATGAAAAATCGTATACACAAACTTGATAAATTTACATAAATACAGAGTTACATTCTAACACAAGCATATCATTAACAAAAATATCTTTATAAATACTTTTATATTTTGAATTTTGGTATTTTTTTATAATTGATAGCGACACAACTGATCACAAATATTTAAAATAGAAATGATATTGGCTGAAAAATTGCGCTGCTGAGCATTACATTTTATGCTGTTATAATCATACAGCAGATTGATAAATTTACACAAATATTTCACTAAGTGTGTTCATATAAGCGTATACGTTAACGCATAAAATTATACATTTGATAAATGTTTATGCTTAGATGAGTACTCTTATTATTTTATTTAAATTACTTAATATTTTATATTATCAAACCTTAGGCATTCTTGTGGAAATATATGTACTATACGTGAAGAAAAAGCAGCTCCCATAATAAAACAAAGTTATTTTCTAAATTAACTATATGAAGACTTATTTTTATACGTGAAGTTAAAAAAATAAGTGAGCATTTTTGTAATATTTAAAAATGTAATTTTTTATTTATAAAACAAGTACTTTTTAAGTACAAATTTATAATAAAAAATTTATATAAATTTATATATGCATTTAGTGAAAGCCTTGTGCTGATGTATGTTAAAAATAATAATAAAAATGAATGATTTGTCACAGCAAGCAACGTCAACCCAATTCAACATGCAAGAATGATGTGTAATACCCGCTTAAAATGCACATGCCAAAGCAAAAACGCAAAACATTTTCATTAGCTATGCTCACGACTGTACACAACGTCATAGTCGAAGCCAAGAGCATTTAGTCAATTATTAACTGCGAGATTCAAAGCAACTGTGCTGTCAGTCGAAGCAGTAGTTAATGTTAATTTTTACAGTGAACTGTTTTCTTGAACTTATGTTTACTCGCATAAACTGAATTTGTTGTTTTGTTTTAAATCTTTTGCGTTTTGTGACTTTTTAAAATGGCTCCGCGACTTAATAAAAATTTAATCCTTCAACATTTTGATATAAGTAATGATAATATATCAGTAGTTTGTAAAATTTGCAAACATTTGTTACAGAAAGACAGAACATATAATTTAAAAACACATTTAAGAAAAATACACCAATTAAGTATGAAAGAAATCGAAAATTGCAGCTCATATGATAGTGTAATAGTGGAAACCAAATCAACCCGAAGAAAAAAAATAAAAATCGAAATGAGCAGAAAAAAATTTTTTCGCAGCTACATTGGTTTAGTAATTGAAGATGGTATTCCATTCAATGTCCTCAATTCGGAAAATATGCGAAACATTATTAACCCTATTTGTCATACATTAAGCGAAAACTTAAAAAAAAATTTTTGTTTGAACAGCACAAACTGTAAAAGTGTTTTGAAATTAGTTGCTGATAATATTAAAGAAAATATTAAAACAGAACTCCACCAACGACTGATTTCTTTAAAACTTGACAGTGCCACAAGGCTGTCGCGCAATCTGTTTGTTCTTAGCGCACAATTTATAAAAAACAACGAAATTACGTCGACAATTTTAGGAATGGTGGAACTGAAGGAAGTGGCACCAAATTCATCTCGTAATATGGCAACGGAAATTATTAATTTATTGAGCAAATACAATGTAAATCTTAATCAAGTGGTATCAATTACATCAGACAGTGGTGCAAGCATGATCAAAACGACAACGATTTTATCGCATTGCAGCAGCTTTAACGAGTTCTACGAAGAAAACGAAGTTGAGGAAGCAAATGATGTGTATTTAAAAAATATTGAACTTTTCGAATATACAAGTGACATACAGTTCGGCGACATTCAAATTTGCCGTTGTGCTGCCCACACTGCTCAGCTCTGTGCACTGGATGTTACTAAGAACCCTAACATTAAAACTTACTTGATGAATTGCAGAAACTTAGTCAAGTTCATCAAAAAAAATTCTAACGACTATAGTCAAATTTTTGAACTGAGAAATTTGGCTCTACCACAACTCGATTGTCCTACACGGTGGGGATCGACATACAATATGATAGAAAAAGTTTATGCAGCCAAGGAAATTTTGGGAAATGTAGAGTCTGTACAAAACAAATCACTTGATGAAAATTTTAAACTAACCGATGATTTTTGGGATTTTGTGAACAGCTATTGTACTGTGTTTGAACCATTACAACGAACAATTATGAAATTCCAAGAAGAACATCTGCATTATGGAAATTTTTTTGCACAGTGGCTGAAGTGCAAGATTATGATCAGTAAAATTGTAAATAAATTGGATAAGAATTCTCTTATATTTAAAATTGGAACGGATTTATTAAATAACATAGAAACAAGAACTGCAAAGCTCCTAACAAACAAAAGCTTAAATGCGTGTTTGTATTTGGACCCGCGCTTTAGCCATACATTGAGTGTAGAAAAAAAAGACGAAGCTGTTATATTTTTAAAACGACTATATGATAGATTGAAAGCATTGGACTCAGCTCTCCTGAAAGACAAGGAAAATTCAGCCACAAATTGCATAAAAATGGAAGACCCCTTGGAATGTGCGGATGAGAAAGTTACCCACGACGATGAGGATGAGTACCTTAATGAGTACCTTTCCCACCACTTCGAAGCTCAAACTCATGACAACATGAACGTCTACACCAAAATTGAAAATTTGAAATTACCTTTTCAACGTGTAGATATAAATGTATTGGACTTTTGGAAGGAAAGACAGTTTGCTGATCCAGAATTACACGCGCTTGCAAAGATTTGTTTTGCAATTCCACCAAGTCAGGTAAATATTCATTTAGCACCATGTAAATAATCAAATTAATGTCGTTTACATTTAAGGTTACAATCGAGCCTGCTTTTTCATCACTGAAATTGATCTTAGCTGATCAACAGAATCGTGTTAATCATGAAACTTTGGAAAACATACTGATGGTTAAACTAAATCCATTGTTTTTGGACCAGGCAATTGATGATATGCCATTGTTTGAATCTGATGAATTTAAATGAAGACATGTAACAATTTTTTTTCTAAAGTACATAAATAAAGATAATTATTAATTTACATTAGCTAGAGAATATTTGATTTAATGAATAAAATGTGAATATAAATGATAGAATTAATCAATAACTACATATTTGGGCTTAAGCAAATAATATTAATAATAATAATTTTTTACAAATTTTGTAATTACATTATACTATCATTTAGTAATTTTTTAAATTATTTAGTAATAAGTATTTTTTTAAAATACCACAAAACTGCACTGTTCTATTCTTTTCCATGAAAAACCTGTTGGTACATTTAACTTACTAATATAATTCATAACTTGTAAATTATATTGAAGCAAAATATAAATTAAAATTACATTACATACAGATTTGTTATTTTCATTTTAGATATACACATAGTCATACACGCGCTAGCAGTTGAAGCAATAATTAAAAGTGCATCCATACCAGAGCAAACGCTTGTGTACGAATGAACATTCGCAGGTAATCGCACTTGTAAAAGTTCGTTTGCTTTGGTATGGATGCACCTTTAACTATTGCTTCGACTGTCAGTACAGTTGCTTTGACTATGACGTAGTTGTAAGCATAGCTAATAAAAATATTTTGCGATTTCGTAGTCAAAAATAAGCAATTTCAAACTCTGAATATAGTAATATATTCTTACTTTTGGTAGTCGCAAACCAACTGATTCTTTTCAGTTTGCATATTATTGTTGCTTTATTTGATTAAAATCTGAAACCATTAAAATCTGCAAACCATATATATATAACCATATATTTGACAAATTTAATACACTTCTAAACTACATTTTCATAATACTACTTCTGCAACAAAGTTGTCTTGTCAGCTGATCTATTGCAAGCAAAAATGTTTGAGGATGCCACATTGCTTATTTCATTCCATTTTGCCATATACACCATTAATACCAAAAAATACCTTTCCAGTAATTCTTTGATTAAAACTATTTTCATAGTTAAAGGCTAAATTAGTTGTGGTAGACATACGGAAACTATTATACACAAACCCCAGAAAAACTGTTTAATTATGACAGAGTACACATAATGTAAAATAACTAAAAAACAAACAACACGAACACAATCTTAATAGCAATTACATCGGATATAAAGGAATGTAATGCAATTTCATTATGTTTGTGACCGCTGATTTTACCTATGTTAACGACAAGAAATCAAAATTTAATTGATTTTTACTTCCGTACAAATAATCAAGTGCATTGTTTTCAATAAAGTAGAACGCGTCAGCTGATTTCTTACAGCACCATTAATTCAGCTTAAAATGTACATTTTTAAAAATCACTGACAATGAGTCATATCCTATTTTAACACAACACGCCTACAGGCCTAAGTGGATCCCTTGGGATCGCTGTTATAACATATTCAATTTACATAACAAAAATGTATTTTTGATTCGCTAAAAATCTGCTCGCACAGTAAATGTTAATTTTTTTTCATACATATTTTGGAATATGTGCTTGTAAGTCAAAACACGGTATCTCACAATAATAATTTGGTTTCCTTTGCTTTAGTTTAGTTTAGTTAACTTATTCACAATTGTACTGTTGCGATATACGATATGATATATGTTAATATACGATAATTTTGTACAAATTATAATTCAATAGTAATTTTGTTTGTCGGGTTTCTTTACAGCATCGGATTGTGATTGCGAAGAACGAAGATATTCACAATCAAAATGAAATTACTTGTGTAAAAGGTAATAGGCTAATAGTGATTTTTTGCATATAAAAATAACTTTTACACATTTGCAATTACTTTAGAAAGCAAAAAAAAAAAAAACAAAAAATCGAAAAGGGATATAAAACATCACAAATCGTGATCAAATTTACAAGTTATTTATAGATTTAAACAAACATAGAATATGAATATCAAGAATATCAATTCGTAATATGATTCAGTGAAAATTGATAACATTAAGACATCTGTGCAATCATGTTACCATCATCACGTTGTTCTGAATCGTTCACATATGTGTATTTAGGCCGTGTGTGAGTTCAAGTACATTGAGTTAAAATAAATTGAAATTTCCTAAGGATTTTCTGCACTGCACTTTTGCAAATATTTATTTATTTATTTATTACACTTATTTATTATTTTTGGTTAAAAGTTTTCAAATTTATTTATTTATTTATTAAACATCTTATAAAATTTTCACAATGGTAACACTTAATTTACATAATTTTTATTTAATTTACCCTACTCACTTACCATTTACCATTTAGTAAAATATGTTCGCCATACACTCTGACACAATTATACCAGTATGTATGAGAATTCAAAATTCATTTTATAAAATTAAGTGGTAGCGCTTCAAATGTCATGCTGTGCGGCAATACGTGCTAACACATTTTGTTATTATTGTTATTTACATTTATATACAGTATTTTGTTATTTAAGACGAAATGAAAGAAAAGAGTGCAAAACGTAAAAATGTGGATGATCAGCAAAGTACAAAACAGAAGATAGCAACTGTTACTGTCTCCCAAATAAGTTCAGACGTAATATGGCAGGTAAGTTCTTCTTAAGTGCCGGCTTCTAAAAATGCTGCTTTAACTAAACTAATTTTATGAATATTCAAAGCTTGCATCAAAATATTGGTCACCGGAAACTAAAGGCAAGCATCTTCCTTATGATGCAAAAATCATAGAAAATATATATACACAGGAAATATTAGCACAGAATCAAGCATCAAGGCGCATAATGATGTTGGAGTTTAGTCAATATTTAGAGGAATACTTGTGGCCGAATTATGTTCGCGAAAAAGCAACTCATGCACATCTTATGTCCATCGTGGCAATGGTCAATGAAAAGTCCCGAGAACGTGTAGAAGTTTGGCCATTTTTTGAAAGTTTACCAGAGCAGTATCCTGAATTTTTTAGGCATGTATTGGAAACATGTTTGCCTGAGGGAGGTCGAAATAAGCAGCAACCTAGTATGCGTGAACAAACCGCACTCATCGTGTTTCTTAATCAATGCTTTAATAGTATGGAAATTGAATTGTGCCGCGAACAAGCAAAACGTTTAGTTTCACTCTCTATGTGGAGCTGTTTGCAGCCAAGTGAGTATTTCAGTTAAAAATATGATTTATTTATACTATATTTATTAATTACAGAACGTCTGGATCAGGAACTACGGGAAATACCCGAATGGCGAAAATACTGGAAGAAATTACAAAAAAAAGAAAAAGGTGAATTAAAACCGAATATTGCTTGGGAACGACATTTTTTACAGGTTTATTTCTTTATTTACTTATAATGCTTTGTTTATTTGATATATTATAAATTTTATATATTTTAGAATTTGATTATAAAATTTTTGAACATATTGGAATCTATACCATTAGAAGGAGAAGTGAATGATAATATTACACATTATTGTGAACGATTTTTAGAGTTTATGATCGATTTGGAAGCCTTGCTGCCTACGAGACGATTTTTTAATACAGTTTTGGATGATTGTCATTTGCTGGTGCGTGCACAAATATCCAATTTGGTGCAGCGTTCTGAAGGCAGACTATTTAGTCAGGTGCGTTACTTGTGGTTTTTATACATCTGTTATACTTCTATAAATCTTATATTTATATATAATATTAAATGTTCATATAAATAATGCTAAATATTTAAATTTCTGCATAACATTTAGTACTTGAAACTATTCTAATCGTTAAATAATATTGCGAAAATGTGGTATTTAAAGAATAATTATCTGGGTTGTTATATTAAAAGTCCTTTCACTTCTAGGAGGAGCATAGGGCTGCAACAAAGTTTATCAGTACGATTATTGGCTAGTAGCTCGATTTCTCTCCTGCTTTTCCACATGTGTGACATTTCCATATCAATTTGCCTTCTCTAAGTGTGTGCAGGTCTGCCCCATCTTCTGCTACCCATCGTGTTCCACTCAATCGCCATTCTTGTGGTGTCAATAGTCAGTCTACGCAAAGTGTGACCGACCCAGACCCATTTGCGTTTTTTGAGATCGGTTCTTATAGGTGTTTGTTGAGTTAAAGGCTATAAACGTTCATTTAGAATTGTATTTGGCCAAAATACTTTATCAATTTTGCGTAATAACTGATTTACGAAATTTAAAAAATTTAATAATTTTAAATTTGTATTTTCTTGATTAAGAGAATCACATCCTAAATTAATCGTATGACTTTAGGCCTACAAGTTATGTTTAAAATAATGTTAAAATATTAGTATTTTTATGAAAAAAAAAAACAAATCATAAATTTATTATACATCCTGTTTACAACTTATGCTTGTAGTGTTGTTAAAATATTTATGCAACACAATTTGAATTTATTTAATATTCTCATTATCCTTCTATAATTTCTACTTGCTAATAATCAGCTATTATAAGATCATGAGTTTTTAAAATATAACTTCTAAATTTGATATATGATGTTTAGACATGAATGGAGTACGTTCCAAGGTTATTGTTGTCTTCCAGCATTGTTAGACGAACTGATAGATAACAACGTTTATCAATTTACTGCAACTTAAAAAGAGTCTGTACGGATTTTATCTTTGAACAGTTACCATAAGATCGTATAGGTCACAATAGATAACTATTATTAGACAAATATTTATTAATCGATTAAGGTTTAGAATCGACTTTGTTCTTAGATTTGTAGCGAAAAATTCAAGCAAATTCACTTAAAAGTCTCGTTTAAAAAATTAACTTAAGCGCGTGTACCTTTGCGCAATCAGTTCATAAAGCAGAATGCGTCAACTGCGGCTGCAACCACCCAGCTAACTACAGAGGCTACCCAAGGTATCCAAAAAATATAAAATGGCTGAAATCCAAGAAGACGGAGAAAAAAACAGCACCACAAACTACAGCGCCCGTTATCATAGAAACGGCAAAATCATAGAAAAGCACTGTGAAGAAAATAACGTCCAACTTCACATCCCGCAAGAATTCACCCATTATAAATCCAATCGATGAAGTATACTAGATATTGGCATGTCAAAAAACATAGACTGTGACATTAAGATAACGGTACTCGAAGAATTATCTTCGGATCATAAACCACTGATGTTCGTCTTCAACAACTACACGATTTATCACCAAAACAATCACGAGTTGGGGAAAATTTCGAAGAATGTTGGAACAAGAAGACTGCCACAACATCCTCAGAACTGGAGACCAACTAGTCTTCTACCAGCAATAAGCAAAATAACAGAGAAAGTAATACTGGTAAGACTAAAAGAAGAAATGGCGAAAAAAGAAATAATACCGCCTGTACAATTTGGGTTCACCGAAGATCACTCCACCGACCTACAGCTGACCCGAGTCGCACACACAACCATATATGCATTGCAGAAACGACAATCAACGAGTATAGTCATGTTTGACAGAGCCAAAGCATTCGACAAAGTTTGGCATGTAGGACTGTTGGTAAAGAAGAAAGAAAAACAACTGCTGAATATGCTGACTAAAATCATTGGCAACCTTATAAGTAGAAGAAATTCAGAGTTCGTTTAACAATCAACTATTTAAAATTAGAGAAATAGAAGCAGATATCCCCCAAGGCTCGCTTATCTCGCCGACACTTTACAACTTGTACACTTTACTTGTGATTTTTTTATGCACCAAGGCAACTCGGTAAATCTATATGCAGACGACACGTGTTACTCCTACTCCAGCCAGGACCACAATAAAATAAAAAGAAAGCTCCAGCAACACATTAACAATATAACCAAATACTTTCATAAATGGAAGATAAAAATAAACGAAGAAAAAAATAAAGCAATAATGATCACAAGAAAGACAGCAGCATTGCCCAACGAACTAAAAGTCAACATCAAAAACCGACTCTTAATATACAAGCAATTTATTAAGCCCAAACTTCTGTACGGGTGTACAATATATGGCACAGCAGCAAGATCTAACATCGAATAACTACAGATATACCAAAATATAACACTAAGAAGAATCCTCAAAGCACCATGGCATATACAAAACGAAGACATCCATAAAGACCTTAAAATAGAAAAAATCGAGGTATACATTAAAGAAAGGATAAAGAAACTCCTCGAAAAAATAGATAATTACAAAAACCAAACGCTACGCAAACTCAAATATAAGAAAATCATCACTTCAACAGGGAGATTCAATGATCTTCGGAGCCTAATAATATACGACTGACGCTAACAAAAATCAGAGAAAGGATCAATAAAGGAAACCCCAAGAAGATAAACAACAGCAACCAAACCCACGAGTGGCTAAACAGATAGAGCCACAAAAGACAAGGAAGTAAAAGTGCTTAAATGACACTGACTTCATATTAGCAACAAATGAATAATAAGACAATCAGTTCAGTTTCGTCTGAACTCATAAGGACATATTATCTACAGTACGGTTAGGATATTGTAGTTTATCTATATTGGTTATTATAATTACATCTGTATTGGTTATTACAATTACATTTGTATTGGTTATTATAATTACATCTATATTATTATGAGCTAAAAATTGTAAATTTTAATTGATAAATAAAAAGAATAGTCGTGAACACGACAGATTCTTACTCTGTCTAAGCATAGTACAGCATTTTTAGACATATTTTTCAATTCTTTAAACTACCCCAGTAAAATAATTATATGTGCAGTACTTAAAAACTAATTTAAACTTCAAAAAATTTTGTTAGGGTGAATTTAGTTTATTATTTGTTTTTATGTTTAGTAGTCTAATTAAAATAATAAAAAAATTTTATTCAAATTAATTTTTTTTAAGAGAAAAATTAACTTTATTTTAAATCTTCATAGAAAATATTTATATGTGCAATTCACATTTTTTGCTAAAAACAATTAAATATTTTATGTGATTTAATTTTTTTTATTTTTCAATAAGGTAATGTGTTTCCATTATTTATTTTTATTAACTGTATCCTAAGTGGCATTGAATCTACCAATTTTTTTAATAGTAGGAGATCAATTTTGGCCCATTCGTCCAGTATGTACTTTTTCAGCTCTTTAAGAGTGTCGTATTGCTTCGAATAAGCATAAATATTGGCACTAAGGATACACCAAAGATCCTCTATTGAATTTATGTCAGAACTCATGGCCGGCCAATCTAGCGATGGGATGCTTCTCTCTTCAAAGAATTTCTTTTTGCACAAGAAACATGTATTGGAGCATTATCCTGTTGGAAAGTCCAATTATCTCCATGAATATTTTCAGCGAAATTTATCAGTTCGCTATCCAACAGATTTATGTATATTTCGGAATTCATTTTTGATAGTGCGAAGCATATATTAGACTTTTCCTTCGAGCTAAAGGCAGCCCACACCATTAGTGAACCACCACCATGGTTGCGTTTGTTGCAATTCTGACGTGGATGACGAATATCTCTCCAATATTTATGTTGACCATCTGGACCATCTAGATTAAACTTTTTTTAATCACTGAAAACAACTGTTTCGAACTCCATGTCTCAAAACTTAATTTTGTCATAAAAAGCTAAATAAGCATTTTTATGTCTTTGTGTAAGGCACGGTTTGGGAACTTTCGACTCATATTTTAGCTTTAAGTCTTTTTTCATAATTTGTTGCACGCATTTCCTAGTGATAGACAATTCTAATTCATTTCTTATTTGTCTGCAACTCATCCTCTCATTGGTAGCAAGAAGCTGAATATGCCGTTTTGTTCGGTCGTTAATAGTTGGTAAGCGGCCGTCTCGTTTATAACACCAAAATTTTCGAGATTTTTTAAAAAGTTTATTATAGTATTCAGGTGTCTATAACCAGCAGCAGATATTTCGCCACTTTTCATCCCAGCAAGACTCATTCCAATAATCTTTCCGCACTCTTCACTTGAAAATTCCGTCCCACGCGTCATATTTTATCTAAATTAATTAAAATAATAAATATTTATTAATAAATAATAAGTATTTTACTTACCAATTCTTCTTTACTCTTCAATACTTCAAAAAAAAAAACTTTATAATACACTTCACAACTTTATTTCCATTTACTGTTGACACTTCGAGAAGCAAAACAATTTTGCACATATAATTATTTTCTATTAAATTTGCTACCTATTGTTATTAATTATGATAACGGTACCACAAATAGTATACAAAAAAAACTCTATATATGTTTAGAGAAGTTAAACTCAACTACAGAATCAACTGTATATAAAAAAAATTAGTACCATTATTCTAAGAAGAGAATAACGAAAAACAAATTTTGCACATATAATTATTTTACAGGGGTATTTCAACAAAACGAAAAAATAACATAATTTCCATTTTTTTTAAATTAACAAGAAAATTTTTACAATTTATTAATAAAGTTTAATAGTTTATTTAAATAACATACTTAAGCTTAAAGTTAAAATAAATTATTTGTTTTCTTTTTAAGTACACTTAAAGTTATTTTTTTTCTTAAATATTAAACATATTAACGTATCAAATGTTCCGTATGAAATTCTAAAATCTTATTAATATTGAATAGATAATATCAATTTCAATATAAAAAACAAAACATGCAATATATAAGCATTGGATTATTCTAACTAAATCTATAGACAGAATGTTTAATTATATTCGTAATGATATAAAACCGAAATACATGTTGTGAGATCTTTTATTAGATAATCCAAATATGCATTTAACTAACTTTTCATTCCTGAAAGTTAGTTATTCTCTGTGTTAAATTAGTAGTTACATAAAAATTCTGCACTGTTAACTGAATAAAGCACCTCAGACCTTCATATATCTTAATTATGAAATGTGCTTTAATCTGAAATATTTTCTTTATTGCATTATATGGGAGTATAAAGGTTTTCCATATGCGTTAAATCATTTTTTCATGTATTTAAATTAATCAGATTAAAGTATATCTTTATTTGTGTTTAAACTTTGTAAATTTGTTTAATAAGTTCTCTTCAATTGTTTTGTAGTTTTCGTAGTTTTTTATCTCTTTAAGAATTGCTTTATAAGAAAATCTTATAAGCACTTCTGCAATTTTCTAGTCATCATGTGACTTTTGTATATTTCTATTGATGGGATAGTTGCAAATCAGTCGTTTTATAAATTTAGAGCTCGAACTTTGGACCTTGTAATTAAATATAATAATATTGTGGATAATTTCAAAAATAAATTCAGTTTTTTTTAATCTTAAAATAATCTGGTACTTGTTGCTTATAATTTTTATACCATGTTTTGAGGTTGTTAAATGCAAAGATAAATTCTATCTCTTAAATATTCAGTTATAAGTGTCAATTAGTTCTATCCAATAGCAAACAGATTATTAGTTCAAGCTGATGGATAGTAGTTGAAATTATCTGAATTCAACCTGCATATTGATTTTGTGTTTTTTGTAGTATGGATTAAATCTATATTATATAATATATAGCAGCATAAAATATATAATAACAATAGGCGTTTTCTTTTGTAAGCAAATCACAAAAGAGCAACCGCTTTTTTTAAAAATAACATATGAAACAACAACACTGCTCGCTTATTTAGTCCAACCTTTTTGAAACCGCTTAACTAATAAGCAGCTCAAATTGCATGGTTGCCAAGACTAAAAACTCGTCTATTGTGAACGATTTTTGGAAGTACATATGAAATTTCCAGTTCACTGTCAACGATTGATTTCGTTAATTTTTCGTATTTCGTGTTATCATTGCTTGTAACAAATACATTCTTTTTTTTATTTATTATTTTACTGTTAAAAGGCATTAAAATTCATATTTTAATCATAATGTAAAAAGAATATTGTTCTTACCAATATTTGCAAAGAATTCTTATTCATTTTTGAAATTTTAACTTTAAATTTTATAACGCGTTTTGCATATGCAAGCCTAACAAATTTTCCGTTTTGTCCAGAGTTGCCATCGAAAATAGTGCTTATTTTATTTGTTCTTTTGCGACATGCTTACAAAAGAAAATGCCTAATATAACAATATTTATAAGCAACATTATTTGAAATACTATTGTTGTTATTAAAACACTAATTGAATGTATATTTTTTTGCATTTTTGAATGTTATCCTAGTATCAAAGGTTTTTTAAAGCTACTGGAATTTTTAATATTTCGGTCCAAGCACCATTTCTGACGTCACTTTTTAAAATTATACCTGCATCTTTTTGTTAATTTCGAAGTTCTAGTTCGGTATAAATAGTAAATGGTAGAAAAGTAACATATGTGGAAAAATGAGAATGATAACTGAGAATGTAGGATTTCCCGTGCTTTCATAATGCATTTATAATCACTAGTAATCATTGCAGTTCATGTAATGCATTTCATCACCCCAATCATTTGTTGATGGCGGTTCATTGTAGCAGCAGGATTTCTTAAGTAGAAACGTAACATGTTTTTGTCGTATAACGCATATATAAAGCAACAATGGTGACTGTATGGCATTAACGATAATATGCGCATAAAGTAGACCTTCTAATTCCAGCCACGAAAAAATTAAAAACAGCCAACTTATAGACATAACCAGTAACATAAGTGAAAACATTATGAAACTGAAAGAAAAAACGCAATTAGTAAATTTAATTTAAAAATATAATAATTAGTTTACTTTGCTTTTAACTTATGTTGTATGCGTCCATATACGTTACGGCGATTGATCAGCTTTAATGTCGTTACATAGAAAAATATATTAACTAAAATTGTGCACGCAATTGGTGCAAAAAATATAGCGATGCCTAGCCAACCGATAGTTTCTTGATCACCAATCAAATTTTGCTTTTTATATGATTCAGCGTCAAGGAAGAAATGCGCAAAAACAGCAGTAGCCGCCAGAAGCGCTGTTGTACCCCAAACATAAACCGAATAGTAACAATATTTACGACCGTCTGTAACGCGCAAAAATACATTTCTGGAACGAAATGTTTTCCATATATAATAGCCGAAACTATTAAGCCAGAAGAATGCACCTAGCAGACTAAAACAGAGTATGATATCTAAAAAATAAATAAGATCATATATATCAAATATATTTATTTATTTAGGAGAATAGCTTAATCTTACCTGCAACAATGAAGCTTACATGATTTGTAAATTCTGTAAATATTCGCACTAAGTCTGCAGCCTGACTGACCATTAAACAAACTGCAATTGTTGTAATAATGTTTCCCACAAGATCTCTGCTAATAAAAACGACCTTTATAAATATATTTTTCTTATAAATGTATGAAAATGTACCTTAATGTCGGCAAAATAAAATAAACTATAGCAATTATAAGAAGAATAATCAATGATATACCATGGAATATGGGATTCAGTATTTTACGTAACAAAAAATTACTATCAGTCCACTGGATCTCCTTTTTAGCTAGACATATTTTGGCATATAATATCTGTCTGTAATCTCCTTTGGTAGAGATAGCCTAAAAATTAATTTAAAATTTTAATAATTTGTTTTTTTTTTACAAAAATATTTATTTTATTATTATAGAAATTAGTTTACATACCTTATCAATACAGTATTGTCCTTGTGCATAATCATGATATAATGGTTGATTGTCTTCATCGAATTCATCCTCAAATTTCGACTGATCATATTCTTCCTCTTCAGTGTTTGTATAATGGCGCAGTTTCCCGTCTTCAAGAAGTACTAACTTATCGGTGCTCTGTAAAGAAAGCAAAAAATTATTAAAAACTATTTATATAAAATTAGAAAGCCAGTAATATTTCTATATTTTTTTGTTTGTTTTTTAAATAAATAGTTTTAATTCGAACAATTATATTTTCAACTGCATATTTATAGAAATGAAAAAAATTGTAAATGTGCGGGTAATTCAAAAAGTCACTGACTTACCAGACTTATAAAAGCTAACTCAATTTAAAAAATCTTGAAGCCTGTTACTTCTTTATACTGATACAGTATTTTGTACTGCACGACACTTCCAAATGTCTAGTAAAATTGACCCGTGGCTTTGTCCCACTCAGGTACAAGTTAAAATCAACCTGTACATTTTCCTACCATATTTTTTTCCCATTTCAATTTCGGATTCACATCCCCTAACAATGTAGATTGAATATTAATAACTATAAAAACTTACTCCAGGGTAGTTAATACGCCATGTCTGCATCGATCCACAGGCTGGTATTCCGATAACAAATTTAAAATTTACCGGCATATTGGGATCGCCATTGTAGCTAGTAAAAATCGGTTGAAATTGTTCTGTAGAAAAAAGGAAATTATGTGAAAAATAAATAAATAATGTAAATAAAAATTAAGATAATAATTTTAAGTGATTTAAGACGAAACTACATTATCATAGAAATGTTCTTGTTAGAAATCCGTTAGGCTAAGTTCAATGTGCGAAAGCAATTTTTTTCTTTTCACTAAAATAATGTAGCACACAGTCAATTTTTATGGACTCGATTAGGTCAATAAATGTGTAGATTGCTGCGTTGTGTATAAAATTTATTTATTTTATACTTTAATGCAATATTTCTTGTTTATGTAGTGTCCGCAAGTCAATTACTCAGCAGACCACTTAGACCGCATCTTGCAGAACCTCATTCTGCGAACAAAACGTTTTTTAATAAAGATTCTACTTGCGTCTGCGATCTTCTTGCGATGCAGAAGAATGAGGCTCATTAATATTTATATAATATTAGTATGAGAAATGTGTACGCAATAAACAGAAGAAAGAAATCACAAATATACGTAAAATTGAAGAAAAATGTGCGTTTGAGTTTGAAGAGATTTTTTTCATAAACAACATATAAGATTTACTGCAAATTCCTTTTAAATTGCTAAGTCTGTATTTTTTTTAAAGTAATATTAATATATAAATTGCGATTACAAATATTGTTTCGTAATAGAACAAAAAAATTTTATTTAATAAAATTTAGGACGTCATGCATCGTTAAAAATATGACTAATTCGGTTGTTATTTATTATTGTAATGGTTTTTTGTGGTTTGCGAATGAAATTCGAGCTCTTTGACGAAGCCTTTTTATAAAATTATTCTTTTTTATAAATTTTTTCTGTTTAAAAATATAACATGTTACAACACAAAAAAAAAACTAATTAAGTTTCATTAAAACGTAATATACTACCCCTTTTTAAAGCTATGTAACAGTTTAATTTAAGGGTTTTGTAGAAGAAAGTAATACCATTCAAATAAGGAAGCACATAAATACATAAACTCCGCGATTTAATAAAAATAGAGTCTATTTATGCCATACTCTAATGAAGTTTTCAATTGTCAAATCTAAATTCAATCTCTATTTATTCTAAATCTATCAAATTTTGTTGCCCAATAGAGCATTCTTAAAGTAATCTAAAATTTTTGTAGTTTTCGTTTTTATTTTTTTCATAAACACATATAAATTCAAATCACAATTTATTTATCATCATAGAAAACAACTGTTAATTTAAGGGTAATCTCGGTATTTCTGCAAAATATCTGGTGTCATAAATTAATTTCGAGTGTTATATAGATTTCCCAATCGAAAATGAAAATTACATTAAAAGTTATCTATTTATATATATAATATTGTCTTTTTTATTGCAGATTCAAATTCTGCATATTTGAATCTGCATATCATATTTTGTACTTTAGTTCATCTGAGTTTCAGTTAGTTCACCCATGTTCTTTTTTCCCAAATGATATATAAATGCTATTGTATTCCAAGCATAAAACCAAGATTAAATCATTAAGATCATTAAAAAATGCATGATAATAGTCACAAAATCTATAACTTCAGTTCGTAGTTTTTCTCTCACATATCATATTCTCTACATTTACAAGCGCCTACTTCAGTTTTCAAAACCAGAATATTGTTTAACGAAAATATATAATTCTTTCGATTCTAATTTTTGTGTCTTACTTATATGCATATGTAGCTTAATAAGTGCATAATGCAGAAGATAAAGAAAATCGTACAAATGATTAACCATGATCATGTTGACTTAGTTTTGTAATATCACAAGGCTCTGTAAGTGTATGGCATGTTAATGCCACAGATATAGTCCTATCGATAAAAATGTTTTTTGTTCGAGATAAGTTAGGTCGAATTGAAGTGACAGCCTTGTAAACCAAAACCCATTTGAGCTCAAATAATGGCCGCTTGTGATAGCACGGTTTGTTTGATATAAAACTGATAAAGTGAAAATAGTTACAAGAAAAAAAAAGTAAAATTATATTTTAATTAAAATTTATTCTTTTATTTAGTTTTTATTTCCATAAATATTTTTTATTTACAAATTTTTCAAATTCATTTTAAATATTCTGCAACATTTTTAAATTTCTTTTTATTTAATATTTAACGGTGATGTTGCAATTTAACAAACACAAATATGTAGCAAATTTTATCATTTGGCAGATAATATGACTTTCTTAGTAATGTTAAAATACCCTTATTTGAAAAAGTTGTACTGAAGGTTTTTCTCGAATTCTAAGTGAATCAAAATATTTAAGTTTCAAAAGAACCAAATCTCATTTCTTTGTTTACTTTTATTTTCCCATAACTTATTAAAATACCATTAGAGCTGTAAGTCTTCGTTTTAACCCATTCTTACCTAACATATTCTACCAAGGAAGTAAAAAGCCATTGTTTATAAGCACGATAGGAATTACCATATAATAGTATGTATTATAATAATCGAAAGTTGTAATATTAAATATAAACATATATTTTTTATTGAATTACACTACATTTAGAGTTATATGTCATGCAAATTGTTACCGATTTCTTTCTGTGCTGAATTTTTATTAAAAAATAGGAAAACTCAATGATATACAGGCATCTGTATGCAACTTGACCATTTTTCATTAAAAGGAAATTCAATACTTTCATTGAGATGTCCCGTAGAGATATTGGTCTTATGGTAGGTTTGTTTACAGGTCATTACAGATTAAGAAACTATACTAAAGGAAGATTTAATCTCCCTTTCAATAATACTTGTCGTAGCTGTGGCGACAATGACTATGTATATGCCTCTCATATACATAATCTTTGCTCGGCCCTTTCTTTTGAAAATTTTGATCATTTAAAAAACCTCAAACTAAACAGCATTCTAAACTTCGCAAAAAGTTCTAGGTGGTTTTTAACCCTGCGTTTATTTACTATATGGTAACAGAATGGGCTAATAGGCTTAAGTGGATGCCCTTGGGATCGCCAATATAACATAACCTAACCTATAGAATGTCCCAATTATCAAATTGTAGCTTAACCTAATATTTAATGACAATAAGGAGAAAATTTTTTATTGTAAACTGTATAAGAATTAAAGGATGTGGTTAACTATAGTAGGTATTATAATATAAAGAATGTATAGCATAAATATTTTGTAATGTGTTACACTACTTTTATGGCTATAAGTATACGTTTAACATATTTAGACTTAGTGAATAAATAAACCTAAACGTATTAAAAGACTTTTAAATTAATAATTAATTTATATTTATAATTTTTTTTTTGCTATTACAATTGGTTTGCTTTATTTTTTTATTTTTTTTTTTTGCTGTTATAAAAGGTCTGAATCTGTTGTGCTTATGCATAATGTATAAGTACACAACTTTATACAAATTGCCGCATATGTATTTTGTAAACAAATACTTTCTACGTTTGCATTATAAACAAATAGAATTGCTTTAATGTGCATATTTCCGTCCATGCCGGCATTTGTTTGTTTGTACTGCGGTGAACATATCGTATGTTTCAGCTTTGTTTAATATATAAATTATTTTTTACTCCTATTACCTATTTCAGTTGTATGTAATGAGTTATGTTTGTAGGAAATTTAAATAATAAAAATGTCACATTTTTTTGTTTGTTACTTTATTTATATATATTTTATATATTTATACATCTATTAGAACCACATACTTATGAAAGAATACTGCACATGTGATGTTGAATAATTACCGTAGTTTCTACTTCCTCAACCTGTTATATAAATTATTATTTAATCGATTTCGTAAATAATAATGACTTTTTTTTTTGTTTTTTGATGAAGAGTTATTTTTATATTATTAACAAAACGTGGTAATGTTATGAACTTGGATTAGTCATAAACAATCATTGAATGACAAATAATAGTTAATTATTATTCTTTTGAGCTCGCAAACAGATTTAATTGAACGCCAATGACAATAAACTTATGCTAATTGTTTTCATATATTTTAGTGCTTTTTGCATTAGAAATTTCCTCGTTTTCCTCACTTACCACTCTCATTCACTTGCGTGCAGGCCGTATCCACATGAATTTCAAATTTTTCGCAACATTTATTAACCAACACTGAGTTTTTATCATTAACATTGCTGCTTACCAAATTGGCGGCAGCAGCGTGTCTACGCTGCAGCTGCAGCTGCGCATTACTTGCAACTGGTGTATTTGCTATTGTATGCATTTCTGCTAACATTGCATTATTTGTTATTGTTGTCGTTGTTGTGGTTGTTATTTGTAATAACAACAACAAACAAAATAAGACTAGAGTAAAACTTAAATTATTAATAGTATTTGTTGTGCTACAACTACAACAACAATGTACATTTGGTTTATATCGTTTAAATGGAAATGCTGCTTCTTGCGTCACCATTTTGAACTTGTATTTTATTGTAAAATTATGAAAATTATCTAAAAGGAAAACAACTCGCGACGTCATCAGGGTAAAAGCTAAAGTGTTTGTTGTTGTATAGAAATTGAATGCCAAGAGTTTTTGTTGTTGTTCTTTTGCACTGATCTTGGCAGTTTGTAAGTTCACTGCGTCATCATATACACAAAGCCGGTTTAAATTTCATTTATTAGCGTGAAAATAACATGTTTCTACTTATACATGCATATATATATATATCTACATATATATGCATAAGCACATTTTGGGTGAAAACATTTAAAGTTCCTGCACATTTGTTTATAAAATATTTGTAGACATCAGCAATTTTTTCGTATTTTTGTGGGTTTTAATATCATTTAAAAATATATTAAATTAAAAAAAATTTATATGCATATATGTATATCAATTTCTTTTCTCTCAACTTATTTTCTAACTTAGTTTAACACATGCAACAACAACTTCGATCCACACGAAAGTAACGCAAGCCAACAACTAAATTAACAACCAAACAGCAGAATATCTGTAGTGGCAGCGCATACTGCTCTAGCGCCGGTGCTGCTAATACTCTCTTTTAAATTGTGTAGACTTCTCACAGTCTTTCTTTGTGCCAGCAAAATCAGTTGGCTTGATTTTACTAATGTATTGTTGCTTCAATTGGAGTCATAACAAAAAGTCTACAATTTGAATGCATTAAGCGTAGCTTGCTGCGTAAACAAAAACTGCGGAAGCCGGCAACAATAACAAATATTTCGTCAAGTCTACATTATTGTGTTGCAGTTGGTTGATAAGCAAATGCGCTGCTGCTGTTTGTTGTGTCATTTTTTAAATACATATTTTCTTCCAATTAAATATTTGTGTGCACTTCAAAAATTGTCGCTGTTATCTATAGAATATATTATATTTTTTTATTTTTAAAATTTTTTTATTAATAAAATATTTTTAACAAAACCTTTTTAACTACAGGTAACAACCCCAATAATTTTTATAATGCAAAAAAGAAAAACCGTTACATATTTCCTGCTTTCCTGCGCTACGTTCTACTTTTTTATCTTTTATTCTTTGTTCCTGGCCTGTTTGCCTGCTTGCACCACTGTCAGCTTGTCATGCTATCTTTTAATCACGCAAAGGATATTTTACTCTAGTTACTTTTAAACAGTCTTGTCCTTACCGTAATTTTCTTTAAACTTCATTATTATCAATGAGATTATTAAACGACAAGTAAAGTAACAATAGAGGTACATATGCGTGAAACTTTTACTATTCATATACCTCTCCTATGCTATATTTTAATCATTATTTTAGTTTTATGTTCCATCTACACTCTAATATAATATATAAATTTGAAGTAAAATTTTCTGTTTTTAAACAACCAAATTGATGACGTAGTAAAACGTTACTCATGCTTTTCTTTGCATTGGACAAAAACTTAACTTTATGACGCCTTTGATGCTCATGCATTGTTTCTGTTGTTAATTCGGCTTTGTTACCTGTATAACGTAATTTTTGTTGAGTCAAACACTTAAGTACGTTACTGGCGTGGCGCTTTGTTGAAAGTTACAGTGGTGGCAATTCAGTGAACTTTATAAATCGATTTAAACAAAGTGGATTCATAATAAAAATTAAGACATTTTATATTCATGTAGTTAAAAAAAAGTTTTTATTAGTCATAAAATTTAAATTCTTTTATTAATTTAAATAAAATGTATGACAGCAATGTAGGGTTCCAAGGAAGCAAAATTACTAGAATATAAAGAAATGGTTTTTATGGGGTAATTTAGTAATCCCTCTATTGTACAAAAATTTCTCCTCCGGTTCTAATTTACTGATGTACTTATTGTTGTTGTTGAAATTAATATTATAACTGTAATATAGTATATTAATATGTAGTATTTTTATACATACATAATGTTTCGTTTAAACTGTTTGCATTTCGGGAGGTGATTTCTTAATACGAGAAACGATTTTTTTTGTTTCTGCAGTAGCTGGAAAAAATCGAGACCCATAGTGTGAGACTTGAACCCACTAAAATCACTTCTCAGAAATGAATCGAAAAGATTTCCACAACAATGTGGACACTTAATTCCAGTAATCACGGAAGAGAGATGAGAACAGATAGGCTTAATACCTAACAGGCTAGCTTCATTTAAGCCAGAAGGCATGGGTGTGAATTAGGAAGATTGGGTGTTAGTGAAGGGAGTGGGATTATAGCGTAAACGTGGGCGACTAGCGGTAAACTTTGTGATAAGAGTCACGAAAGCTGCGGTTGTACAGGGGAATGACGGGGACATTACGGTACCACACATCAAAGTAATGGGAGAAGTATTGAGGGAGCTTAAACCGCAAGACTTGAATAAGATTCTCGAAGATGGTGTTGGTGTCAAAAAGTCATAGATCTAAAACAAAATGTTTTCAGCTAAATAAGCTTCAACACGTCAAAAGCAACTTATTTAAAAATCTTAAGTCCACCTAAGTGGTTATGAATCTATGCTGTAAGTACATCGCCATTTAATATCTGATACAAAGATTACCCGAAAGCGTTATATGCTATTTAAAATAATTTTTAGTAAATAATCTTCAGAATCAGGTATTGATATATAAAAAATAAAAATTTTGCAATAAAACCCACATATTTTCCAAAAAAATAGAAAAATTTTAACCATCGCGATTTTTTAACCCATTTACATACGAAATCAAATTAAAACATTTTATTAGATCAAAATTATTAATTAAATTGGTATTAATTAATATAATTATTAATTAAATTGTTATTAATTAATTTAATTATTAATTAAATTTTTATTAATCTATTTGAATAAACTGTTTTCGTTTATTGGGATTCAACTAAATGCATATTTTTTCCGGATATAGAAAGTTTGATAAAGACGATTTTCAATTTCTCTCTTTTTAAAATGAAACAAAAATTATTTATATTGATTAAGAGTTGTGTTAACAACTCAATTTCGTTTCATCTATTTTGTTACCGTAAACAATTCAATTAGTTTGAAACCATCTATAATAAAGCCAATGCAAAAAAAGAGGTCCTGTAGCTGTAGATTCTCTGGAAAGTAAGTGCCTAACATCTATTATATAGTATATAATTAAGGCATGATTAAAAGGTTAGCCAGCAAAAAAACATAAGAATGTCACATAGTACATAATACAAATAGTAGAGATGTTTTGCAAACTACCAAATTTGGAATTTATCCGATTGTTTTTTTGGATTCCAGTCATATGGTAGTTATCATTATTTCTAATACACATGGAATAGTATTTTAAGGCACAATCATTCAAACTAAACATTACACAAAAAGCAGCGACTGTCAGTGTATATACTAAACTCACTTTTAGATTCAAGCAGTTACTCAAACTCAATTTATTTCCATAATAATACTAACAAGAAATTGTTGTTTAGTACAAAAGTTTATTGCGTAAATTGTTTTCAAATAAATTACAATTTTTGAATTCAAAAAAATATAACAATATTTATATAAATTTACCTTAATTGGATTTTTTAATTATTCAACTTTTCTCTGTTTCTATCTTCTTTTTTACAGCTTTTAGAAAAGCTTAAATTTTATACACGCTTTGAGATCAATGATGTAACTGGTGACTCATTGACAGATCATGATATGACACAATTGCATTACAAAAAAATTACTTCACTACAACGAGCTGCTTTTGCCAAATTCCCTGATTTAAAATTGTTTTCTCTATCTAACGTAGCCCATGTAGATACACGCGAAACATTGGAACGGCATTTCGGTGCACTGAATGCGAAAGCATTAAAAGAAATAGCATCATTTCTGAATTTGGTGCCCGATGAACTAATAGCGCCCTTTCAGTGGCATCGCTTAGATGAGGACTTTCTCAAGGAGCTATTAATAACACGCCATGAAAAGCGTTGCTCACAACTGGAAGCACTTAATGAAATGCCACTTTATCCAACAGAAGAAATTATATGGGATGAAAATGTAGTGCCCTCGGAATATTTTTCTGGTGAAGGCTGTCTGGCATTACCGAAACTAAATTTACAGTTTCTGACACTGCATGACTATTTGCTACGCAATTTTGACCTTTTCCGACTTGAATCAACATATGAAATACGGCAAGATATTGAGGATGCAGTTAGTCGTATGCAACCATGGAAGTCTGAAGATGATTCTGGAGATGTAGTATTTGGTGGTTGGGCACGGATGGCATTGCCTATATCATCTTTTACCGTTGTTGAAGTGGCGAAGCCACATCTTGGTGAGAAAAGACCTTCACGTGTTCGAGCAGATATATCAGTAACCGTATCGGTACGCAGAGAAATAAAAGAGGAATGGGAAAATTTGCGTAAGCATGATGTGTGCTTTCTAATAACAGTTAAGCCAACACAACCTTATGGTAAATTATTTAAGTATAACCTCTTTAAAAGTAAAAAATCTATATATTATTTTATCACGTTATTAGGTACTAAGTACAATCCACGTGAACCGTTTATACCACAAGTAGGTCTTCTGTGTGTGCGTGGTTGTGAAGTTGAAGGTATGTTAGATGCAAATGGAAAAGTGATTGAAGATGGTCCAGATCCGCGTCCCATTTTACCAGGCGAGCAACGTTCTTATCGTGTATGGCTTGACTCAAATCAATACCGTTTGGATATGGATGCTTTGCAAGTGGTTAGTATTAATAATTGGTTCTACATATATCTGAAATATATATTTCTCACTAAATACTATAATTTAGGGGGCTGAAGATGTATATGATAGTTTCAATATTATTATGCGCCGCAAGCCAAAAGAAAATAATTTTAAAGCCGTTCTAGAGACAATAAGGCATTTAATGAATACAGAGTGTGTAGTTCCGCCTTGGTTGCATGATATACTACTAGGTTACGGAGATCCTGCCGCAGCACATTATACGAATATGCCGAATCAGGTACATAAATTAATTTAAATTAAATTAAAATATTATCATTGCCATAAAATACATGGTATTGTAGGAGCGGTTTTTAAACTTTAACGATACTTTCTTGGATTATGGGCATTTAGTAGATAGTTTTCCAAATTATGAAATGAAATGTGATGTGGAAGAACAATTACGTTTACCGCCTTATCGTCTAATATTTGAAGACGTGCCGGAGAAAAAAGATAGTGATGAAGAAAACGAAAAGGAAACTGGAGCGGAAAAAGATGCTGAGATTGAAATTGAAACTCAAACTTTACAAAAAGTACTTACTATCCAACCTTATGTGTCAGAGAGCCGTGGACCATATCCAATCAATAAACCCAAACAGTAATTTAATATATATCTTATAATATGTAACTATTTTTTTAAATTTTTTAATTTTATTTTAGAAATTCTGTGCGTTTCACTCCTACACAAGTTGAAGCTATACGTGCTGGTATGCAACCTGGTTTAACATTAGTTGTTGGTCCACCTGGTACAGGTAAAACTGATGTGGCGGTGCAAATTATTTCTAACATCTATCACAATCATCCAAACCAGCGTACACTTATTGTAACACATTCCAATCAAGCATTAAATCAACTTTTTGAGAAAATCATGTACTTAGATATTGATGAACGTCATTTGTTGCGTTTGGGTCATGGTGAAGAAGCACTTGAAACTGAAAAAGACTTTAGTCGCTATGGGCGTGTTAATTATGTCCTGTCGCAACGATTAGAATTATTGAACAAAGTACAAAAATTGCAAGAATCAATGAATGTTCTTGGCGACAATGCCTACACCTGTGAAACAGCCGGTTATTTTTATCTTTATAATGTCATGGCACGTTGGGAGAAATTCTTAACAGAGGCAAGTGGAGTGGCAAATAGCGAAGATGCAACAGTATGGCGTACAGTCTTTGAAGAGAAATTTCCTTTTACTAAATTTTTTGCTGATGCACCACAGCCGCTTTTCAAAGGCAAAAATTATACAGATTATATGGATATTGCACAATCTTGCTATCGTTATATTTCACATATTTTTACCGAGTTGGAAGAATTTCGAGCATTTGAACTGCTACGTACTGGTATTGATCGTTCAAAATATCTGTTGGTAAAGGAAGCTAAAATAATTGCTATGACTTGTACTCATGCTGCACTTAAACGCAAGGAGTTAGTGAATCTGGGTTTCAGATATGACAATATACTGATGGAAGAGTCTGCACAAATTCTAGAAATTGAAACATTTATCCCACTTTTATTACAAAATCCTTTAGATGGTTTTAACCGTCTGAAACGTTGGATAATGATTGGTGATCATCATCAGTTACCACCCGTAATTAAAAATATGGCATTTCAAAAATTCTCGAATATGGAACAGAGTCTTTTTACACGTTTAGTAAGATTAGGTGTACCAACAGTAGATTTAGATGGACAAGGACGTGCTAGATCCAGGTTTGTATTTATTTAACAAAGTACACTTTTTATTGTAATCTACAAGAAAGCGACGATTTATTTATTTATGAGTTAACACTAAAAGTAAACTTAGAATGAGGAAATGAAGTGGGTTAAAGGATTACTAGGTCGTTAGCTCTGCGAACAATCTGCGACAATTATTCGTGGTGACAATTATTCGTGGCGAAATTAACAAATTATAAACAATTGAACAGTATTATAAATTTTTGTCTTTGTTTATAATAAACTGCTATTCTTGGAAGGATTTTATATTTTTTAAGGGAAACACAGCTAACCTATAAATAATATGTTGTTAAATATTATTTGTATAATTTGTAATATTAATAATTTTTAAAGTAAACTTATAAATTAATCTTTAAAAATTTTCAATTTCAGTATTTGCTCTTTATACAAATGGCGTTATAAAAAATTGGATGATTTAGTTCATATATTTGAACGCGATGAGTACCGAAAAGCAAATTCAGGTTTTCTGTATGACTATCAGCTGATTGATGTTGATGAGCCCAATGGTGAAACTGAACCAAATCCATATTTCTATCAGGTATGATAAAACCATAGATAATAATATTTGTTTATTTTAAAAATTTAAATTTTAGAATCTCGGTGAAGCCGAATATATTGTCGCAGTTTATATGTACATGCGATTACTTGGCTATCCAGCGGATAAGATTTCAATACTAACAACATATAATGGTCAGAAGCATTTAATACGAGACGTTATCAATGTACGTTGTGGAAATAACCCACTCATAGGTTGGCCCTATAAAATAACTACTGTTGATAAATATCAGGGTCAACAAAACGATTACATACTTATTTCACTGGTGCGCACTAAAGCCGTTGGTCATCTAAGAGACGTGCGTCGTTTGGTGGTAGCAATGAGTCGTGCTCGTTTAGGATTATATATTTTCGGGCGTGTTGCATTGTTTAGGAATTGCTTTGAATTGCAAAAAACATTTAAATTGGTATGTATAATGAAATGTAATTAACAGATAACATAAAACACTGTGTTGCAAAGTCTTGGTAAAAAGATAATAACAATTTTTAAAATTGAATGCAATTAATTCACCATTATCTAATTCGCTGTAATAGTTTTGACCAAAATTTTTGAATTGCATTGCACTTGAATTACTTATCAAAAAAAAGTTTTTCCATTTGGAATATTATTAACTTAACTCAAGCTTTACAAGGAAATCTTTCTGCATTAAAATTTTAGATATTTGAAAATAATTTTAACAGGATTTTCTTGTCAGTTTTCTTGTGGTCAGGATATAACACAATCATGTGCTATAAGTCACTTGTCACACATATACGTCTACTCCTAATATGTGCCTTAATTGCAGCACCATTCCCCATAACGTCGTCCATCTGTTCTCTTGTCCTAATGTACACACCATATTAGGGTGACTGGGTTTTTTTATCTCAATTTTGGCTAGTTTTATTTAATAAACCCTATCTTACAACCTCCTCCATCTCGTATCCTGTAAAACCTTTATAGTTTTGCAAGCCTCCAAACGCTGACATTCTAATGTATTCCTATTGAAATTCCATTCATTTTTTTTACTACCTAATTATATTCATATACCATATACCTGTGTAGACGTATATATAATTTCTGTTGTTTCTAAGAATAATAACAATAAGTATATAGGTCGACATGGGTTACAATATTAATAAAAACAAAAAAAAACAATATTAAAATAATAAAAAAAACTTCCTAATGAAATAATACAATCTTTCTCAAATTTAATGGCAGGGTCAAAACCTTCCGAAAGTAATCGAAGGACTGTATATACTTATACATAATATATATTTATTATTAATGCATCATAACTGTTTAATAAGTTAAATTATTGTTATAAATAGTAAAATTATCTGAAAATATTTAGTCTCTTTTCACAGTGATATTGTATAATAAATAATAAAAAAAATCTTTTCAGCTAACCGAACGTCCGCTGAAATTACAATTACTAGCTGGTGAAACCTATCCAACAGAACGTTTAGTGAGTGATTCAGTTGAGGCTGAAGTAACAACGATCGAGGGAATGTCTGCTATGGCCGCATTTGTATACAAAATGTACATGCAGAAAATAGACAAAATAAAAGAAAAGCTACCAACTGACGCAGAATTAGAAATATATAAAAATCTACCACAAGCCATTGGTAATGAGACTGTCGAAAGTGATATCGAACAGGAGCAAACACAGAATGAAGAACCACCACAAAAACGTAAAGCGGTGGAGGAAAAAAACAAAGATGAACCATTTAAGCCAACACTTATCGTCAATGAGATAGAAGAATTAGTTGAAGAAGAAACAATTCAACCCATTAAAAATTCAGAAGAAACCATGATCGAAACAATTGAAAATTCAGAAAATATTGAAGTAGAAGCAGAAGAAAAATAAACTCTTTATAATAACTAAACAATTTATTTACTATAAAAATAAATCAAATTTAAAGACGTTTTGACACATAATAACAATCATTTCTATTTCTTCGGAGCAGTAATACCCTCTAATTGTGCTTTTAATTGAGCATTTGTTTTTTTTAAAAATGTAACTTCTTCGGCAAACTTTTTCTCTTCAGCTTGACGTAATTCATTATTTCGGCGTTCCATTTGTTCATTCTTAATTTTCATATCAGTAATAACCTCCTCCAATTCTTCCTTCTCGCCTTGCAAGACTGCCACACGTTCACGCAACATCTCTTTTTCTTCATGTGCTTGCAAAGCCTTTCGCATACCGAACGCTACGGAACTACAGTATAGTGTTTCGTAGGCTTCCATTGACATATCAATCTCATCACGCACACGTAACAGCAGTAGACCACGTTCCGAACAATTGATAGTCACTTGACGTATAATTTCATCTGGCATATAGAATTTAAGATATTTATTTTACGCACTCAAACGAGTAAATATAAATAGTTCTTACCAAAACATTGACCATACAACTCACGTCTAATGGGACATATACCGGTTTCACGTGCTTGTGTTTGTTGTAAACGTGTATCCAATAATTCTTGTAAATTTATCACATCTTGACGAGTTGCTGGTATACTGGACACCTAATAGGAATATAGAAGTATATTATATTATATTGAATTTTTAACTTTAGTTAATAACTATTTATATTAATTTATTTCAAGTCTGGTATATTTTGTAATAATAATAATATGTATGTCCAAAGAAAATTGATGTGGAGCATTAGTTTACAAAAGGAAGACCTAAAACTTTGGTCTTCCTTTGGTCTTTGAACATTAGAAGAGAGTTGATATCTAAAAATACTGCGTATAACTTGAATTTTAATTAACCGAGCATTTTCCAATCTGACTGACTAGAAACAGGAAAATTAATGATATTTAGACGGATTCGAATAGTAAAGAAAAGACAAAGACAAAAATTTTAGTTAATTTATTGAAATTTGGCTGACCATACAACGCAGTTTCGAGTATTGCCAAGTACTCTTCATCAGCGGGCTTAGAATGAGTACTTGGCAATATTGGAAACAGCGCTGTATGGTCAGCCATTCGAATCCGAGTTTCGTTTCGCCATAAGACGCGTCACTCTCTGCAAGAAAGAAAAATTAACATTAATGATATTTAATTTTTTTAATTCAAGGTATAAACAACCACGAGAGTAAGTATATTTTCTAATTTCAGACGAGAATACACAGACAACTCGCTAGATTTTAGCAAGGAATATTTTCATTTGTGTGCTATGGGTAATAAACTGCAGTCTTGAATAATATTTACAAATTAGAAATCTATATTATGACAAATAAATTTAGTCATGAAGTTTGAGGTCATTCAATATTTACCCCAAAATCAGATTTCACGTGAATGATGTATTTTACAATTTTAAAAATTTATTTAGAAACACTTATTTAAATATATTTAGTATTATTTTCAGAATAACATTATGTATTATTTCAGAATAATATTATGTATTATTTCAGAATAATATTATGTATTATTTCAGAATAATACTTACAGTTTGCTGCCATATCTGTCCATTTTCCTCCCAACAGCGTGGTGGCAGTACGGCATTCAGTATATCCTCTGTTTCTCTCTTTGCATCTAATAGCACACCGGCAGTTTGTATACGTTTTACATCCTACGGAGTGGAAAATGTATTTAGTTTTATTTAATTTTATTTAAAAACATTTAATTCGCTTACTATATCTGATTTTCTCTCTGGATGTTTCGTTACCAAAACTGGGTTATTAAAACGAACTAAAGATTGAAATTTGCCTGAAGTATTTCTTTGAGTATCTTCCATTTTTCGTGAAAATAAAAACTTTAATTTTTCTTAAAAAATAATTACTCAAGAATTGAAATAACAAAAAAAAAATTTATGTATTATGCATATATTAGAAAATTTTTTTATTTAGAAATAAAACTTTGTTTACTTCGATCGCACCTAGCAACTAGTTGACCTACTCCAATTAAATTGGTACAATTAAATTAATATGTACTATATGTAAAATTTCTACTTTTTATATTAAAAAAAATTTTGCAAACATATTTTAAAAATATAGTCATCGTTTAAATTTAAAAAACATGTTATAATACGATATATGCACTTTGGTCGAAATTGGCAAAATGGTATAACATAAATTTTTCAGTGTTCTTTGTGGTTTTGGCAACCCTGTATCCCTTAGCTGTCATTCAAGGTATACATTATTTGTTGTTTTGTTATTGAAGCATTGTGGCGCATTGTAAACAAACAAATAGCCAAAGTAACTTTTAATTTGCGACGTGAAGGAATTTCACAATTAGTTAATTTAATATTTATAACATAAAATGACATTCTACGATGAAGATTTGACGGTATGTACATACATATGTAACTAACTGTATATATATTTTGTATTTGCGATTGTTGCACACCCGCATTGTTTATAAATAATTACGCTTAATATAACCTTAATTAATGACTTTCTACATAATTTTAGAGTCGAATACTGGACTTGTTGTCTGCACCTATCGTGCAACGAGTTCACGAGCTGCCCAATTTGTTTCAACATTGTAGTTTACGTGAGTTGCAAGATGTTTTTCCCGCTTTGGTGCAGTCGATATTTGGTGTGGGCACCGGTGGTTTTGGTTGGGGTTTACGCGGTAGCACTAAAGAAAATACATCTGGTTGTTTTGATTTGATATATACATTTTTTGCACCACAAGGACCTATGCTACGTGTATGCTATAGATTGTTAAATGATGCCATTAAATTTGATTTCAGCATAAATATGTTGCCGGTATGTTATTATACAATAAAAATATGCCTTTCTAGAATTATATTTGGAACAAAATTATATTTGCAGCCTAAATTAGCGCAACTGATGCAATCAGGTCATTATTCTAGATTTTATGCAGATGTTTTAAATGTGGATCCATTTCGGCGGCAAGTAGCTTCATTATCATTGAATGCCTTTGATTATTATATGCTACATTTTGTTATACATGGAACATTTCCGTTGCACAAATGGTATCCAGCAGCACTGCAAGTACAAAATGAACGTGTCAAAACGCTGTATTTTTTCTTAACATCTGATTATTTGGGTACATTTTTACCAAGCCACCCTGATGGTGTAGTGATTCCTGATATAGGCAATATTATAAAAGCACCACAACCGATACCTGTGCAACCTATGCAACCCGTGCGTAAGCCACGTTTTTTAAAAATACCACAATCAAGTCTTTTTGCTGGTGATGACACAAATGCGACTGGCAATTCTAATCAAATGGCAAGAAACGAAGAATCTATGCGAGCATGCGATTGGCGTACAGAGTCAGTGTTACACTTTTTTATTGATATATGGTTCAATTATGAAATTGGAGAAAATGCGGTAAATAAGTGTATTTAATAAAATATTTACTATAATATTATTAATAAAATAAAAAGAAATATTCATATGCTACGCAGGATATACCTAGCAGCGAATTTATACGCCACGTGCGTGTGCTGATCAAACACATACATGCCTTTGCTAATTCAGTACATATAGATCATTCAGGATTGGCTCCTTTGCGTAAAATAGCACAGCCGATGATGAAGGCGCACATATATCCATTTATTAAAAATATATTCAGCCGTTGGCCTTTGGATAGTTCATTACTTGTTGTGTTGGAATTGTGGTTTAGTTATATACAACCTTGGCGATATACGTATGAAACACAAATTAGCATGTAAGTTTTATATACTTCAAATTATATACAATTAATGCATAATATCGGTATGCGACTTTCAGACCACATCGTCCCGAGTTCGGTATACACAGTCGTTACGATAATTTCATACAGGATAATATTGTTATGTATACTCAAATATTCGTCAATTTGTTACCACGTTTTAAGCGTTTGGACTTTACTATATATCGGAACTGCATTATGATGCAGAGATTGGTGAAGGTAAATATATATTAAATATTTTTTACTACTTATAGTGGAATTTATAGGGCCTGTTTTAAGTACAACATATTTATTTAGAATTATACAAATTTTACAGTACGCTGGGAGTTAACATTTATTAACTGTTCAAAGTTTTAAAGTTATTGCTGTTGTACATGTGTTTGTTGTTTTGTTGTTTTCACAATCTTTAGGGTAGGAAAGAAAAGGCGTTACGTTTTTTCACGCTCACTCTTTTTTGTAGCAGAATTATTACAAAAATATTCGCATAGTCGCAAAAATTTCTATAGAAGTCTGTCATTATTCGTATGTTTCACTTAAATTTCTGTTTGGAGCTGCTTTGAGAGCAAATATGGAGTGGAAACGAATACTTTAGACTCCTTGCGTTAGAAACTCTAAGTTTGCGTTAGAAACTCTAAGTGAAGAGCATATTAGGTAATATTGGTTATAGTATGTGAAGAACTAAAAAAAAATTGGATTCCAAAGAGAATTTTACTTGTCTTATATTATTGGGTGATTTTGAAAAATCACCCAATAGTTTTTTATAACTATATGGTGCTGATAACCATATCTCAGGCAACACTAATCCAATTATGTCTAACAAATACGTGTTTGAAAGATTGCATTTAAGGCTATATTTCAGATAAAGGTACTTCGTCGCTGAAACAAATAAAAATAGTAATCTTAAAAAATCGGATGAATCTATTAATCAATTGGTTCTAAATTAATGGTTGTTGGCAGATAAACAAATGCATTACCTAAACGGATTTGCAAATTGGTCACGCAATTTGAATTTATAAATTATACGCAATAAATTCTAGTCAGTTAATACTAAGTTTAGTTAAAGGTTGTATCCTTCTCACAGTCGTACCGGTTTTTTATTTTAACTTATAGGTATTCAGTCAACCAATGTTTATGCAGAAAATTTTGCATGCTGAAGAAGTCTACCTGGGGAACACGTTAGGTTATGAAACAGTTCACAGGTATGCATACTATTACAAGTTAATTACAAAAAATACACATTGTCCATTTATGAGGATGTATATTAAATATTGGTTTTATTTACAGACACAACACATCGTCTGTTATAACAGACTGGGATGCTTTCTTTCACGAAGAAGTTTATACACCATTGTTTGGACAAGAAGTAGTTGCTGAAATTCAAGAATTCATAAAAACAATTTACGTTTCACGGGTTCATCTGCAGCATGAAATTAATCGAACAAGACATTATATGGAAGAAAAACAAAACTCATTGGGCTTGTTTCGTAAACTTTTTGCTAGCTGTTTTGAAGAAGTTTCCCCAGATGTGCTAAAGTTGCAAGAACTAACAAAAATACCAGACTTTCTAGATTCTATCATTAACGCATTAAGCGAAATGTTTAAAGTAAATTGTTTTTATAAATATAATTACTATAACTTTTAACTAATTTTACTTATAGATTGAATTACCCAATATATCGGTGGAGGAACTTGAACCAATTATAAATAGATCTTCGCAATTAAATTTTTCTATTTTTGACGACAGCAATTATTTCGATCTTTCCAAAATTACGCCAGAAATGGTATGTTAGAAAATATTCTACAACAAATATAAAATAATAAATATTTTTTTTTGTCTTTAGATGCGAAGAAATACTGCAAATATAACATCAACTATTGACCCCGCTTTGGAAAATATACACTCATATGAGTGTCCATTTATTGTACGGTTTCTACATACAGTGTCTAATGAAATTAATAATAGGGTACGTGTGAATTCTATATATGTGTACATTTTTGTATTTATGAATGTGTTTATGTACACTTTATATTTATGGTAAAAATTTAAGTTAAGGGGATCACCAGTTCTCTTGCACATTTTTGTATATATTTACGTATATTTTATATTTACGGTGAAAGCTCGCTTAACCGAACACTGAAAGGATCAGCAATTCTATCGGTTAAGAAAACTGTATTTGTAGAGTTATTCTTATTATTCTATTACTCTACTGACCCTAGAGCAACTATTTTGTAAAGAAATGAAAACTAGACTAATAATATTGTACAGATAAGAGAGCACTTGCGCTTGTGAGAGAAAAAGACCCTCCCTTGTGTTTGTAAATATATGTATGTGTATCGAGAGTTACGTATGTATGTTATTGAAAAGAATACGTTTTTCTACTGAAAAGAATACTCCAAGTGATATATAAATTGTATACATTGTATACAAATTGTATATATAATACAGAAGTTTTGAGGATTATCAATATTTCAATTCAAGACACTTATATAATCTATGTACATATGTAGCATCAAACCCGAAAAACAAGAGACTACTTTAATGTAATACTTATCTTCTACAATAAAATTATTTAAAACCTCAATATTAATCTCAAGACTTGAATAGAGTTGAACTATTTATCTATTCATATTATACCATATGAGTGAAAGTTAGGATGTATTAGAAAAGTTAGAAAGCCTTATTATTACATATTTTTTAAATTAAATGTTTTTTCTCTTTTCAGTATGGGGATGGCATAAGAAGAAATTATAATCGAAGCGACTTTTATGGTAAACTATTGCGTCAGCTTGTCCTGCCACCAATGACCGCAAAATGGTTTGATAGACCGCGTGGTATACAGGAATTAATTGAAAAACCATTACCAGCGCGAGTATGTCTGCGTCCTATGGCCTCTTACAGATTTTTATTTGTTGTATTTTTATCCTTTGTATTAGGATATATTATATGGCATGCACCAAGTCTTGGAATTTTGTGCTTATTGTTGTTATATGTAGTTTATTTTTTAGTGCTAGCTATATTTTCATAAAATTTTAAAGTTGATAATTTTTTTATATAAAAATCATAAAATTTTTTATAAATATATCAAAAATAAAGTATATGTGTCCACATATATGAATGTGAATTTAACAAAATCTACGATGCTTGTCTTAATTTTATAGATAATCTCAATTGCTCATTGGGCACGGTAACCAAGCGTAAGATGCGTTCAATAGGTTTCTCGTTGAGACATTTTAGTTGGAAATTATTGCAGATCTGAAATAATTAAAATAAAATGTATTTGAAAAAAAAAATGTTAAATAAGGCAACGAATTATAAATATTCAGTAACTTACTGCAGTTAAAAAAGATTTTATTTGATTTGTTGCTATCTTCCTGCCAATACAAGAACGACTACCGATAGCAAAGGGTAGTGTACCATGGGCCTGTAGAACATTTTTAAGTTCACCAGTTTTTTCATTACGCTTCCAACGTTCCGGCATAACAGTGAAGGGTTGAGGAAAGTGTTTAGCATCTCTACCAGCCGTGTACAGTGAAAGTAAAACTAGGGTCTGCGGTGAGTAGGAATCAAAATAATATATTAAATTTAAGGAAGTTGTATTTATTTAGATTAATAATTTTTAAATAGATGAAATTTTATAAATTGGTTTTGAGTGATTAGATAGATTTAAAAAAAAATGCTATGAAATATTGGATTTAGCTTTTAGTGGTAGGAAACATAATTTTAGAATATGTTTAAGGTAAAACTGATTTGAAATTATTTATAAGACCTTATAGAATAAATATCAATGAAATAACTTCTACTCTAATCGATCATTGAAACTTACATTTTTTTCAATAGAATAATCTTCAAGTGTGGCATCATCTGCTAGGTAACGACCTATAAATGGTGCTACTGGATAAAGACGAAGTGTTTCCTTAAGTAACCCATTAACAAGCTGAGCTTCTGCTGCATTTTGTTGTATGTCCTTATAAATTTTTTGTTGTAGCAAACTGTTCTGTGATAGCAAATATAAAGCCCACTCGGTTGTATAAGCAGTCTAAAAGATAATAATTATGATAAGTTTTAAAAGATGTATTAATTATTGTTTCAATTTTATGAATATTTATGCTTATATTTTGTAGTTTGTTTCATATTTTGCCTTTTCCGCTTTTCTATCATTCCAAGTTATATACTCTTTTTAATGATTTTATGGACACAGAACTAATTAAATTTAAGTTAGAAAAAACTTCTTATACTTACAGTGTCTCCAGCTGCTATAACTAAATCCACAAATATACGCTTGATCATTTCATGACTCATGCCGGCACTTTTAAGTTTAAAAAAAATAGGTGCTGTATCTGGTACTTCTTCCTTTTCATTTTCCTCATTTATCTGCTCTATAAACAAGTCAATTATTTGTGAACTTCTAAATAGAACATCGGTGACATGTTCCTCAAACTCGGTCCATATTTCTAAGTTCAATAATTTTGCCAACTTTGGTGGAAAGTTCATTAGGTTAGAGCTACTTTTAAATATTTTATTCACTACTCTAGAGAAGTCACAAAGACCAGTAAGTATTTCATCATTGTTATCATAATTGGGTCCAAACATAATAGTACATACAACTATAAAATTAAAAAGTAATCAAAATATTGTTAATAATAATTATTGTTATAAAAACATGTTAAAAAAATTTAATCGAAGAAAACGTTCCTTCCAGTAGCTTACATAGTATATTACTTTAGTCCATAAAATATTTTTTTATCTTTTCGGACCATATATTTTCTTCAGAAATTAAAATATTACAATATAAAATATGCTTTATATACGTGAATGAGAAATAACATATTAGGAATGCAATGCATTACTCAATCCATAACATCTTACCTAATGAGTGGTAATAAATCATTAACACATGACTCCTTAACTATATGCAGTATCCTTTATGCGTCTTTTTTGACATAAAAATCTGTCCCTTACTCTTTTATAATACCCTCTAATTATAAGATTTAAGGAATTAAAAGTTACAAATGAATTTTTTCTCATCGTATAAAGATCAATATAATTCGAAATTAAATTTAACTAACGAATATGTTAAGTTAAGCATTCAGAAGAAGGTATGACGAAGAAGAAGGTATAATGCACTATCTACACATAATATCGGGTATATCTCTTTCTTGGCACAATCATGGGTATGTCATTAAATATAACCATATAAATATGTTAATACAAAATAAGCTTCTAAAATTGTAATAATTTTCATTAAACCTAAAGAGTCTATTAAAACAATTAATTTTATTATTATTTATTTAATTAATTTATGCTGAAATTTTAAATTAAACTTTTTAACCGTAGTTCACAATTTCTTACCATCAACAGCCCAATGATAAAGTTGCAACTCTAGATCATATATTTTTATAAAATTTTCACTTTCTGGTTGTAGAGCTAAGCATTGCTTTTTCCATTTATTGATCACTTTCTCTGTAGAAGTTTCAATATATGCGTCCATCCAATTTAAATTACCATTGATTAGAAATTTATTCATAATACGTCGGTTGTGTAGCCATTCTTCACCATCCCTGCAATAATATAATAGTTATACCACTACAATAAACTCTTGACTTTTAAATACTAATAAAAATTCAGACTGAAATCTGACTTACATAAAAAATAGTCCACGTTCACATTTGTATTTTTCATTATAAAGTTTCCAAGCGTCTGGTATTGGATGCTGTGGATATTGTCCCTCATGAAGAAAAACATTTCTCATTAGACTTGCTGATGAGACAAATACAGCATCCTGTTTGCCGCCTAGACGTTCTCGAAAGATGGGACCATGTTCTGCATGCCGTTTGTCAATATATTCGTGTAATCTGCAATTTTAATTGAAATTTTGTCTTGGAATATTAAATTTGAAATAGATTAAAAATTTTAATTTATTATATTTTTATTCAGATTTTCGTTCAAACCAATTTATTTTAAAATAAAAATAATATAATATAAAAATTTTATTTTATTAAATAAAATTGTGTGTTTGTAGAAATTAGTTTCTATCTAATTTAATAGAATATAAATTAAAAGAATTTATCTTATTTATGTTATTATTATACTGATATAGGTAGGTAATTTCTTAGACATTTAGTTCCTTCTATAATATTTGGTATATTTGACCAACTCAAAGAGATGTAGTTCAGTAATTAAAAAAGTTCTGAATACATCGACTCCTTAATATTGTTATTACTAAACAGAATGAGATAATATTGTTTTTTTTAATGGATGAGATTAAAACATTTTGTTTGAACTACGATCCCTTTTTCGTAAACTTATATTATTTTGGCATTGAGTGAAATTCGAAATGCAATAGGATTCGCATAGCTGATGTCGCAGACGCCATTGTTGGATATTACTTCCAACAGTGGCTAGTTTGGAACTTAAACTTTTGATTATTTCATTTGTTAAATCTTATTACAAAATAGGATGCCCCATTTATTTTTACAAAAATTTTTTCTCAATATTATTGTAACAATGTGTTTTTTCATGCGGTGTTATGTCAGCGTTTACTGATTAAAGCACACTTATAGCGATGTTATAAACAGTTACTACAGTTCTCTCTGAAACCACAACATCGCATATTTGTTCAACTGTCCAACGCCATTCATAATCTGAGCTTGAATTAAACTGTAGTTTGGTTGCATTTATATAGATTTTAAGACCTATAAATACCTATATATGTATTTAAGACTTATATTTATAAATATGACCTGTAATCCTCCCCAATTCTTTTTTTTCGCATTTTCTTTTAACCAAAATCCTATCCTGGTTACTAAGTTACATCTTTACTTGTTCTCGAAATAATAGGCTGATTGTGCTTTTTATATTCTAGTCTGTCGGTATTGATGGGGTCCCACCATCAATGTGTTATTATAACAATAATAACACAATCAGGTTGATATCGTAAAATTTAGATCAGGTTAATGTGGCAGTTACACCAATTGAACAATTCTATTCTATCGAGTTGTCGCTATTCAACACGGGACCTTAATTATTATATCAAGGGATAAGTTTTGTGATTCCAAGATTTGTGTTAATGTTAAATTTGATGTCGATTACAGAAAAAAATATTAACAAAATATATGTTTATATTTATTTATTTATATATTTATATAAACAGAATAATATTTAGTTAATTAATTTATTCTAGAATCTTAAAGATAAAATATATTAAATATAAATATATATATATATATAATAAAGATATTGTATTAAGGTATTTTTTGGCAGATATATTAATAAATTAATCTAGTCCATAATCATAATGGTATATATTAAATTATTATTAAATATATTTATTTATAAAATTGTTATTTTATTATAAAAAAATCTTATTAAGCCTTACTTGGCAGCTCCACCTGCTGACATTAGCTCAAAAAGTGTACCAACCACTGGTAGACCTTTGGTTTCCGGAATTGCGCGCACAATATGATAATCCGATTTCGAAGTTTTATTAGTATTATCTTTATCAGAACTTTGTCTTGTAGTACGGTATTTCAATGAGGTTCGATATTTAAATATTATTAAGATCTTAACCCAAAGACTCTTCAGGGATCTTAAAATATATGAAAGTAATTTTCGTGCATTAGACATACTGACTAACTTAAGAGATACACTTTCAAGCACGTTTTATTTTTTTCAAGCTGAGTTAGCGATATGCGATTTGTTGCAATTTTTACTGTTTTTGTTATTTTATTTTCACGTTAAAATTGTGTATAATAAATGTATCTGCACTCAAGTCATCACACGGCTAATGAACTAAGTTTAGCAGTAATAAAGCGCGGCAGGCGATTTGCGAGTAAGCCTCACGCAAAGGAAATAAAAAATCGTTTGAAGCTCAATGTTGCGCTTATACAAACGCTTCACTAAGTATCTCACCTAAGACTGAAGTGCTAAAATTCTTTTCGCTGTAAAGAAGGTATATATAAGTGAAAAGTAAAATAAATAAAAGATACAAATATTTTTTTGTATTCTTCAGTTGCGCTTGGATTAAAAATTATTGCTGGCATTACACGCCAGACAGGGTACAGTGAAAGAAAAGGAAAGAGTACCGCATTGGAAATTGAAATTAGTTAAATATCCGCTAAGAGTGACAAAACAAATTTATAATGCTGATACGACACAAGTAAGTAAATACACATTTTTACTTTTACTTAATAAAACCAAATGTTATGAAATTGAGTAAGATATATTACATATGTATGTGATTGATTATCAAATTCGAAGGGTACAGTAAACAAACGCGAATTGAATCCGTGATCGAATTTTCTTGATAACAGCCTTTCTGTTTATGTTTCTTTCGTTCAAACGGAAGGAAGCACTATAGATTTTCCTGATTAATAAATATTTTTAAAATTAATAGAAATAATCTATTCATAAATACAATATATAATTAAACTCATGAATATATATATTATATATATAAAATTTTGTTTCTATTCCTGAAAAAAGAAAATGTCATCTTTAGATTATCTGTTAATCTAAATAACTAAAGTGTAGTGAAGAGGTTATGTAAAAAGGTAAAAGGTATGGGCATCCGAAATCACGAATATTCAGAAACCCTAGAATTCTGTCAGACGGTTACTCTCCATTCTTTTGAATTTATTACTTTTAGTTTTCTATTCTAATTTATTTACTCCGAATAAACAAATCCTTGTTTTTTTTACTAAGTTTCTTCTTAAAATGTTACACTTTAGTCTTTTTAGACAATCTTACAATATAACCAGCCTATTTTTCTTTCTTCAGCTCACATTAAACTATGATCTTTCCTCTTATTAACTGACACAGTTCAATAATTATCTCTTACAGTAATAATACAGTTATTTTTCATTTAAAAAGTCGATAAATTTTAAGACAAATTGTTCCACTAATCATAGTTGTAACATATCTAGTAAGTGTGCTAAGAGGGGTCACATTCGAAAGAATTTCCCTTTGTATAAATTTACAAGCAAACATATAATTTAATATATTAAATTCTTAAACGTTTATTTGATTGCTTAAACAAAACGATCAGTTAATTAGAAATCTGATTTTAATTACTGCACACAGCTGCCGGAAAATAACCAAAGATACAAAGATCGATATATCGGATGATGGAGAAAAGTTGTATGGGTCGTGGTTTTTTAAGTTATATTCTGAAATTTTCCTTCTCGGACATTATACTATGTATGATGTGTATTAGTATTTGTATTAGTTGCTAGTTCACAGAATCAGTAATATATGTTTCAACATAACCTTTATTATGTAAGTACTTCTCAGATTTACCTATGCTCCCTATGCAAAGCGAAAAAATCACAAAGTAAATTTAAGTAATTTTTATTAAATAACTAATGACATGCTTATAATTTTTATTATTATAGATAGGTTGTACATGGACTACGACTTGAAAGGTCTTTTATGCAGCCTCTCGCCCAATTAGTCCAATACGTGATATGCTTATTGAGTAAATAATATAACAGTGAATAAAAATGGATTAGACATAATATACAGTACCGAATGTCAAAATTGGCGGTGCAGATAGTTCCCTGGCCAGTAGGCATTCATTAGAAACATTTAAGTACCAGTTGAGAGGAAGAGGAAACAACCAAATTCTTTTCTTTTTTATGGCCAAACCCAGCAAGATGAGACCTTTCACTAAGGGTTTTGAACGACCTAAGGATCCCGGTAAGCATCGCAAACATATATTTTCGAAAAATAATTTCTTTTATCAATTTATCAATTCTTAAGACGAGGTTGTTGGAACAAATTGCGCTAAGCACTACTTGGACAGAAAAGTTTTTGTCATCGCTAAAAGCAACCAACCGACCAGACGTGGTTGTTTATTGGAGTAATATTCAAAAATTTTGTATATTAACCAAAAAATATGGAAACATTAAATTTCTACATTTGTGTAATTTATTGATTTATTGAGCGATGGATGTGTTTGTTTATTTGTTTTGTAGTACCCTTTTAAAAATATTTTTTTTTATGTAATTACGTCATATTAAGACACACTATTTAAACAATAGGACTTTTAAAAATCTGTATTCAAATGTATATGTGCAGAATCGGCTAAAAAATATATGTTTCTAAAATAATTCAGTACTATTGATAATAAACAAATACAGTTTTTTAGACTTTTATTTAGAAAACTATAAAAAAATATATATTATTTTAAAATAATACATGCATTTATATATTTTTACGAAAGCCTTATTTAGAAATTACAGCGTTTGACTGCATTTCGATCATAGGCCCATAAGCGTAAATTTAGTATATTATCCTTTTTACGTAGCATCCAATCAGTAAAACGTGACTCTTGTATCTCTTCATTGGAATAAGTACAATGCTGTTTATGCCGTCTATAGGTACGAAGTATCAGTCCAGGCTTACAATACTTGCATCTCTTTTGTAAACGTCCCTTCTCCCACAACTTTTCCTCAATATCATAAAGAGGATTCCAGCGCGTTAAGTCGACATAACATGGTATGCGAATACATAGTTCTTTCAACTCGATTGGTTTCATACAGCGAAAGATATCGCGAGTAGTGGGCTTATAAGTTTGTAATAACTTCCAGACTAACTCTATATTGAAATTGCTTTCACAGGATTTTCTTGTATGTAAATGTCGTTTATATGCTGGCCGTTTACATTCTTGTCGCTTACATAGTTTGTGTTTGCATCCTATCTGTTTTTGTTGTTGTCTCTTACAAACTTGCTGCTTATACCCTTGACGCTTATGTACTTGCCGCTTACATTTTGGCTGCTTACAAACTGGCTTCTTGCGTAGTCGTCTTTTGCATGCTCTTCTCTTGGGAATAGTCTGCTTATTAGTTTTTCTTTTGCATGCCCGTCGTTTACATCTACTTCGCATTTTAGGAGCTGTATAAGCATAATTTATAGGGAATTCAGAAGATTTAACTATAATTTTGATCATACTGAAATTATAAATATAAATCGAAAAGTATATATAACATACTGACGTTTTAATAATAGAATATTAGATTTCAGTATATTGTTCTAGAATAAAACGAGAATTTTTTTACTCAAGACGTGTTTGTTTAGGACGAACTAGTAATGATTCATAAAAATCCACCCATCCCTACACCACTCATGTTCCCAACGGTGCCCTCCCTTTTTACACTCGCTTTGCCAAACCATTTCCTGAGCCATGTATATATATTTTTAATTCCTTTTCATATTATATGCTGTATAGATCTATAGATATCTATAGAGATATAGATAATAACAATAACAACTATGTTTTAATAGGGTGCATTGAAAAATAAATCTTAAATGAAGATATACCTATTTACTCTTTTGGGTCCAAATTTGAATGATGGTAACTTTTTAAATAAAATAGAAGAGAAGAAGTTTTCTTTAACAGAGAACGAAGATTACGGATTAGCAGAAACAGATGTGATAACACTTAATTCTAGTTTAATTCAACTTATTCCAAGGAAACTTTATTATCGTATACTTAATATGGAAACAAATCATGATTGGTTTTAAAGTAATAGACAAGTTCTAAATTTGGAAAGTTTTGAAATAAAAAACTATAGTTACGCCTACCTATAAATCTATTTTGCAATTTAATGCATACCAGTTTTCTAAAATACTTGCATCTATGTTTTTAAGCTGAAATACTATTTTGAATTATAATAAGTTTTTTGCTTAGAACACTTCGACCTCTAGACTAGACATGAACTATAGTTTGTAAAGTACCCATTTAAACAATAGCAGATAGCTAGAAGTAATCATATATACCTAGTTTGATGGAAGCTAAAAAGAAACCCGTAACTAGTTTATTTGATATTATCGGGAGTCGTACATTACTTTTGACAGTTATCAAGTATGTATGTATGACCCGTACAGATTTGAGTTAACAGATAAACACAATTACTTCTAATTCAATGATGTACGACAATATTTCATGTACGAGGGCACCCAATATTTTATGGCTATTTGTCCAGCACTACTCGTAAAACCCAAATTGTTGAAGACATCAAAAGTTCGAAGTGTTAATAATTTTACATAAACTAAATATATAAATAAAAATAAAAACAAAAACAAACAGTTTTTTCTTTTAAAATTTTACATTAATAGCTTTACTAAGTTTTGAGACTTAAGTTACGACTGTGATATCGGATATACAATTGCTATAATTTCATAATTTGGCTATCATTTTAAAGTTGTCATATATAAATCAGAAGATATTTATTGTCTGGTTAATCATATAATTCTTAGATATATGTAAATATTTCTGTATTCTCATTAGAGCAGAACAACGCTGTAGGGTATTCAGGATGGTTAGCGGATAGATTCCTTCTCGACAATATGATCTATAGATAAAATACTGGAAAAACACTGCCAAAAATTTTTATTTTCTAGTACAACTCCTTGGCACAAGGTCTTTTTAAATTTTTTGTGTATTCTGCAAACTGTAGATCTTGCAAAAAGAATGAAGAATGAGCCACACATGTGCTGTTAGAACGCCATATGCTAATGCACATACAGAATAGCCTGTTGAAAATGTCTTATGTTGAGGTTTTTTCGAGTTAATGCAACTGGGCACTTTTATTCTTTCTTAGCTAAGGGATTTCTACGAAGTCCCTCCCTTCTCTTTGACTAATTTATGTACTCCTCACAAGTGTCGTTGATTATTCGATGACTGATCATAGATCTGTGTACCGCTCCGTACATTCCTGAAGATGTATATCCTTACTAAAGAGTCAATTTAACTCTGTAAAGTAGGTTCTATACAACTCTTTATTGAAGCAATAAGGCTTGGAAACTTACTCTACGCCCAGAAGGGAGCACAATAGACCCGACGGTCACAGTGCCATATCCCATATCATGATAATATGAAAACCGAATCTTTTTTTATTGTTATTTTCTAAGCCCAGAAGGGACCACAATAGACTTGACGGTCGTAGTGCCATATTCCATATCAATAATGATATGAAAATCGAATCTTTTTTTATTGTTGTTATTCTCATTCAATAAGGAATTTCTTGTCGTAGATATTATTTAATTAATCATGTAATAAGTTTTTATTTCACTATTTTAGCATAATTTTAGAAATATTAATGATTATTAATAAAGAAAAATTTTTGAACTATTCAGGCTTAATTTAATCTGATTTTTTTACATGAATTTCAAAAATATTTATAAAAATTTTTTTTTAATATTAAAAAGCTCTTTTAAAGCATGACAGATGTTGTATTTTGTAACGAAGTTTGTTTTTGGAGCCATTGATTAAAGTAAAAATATATTTCATATGTATATAAATTGTATTTATAAAAAAATGCTAGTATTGTTAAGATAGACAGAATAGATTTATTTAAAGAGTCTCCATGGAATAACGGGTACTTGAAAGAATTTCGAAATATTTTTATAGATGAGCAATGCAATAAAAATCAAGTAGGTTAAATGCTGTTATGATATTTGCTGTGAAAAAAAAAAAATTTCAAACAAGAATTCTTTTATTTTCCAAGCAACTACATTTTAATAGAAATTTGTGTTAAAAGAAAATTCAAAGAAAATTTATTTTTATTACTTTTTTAATGGCATATGTCACTTCTTTGGTTTGTTTTTGCGTTATTTGCTAGCGCAACAAAACAAATATAAATGAACAAAATATTTTTTTTAATCGAACTTGTTTGGTATGATTGTGCAGTGCGGTCAAACAGATTTACAGATTCTCTCAAATTCAAAGTCGACAGCGTGCTTGGTGGTGGACACACAACACAATAATAAAAACAGCTGCTATAGCAGAACTCGCCAATATCCGAACAAGTTGGCTTTGAAGCAACAATTTGTTGCCAACAACAGCAGTTGTGATTGAGTACTCAGACAAAGTGGTTGGGTTTGTTCGTTTTGTGTGGTACTTGGTGGTTGAGAAATTTTTGTTTTTATTTAATGTGAATTTACACTATAGAGAGTACTTAATTTTTATGAAATAATATTTTTTTTGATTTAATGAAAATCATAATTAAAATAGTGTTAAATAAAATTCTTGTTAAAGAGTGTCTTTTCTTAATAAAGTTAATTAACCCATTAATAAGTATATAATATTGTATGGTATTCGCGTGCGTTACACAACACTATTATACTTCGAACTCATACATGTAAAATATATGGAAACCCATTCTTTTGAGAATTCGTTTTAGTTTTATAAACAAAAAGTTTGCATTATCATCAAACACTTTGCGTTGTTTTGCTTTTTGTTGTCGTTGCCGCCGTGCCGGGCTGCTAAAGCATAATTCAGTCGAATTGGTTAAATAATTGTTTGCATTCATTGAAAAAGTGAAATTTTTAATTAAAAAACTAATTAACATAATTGTGAGTATTTTTTTTTTAAAGTTAAGTAATAAATTTTATATAAGTTAATTGTATTTTGATTTTGTTATTGTTTGTGCTATTTTCGGTCATTTTAACCTAATTTGAACATTTTTATCTATTGAGGTCGTTGACATGGCCGGTCTTAACTTGTTTAAATATTATTCAAAATACATATATTGACTAATTTCGATAATAAATGCAAAATATTAATTTATAAACAGTATTGTAAGTGAATATGTATATATGTGTATACAAAATGTATATGTGAATGTTTATATTTATAAATGAGGAATTTCGTTTAAAACGCGTACTAAAAGTACGAGAAGAATTAATTGGGTGCCCCATACAGGTTCATAAATACATATATGTAGGTATATATATATTAATATAATAATTATTTTGGATTCAATGTGAACTCAAATATCAAGTTTAAAAAAAAATTAATTAATTTAAAAAAAAATTTAAGAAAATTAATTTTGTTAGCAGATTTACATCTTAAATAACACAGATATATATATTACATATCTAATCATTGTGAGAAAAAATATGTAATGATAAAAAATGTTTAAAAAAAATACTCAATAATTAAGCTTTCAGCATTGTAATATTCATTTAGAAGTTATTGGTTTACAGCTGTCAGCGTTTTATTATAAATATCAGATCCCTTGATCGATCACTTCTAAAAGATTTCTTCTATTCGATTTAGAATGTTATACTTAAAATTCTACTTTTTTTTTTACAGTTATAATTAAGAGTTGAGAGTTGATCACAATGCTGTGAGTAATAAAAACCATATTTTTTCTTAATATACTTAGTTTAGGTAAAGACGTACTTGAGTTAAATTCTTCTGCGTAGTCCACTGCGTTATATAGAAACATATCATCATATATTATACAAGAAGCAACACCATCAAATTAGTTGAAGTACCCCAACCTTTAACTTCTAAGCCTGTTATACCAGGCGTTTCATATGCTAATGTCGTTAAATCTGACAAGCAACAAGCCCCTCCAGTTCAAAGTAATAGTTTGGAAATAATGATCTCCACTCACTCAGAGCTTAACTCAGTTCATGTCAATCATGCAAACTACTCTTAACGAGATAGTTAAAATGCAAAGCCAATTAATGCAAATGTTTTTGTCTAAATAATGAGTACTTTAAAAATTTGTACATGGAATGCAAATGGCTTAAGCCAACATAAACTTGAACTCACAAATTTCATGTCCCGAGAAAGTGTGGATGTAATGCTTTGCTAAGAAACACATCTAACAAACAAAAATTTCTTTTCTATTCCTTTTCTTTTCTTTTCTATTTCTAATTTTATTTTCTATTTATTCTATAAAACCAATCACCCAGATGGCAAAGCACATGGTGGTACAGGTATTTTGATAAGAAGGCGTCTAAAACACAATTTTCTAGGTACATATGCTCATAATTATATGCAAGCCACATCAATATGCCTTAAGCACATAGGAAAAAATTTAACTTTATCGGCAGTTTACTGCCCTCCTCGCTTCAACATTACTGAGACCCAATTTACGGATTACTTTTTAACTCTAGGTGAAAGATTTCTTGCGGCAGGAGACTACAACGCCAAGCACACGTATTGGGGTTCACGACTCTGTAATCCAAAAGGAAAACAGCTCTACAATTCAATTGTAAATAGAAAAAATGCACTAGACGTAATCTCTCCTGGGCAGCCAACATATTGGCCTGCTGATAAAAATAAAATACCAGACCTAATAGACTTCGCCGTAACCAAAGGCAAAGCCAAAAATTTTATCTCAACATACACTAGCTGACCATTCTTCTGACCATTCTCCAGTTACATTTTGCTTACTTGATGGTCCTCAGTTATATGACTGTTCCTATAGCCTTACAAGTCCTAGAACAAACTGGCTCAAATATAAAAAGTTTATTAACTCACACATACACACAAATTACAAGATAAAGTGTAAGTCTCATATTGAGGACGCAACCTCAGTTTTAAACTCAGTTCTGATTTCAGCAGCAGAAAACTCCACCCCTAAAGGCAATAAAATTTACAGATTCAATAGAGTACTTACAAATAGTGACATAGAGAATTTAGTTTTACAAAAACGTAGATTAAGGCGTGAATGGCAAAAATCTAGGTCCCCTTTAGCGTAAAACTTATTTAAGGAAGCCCAAAGGAGACTTAGATCTGCATTAAGCAAGGAAGTCAAAGTCAGACAATATAATTATATTCAAAACCTATGTCCAAATGGAAAAAACCATTCATCTTTGTGGAATGCTAGCAAAGGTATAAATTCGCCCATAGACTCCGATTCTCCAATAAGAAACTCTCTTGGAAACTGGGCGCGAAGTGATGAAGAAAAATCTAACGTTTTTGCTGATTACCTAAAAGAGGTGTTCCAACCAAATCCTGCAACAGGACAACATGACTTTCCCACTCAAGATCCACCAGCACCATCTATTGACATGAATATCACGGCCAATGATCTTGTTCAAATAATCACAAACAAGTTAGATTGCAAAAAAGCACCGGGATATGATAATATCTCACCCATCATGATAAAAAACTTACCCCTTTTGGCCATAAATTTTATTACAAGACTTTTTAATGGCATAATTAAATTTGGCTTTTATCCAACAGAGTGGAAAACATCCATGATTTTTATGATTCATAAATCAGGTAAAGACCCCACGATAGCCTCTTCATACAGGCCAATAAGCTTACTGCCATGCCTTTCTAAACTCTTTGAAAGAGCACTGCTTTTAAAGCTAAAACCGTTCCTTGACATTCAAAACTTAATACCGTCCCACCAGTTTGGTTTTAGGGAAAAACATGGAACTATTGAGCAAGTGAATCGTATAACGAATGAAATAAGACACGCATTTGAGCTCAGAGAATATTGTTCCGCGGTATTCCTCGATGTTAAACAAGCATTTGATAAAGTATGGCATAATGGACTCATATATAAGATACGCTGTTCATTACCTGCAAATGTCCACTCAGTTTTAGAATCGTATCTGCATAATAGAAGCTTTAAAGTGAAATGCAAATCATATACTTCTAATAATTTCCCAGTAGAAGCTGGCGTTCCATAAGGAAGTGTTCTTGGCCCTATATTGTATGTACTTTACACATCTGATATCCCGATAAGTAGTTCAGTTATCACCACAACGTTTGCCGATGATACGGCAATTTTATGCCGAAACAGAAACGCTGTGCTAGCTTCAAACCAACTTCAATCTCACTTATATCGGGTGGAGAAATGGTTGTCAAAATGGCGAATTAAAATTAACGAAGTAAAATGTAGACACGTCATTTTTACCTTAAATCGGAGTACATCTCCAACAATTTTACTAAACAACATTCCCATACCACAAGCAGATAATATAACGTACTTAGGTATCCACCTAGACAGACGACTAACTTGGCGCAAACATATTGAAGCCAAAAAAATTCAGATGAAGCTCCAAGCCTCTAAGTTGCATTGGCTCATTAATAGCAGATCTTCCCTGTGCCTAGAGTATAAAGTACTCTTGTATAACAGCATCATAAAACCAATATGGACTTATGGTATCCAGCTATTTGGCAATGCTAGTGCTTCAAATATTGAAATTATACAAAGAGCTCAGTCAAAAATACTAAGAATTATCACTGGTGCCCCATGGTATATTAGGAATGAAAGTATACACCGAGATCTACAAATTCCCCTAGTTAAAGCTGAATTTGACAATATAAGAAAAAAATACAATAAAAGGCTGACAGAGCATGTTAATCCCTTAGCAAGAAATCTCGCACTTCTATCCATTACTTCCCGCCTAAAAAGAGCTGACCGTCCAGCCGTTAATTAATATTCAACAGCTCAACAGCTGAAGTAAAAACCGCACCTTTCTTTTTAGTAATCTGTTAAAGTTGAACCACTTTCTTAAGAAACCACCTAACATTCACTCCAATGAAATTTAACCCATTAATCTAAGTGAGGTTCGTGATATAAGGTTTACTTATTTTATTTTATTTTATTTTATTTTATACAATGTATAGTTAAAATAAAAATTTGTAACATTATGTAATTAGTTATAAGATTTTACAACTTATTGTTAGTCTCATTTTAAGAGAAGATGCAATAAACAAATGTATGTTTAAATAAAAAAAAAAAAATATATATTATACAATATATCTAGGTTATCGTAATCTTTAATACTTTCTATGTTCGCGATAGTACGTATGATGATTATAAATTAGTTTTGTTAGTTACGCTGTTATTTCTCAAGTAACACGTTTAAATTCGATCGTGAATAGGACAGTATACAATCGACCAGCAAAAACTTGAGTCCACCATTTGAACAAAAAACTGTACTTAGTCTTTTTATTAACTTTTAATTAAGTTATCTATTGCCCATACTCCTACTCGATCGCAATATTCTAAACACCATAAATATTTATTTTGATAAAAAATACAACATTTATAGTAGATATTGTTAATATTTTACTTTCAAACAAAAAACTTTTGATAATATTTTATTTAATATAAATATGTTTTTTGTTGATGTTATTCTAGTATTGGTTAGTACTACAAAATTTTATCAGAAATTTATCAAAAATGTTATTATTTATTATTTATTATGAATATAAAATTTAAATAAATTATTATTTTTGGCGAATGATTTATCAACATGACTACAAGTTCTAATATAATGATTTATACATAATATTATCAGAGTGTACGAATTTTATATTATATATATTATATATATATATATAATGAAAAATTAATAAATTATATATCGGTTTATATTTTGCATATGCATTAAATATAACAATAGGTATGTTTATAAAACTAACAGACGTGATCAATAATAATAAAGATATTTTAAAAAAATTAGTTATGAAAACAGATCAGATTTAAGAATACTTTTTTAACTAAAATTGTAAGTAATATATATATAATATAATACATACAATATATTATAATATGTAATATATATAACATTATTATTATATGTAATAATATATATTATACTAGCTGACCCGGCGAACGTTGTTTCCCCTTGCAATTAATTTTCCTGGCGTTCGTTGCGTTGCTCTTGACTTTCATTAGCACGTGTAATTGTATCCTGGTTTCTTACATCTTCATTGTTTTCTGCCGATGTATTTAACCGACGGTTCTGGAGTAATTGTGAATTCCGAGTCCGTCGACCAATATTTCCTCCTCGTCCACGAAGACGTGGCATTGTTTTTTGTACGATATTTATATTTTTGAATTCGCTTGATTTACCAGGAATACCACCACATAACTTAAGATTAAAAATTGGCTCACCTATAATTATGCTGCGGAATTTAAATGCACTTAAGCTATGCAACGTCAGTTTTACCATTCATTTTAGAGATTTTAAAGTTTTTAAACAAATCAAAGTAAGCATGAATAAATTTTAAATTTTTAATATAAATGTATATGGATACCAAAAAATAAAAAATTGATTAAAAAGACATTATCCAGTGGGCCAAATTGTGAATCTAAACCTTCCTTGAATCCACTTGAACACACACAAAAAATTTCATCAAAATCGGTTCAGCCCTTTAGGAGGAGTTCACTGTCAACACACGTACAGAAGAATTATATATATAAGATAATATATTAATATAGACTCTAATATGATTTTCTTACGAACCTATTAAGTTAGAACAGCTATTTTAATGAAATAACATAAAACTAGAGCCACAACTAGAAACAACTTTATTATTTAAAATTCTAAAATAGTTTAGTATAATTTATTACATCTTTTGCATTGGTTGCAAGAGCATGGACTGTGACGAAATATAAAATAAATGTGCAAAGCTTTCAAATTAATCACCAAAAATCACCAAACAGTTGATAAACTCGAAAGAAAGATGCGTTAACTCTCTTCATAAGACCAAAGATAGTACACAGGATAAGCACTTGTTAGACCTAATTAGTACTTAGATACACCGTTAATAAATTGTTTTTGATTTCAAGGGTCAAAGGCAACGCTTTTAAACAATTCAAATAGTTCACTTAGGTCAAAAACAAAAATATTGAGGTGTTTCTCAGTCTAAATAGTTCTGAACTTAGACTCAGACACGCAGCTTAATAGGTTTGAGAGGCTGAAGCTCCACGATATCAATCGAAGGACTATTTGTTTACATATGTGTATTCATGATAAATGTATAATTACTGTTTGATTAGAAAAAAAAATGTTTTATAATTAAACTTAAAGCCTGTTTAGATTTATCACTGATTTCTAAATATAAGTTTAAAGGACGTTGACAATAGTAACCTACTGCTGAATTAAAAAATTAAACGTCCACCATATTATATGTTCGTTTTTCACAATTGTCATCAACGGGGTCTAGCAACTTCATTTAAGTTATTTTGAACCGAATAAGATCTGAAGGTTTTCGCATAGGTAGTGTTATACCATATTTCCTTGTCTATATTTAACTGAATAATTTAAAACATTAGTTATTCTTATTGTTGTTGAACAAATTTTTTCTTAATTTTATGTGTTTCATTTTATTTTTTTGTTTTAAATGTAGTGCAAGCGTTTCTAATAAAACGTGACATTATGAAAATATTTAGTATTTATCCTCTTACTCTCAGTCAGATTATATAAATTGATTTTTGTATGTGCATACAAATATTTTTATATACCGTATTCTTTTTTTTAAATATATAAAAAATATTTATTGATTGTTTTGTATTAGAGAAAGTTTAATAATTGCATTTTTATTGGCGCCATAAAGACGTATATGAGAACGTAAATTTTGGAACTCATTGAGACAATTAACATGATTTAATATGATTTATGTTATTCAATATGCCCGATCTTATCATTTATGTCTAAATATATAAAAATATATATTTCTTTTAGTACGTTTTGTCTAAAAAAGTTTATTGACATTGCAAATTAGAAAAATTGTTTACTTTAACATGAGACGAAGGCAGAGGCGTATAAATAAACTCACGTAAGGGGACTAATTGAAAATTCATATAAAAAGTTTTAATTGAAAAAACTCCATTATTTTAGAGATGGCTTGAGTCCCAAAACCTCTCGTGTATATGCTACTGTGAACATATAATATATGTTTATTTAAGTATAGAAATATTAAGATTTACTTCTAGACCACTTAAAATTTAAGTTGGTTATAAATTGCAAAAAAAAACAATGATATTTTTATGGGATTATGACGACATCGTCAAAAATTGAGTCTATTCAGCTAATCTTTTGTCCTCTTTATATATTTATTTGTTTAAGGAAAATCATTAAAGTTAGTTTAGGAAATGTTGTTTTAATTTAATGAGCTGTTGTTAAAATATACTAAATTTTAACAAGCTTTATTTGTTAAATTAAAATTCTTCATAGTTTTTCATTTTTCAATACCATTTAAACTATTCAAAAATAATTATTAATAATTCACTGAAATTCGACAATTTTGAGCTCCATTATTACGTACATCTTAATCTTATCCTTTAATTATTATGATGTTGCAAACATTGCAAAATTAGATTTCCATTTTTGGTATAATGAAAAAATACTATTCGAAATTAATTTTATATTATTTATAATATTAGTTGTATTTGAAATTGCCTGTGTCAAATTAATTTTGAAGATCATTTACTTCAGTAAGTAAGTTAGACATTAAAACTGGCTTCAAGCTTGAACAAATTAAATAAAATAATTAAATTTAATTGATATATTTAATTTGTCAAAACTGAATTAAAATTTGACTCTTACCTATTTAAAAAACCTGCATATGAAATAAAGATTGCAATAATAATAATCATACTAGCTGCAGTAGTGATTTATTTATCGTTCCCAGCGAACTTGGTATTTACTTTCATCAATACTTTTGTAAATATACATTACAGATATAAAAATAGAGGATAGTGCAAAGCCATATCTGATAACTAGAGGCGTACCGCCTCAAATATAATAGTGTTTAGCGAATATAAACCTTAAAAGGAGTATTAAAATTTACTGTTACTACTGGCTAGATATGTCTGTGACACCTTTTTGGGATACAATCCATTAATTAAAGAATAGATATTTAGAATGTAACTTTTATTGAGCAGCGCCATAAAACAGAAAAATTTATATCCACAGCAACAAAGTTAGTAAACATATCATCACAATTGGTTGGTTATTTGCAGTGAGAGGTCAACGGATATTCGTCAGCAGTTTATAATTAACGTTTATTCACCGTCTTACTATCACTATTGCAAAAAACTATATCGGAAGAAAAAAATAAGAACTAAATTCATTTCGTTGACTTCAGGTAAGTTAATCAATCTTTCTTCGTTACCGGTAAATACTCTGTTAAATTGTTGAAAAAGTACTATGATGATCTTATCTTTCTTTAGCAAATAATTTTAATTTTACTGATTTTAAATATTTTGACATTATAACTTATAATGTTATTAGTTATTTATATAATTTTATATTGGTTTGTGTAACTGATTCATTCAAAGATGATTCCTGTTTCACTTGAAGAATTTTGGTTTTATATTTCTTTAATAATCATAGATTTGTCAACAGACTCTTATGTTGATAATTAAAGGCACTTTTTCTTATAACATAGTCAATATGTCCTATTAGATAATTTGTGTACGCCTTATTTAGAGTGACACTAAAAAAAAGTGACCTAAAGCATATAGTAACTAGTCTTTCAAAAACTAATGTAATGTACTCGATTGTACTTCAAAATCTTTAGTTAAACATATAACCGGCACCCAGATTTCAGAACGAATTTTGATTAAACCAACCATTTTTTTGACTGTATGTCAATAGAATTTGATTCTTGATGTATTAGACTTGTAGGTTGTAAACATGTTGCATTTATTACATTAACTACCATTTGTTCTGAAATCGCGATGCCCGGATTTTAAATAGAAATCATGCCTTATCACTTATTAGGATAGATAACATTTCCAATGTATAAGTGTAACGATTTTGAAACTATTCATGAAAAGAACATAGAAAGACTAAGTTGTAGGAAAAAACATTCGTATATAGGTTTTGTCTACATTTGCGAAGGTCACTTACTGTTTTTGCTACTCAACTTCCTTGAAGTTTTTTAATTTTCGAATTTACTCTCAATCTTTCCAATTTTTTCTACTTTTATTGTAAAATAGTAAAAGAAAAATATTTATATATTATATGTTATTAAGAGTAGCTAGCGTTTCTTTGTACCAGTTTCATCGTATATTTGGGTTACAATGCAAGGTCAGTAGTATGCATGCTAAATGAGAGCGATTGATAAGCGGTAACATTATTATCAAATTTTTTATTTATTTAAAATTGTTTACATTATGTCTACTTTTAGTCATTGTGATTTTTGTTTTTTTGCTTAGTTGCAATAAAAACGTTCAATGCACGTTTATCAATTCATAAAATTCTCAGAGCATTTGCATTTGTTATCTATTTCAGTATTATTTCTATATGTTTGGAGATTACTCGCATTTTTATCGTCGTTATGGACAGTTCGAGTAAACCAGAAAGACAAAATCCTAGACGTAATGCCAACTTTTTCTCACATTTAATTTTTGCGTGGTCTATACCACTTCTCTATAAAGGCTCAAAAAATGGCCTCAATACAGATGATTTGACGCAATGTCTACCGGAAGATCGTTCAGAAGATTTGGGTGACAAATTAGAAAAGTGAGTATGGAATTTAGAGAAAAAAATTTTATATTATATATTATAATAATTGTTTTTTTTTTATTTCTTAGACAATGGTACAATGAAGTAGAAAGAGCGCGTCGAAAAACAAAGCAACCATTGTTGCGAAATGCAATCTTGCGAACTTTTTGGCCTTCTGCAATTGTTGATGGTTTGATTTCTTTAATTTACATTATTATTAAGTAAGTAACCAATATATCAAGTGTTTATAAGTGCAATAATCCAGTGTTATCTTTATTTTAAGATCTCTTATTCCAGCTGTATTGGCACAGTTGCTGCTACAATTTCAGAAAGCTGCGTCGTCTTCAAATGATATTGTTAACGCAACACTGATCGACACACATAATCGCAGTTTACGTTCGGTTGAGTTAAATTTCAATAAGGGTAATTCTTTGTTAAGATTTGTGCCAGATATCGATCAAAATGGTGAGTTTATGTCTACATTTTAGAATTCATAACAATTGCTTTTTGTAAAAACAGACAGCAAAGAACGTTATTTACTATAAGTATTAATTTCAATTTCAAATACCCAGAAGACAAGACAACAAGTTAATCTATAAAATAAATATAAGCAAATATAATTGTTTATTGATTTCATGTATTTCTATTCGTTGATGTGATATATTAAACTTTAATTTTTTTGAAATAAAATGATTGAATTAGTTGCTAGAAACCATATGCTACTCACATCACAGCCACCTATATATTAATTTTTATATAAAATTAGAATTTTTCCAACTAAGTAATTACCAATTAGTAGAAATAGGAACCCAAATAATTGGGGTTTCATAATGGAAGTGGAATTGAGAGAAGTTTTGCAAGTAGAATTGAGAGAAGTAAATTTAAATTTCAATTTTTGACTTTTAAAAGAAAATATTAAAGATAAGGTATGCCAAATGGTATGGTATAAATGGCATGTATATATATATAATTATATATATATAAATATATAATATATTAATATATAATATATATATATATATATATATATATAAAATAGATCTTTCTTGTATTTTTGGAAAGAATAGCGTAGTGGTGTGTATTCATTTTCAAAGGTAATAAACGAAGCTACCGACATTCATCCAATTTCGATTCCGCAATTGCGGATTCGATGAGTTAGCTAGCAGAAAATAGACAAACACAATGAATCTGACACATATCAAAGCAAGTTTGGTCAAAAATATGCCTTGAAAAAACAAGCACTTGTCGAAGTTTAGGAAAAAGTAGTGTAATCAGTGACGCCCGTTTTTACAGCTCATATTGTGATTAGTATGCATGCGATAAGTTCAGGTGTCACCAATAAAGAGTTTTGTAAAAACTCTCAAGTCAACGGCATGAAATAAACAGTCAAACACTTATTATGTCACTGTCCAAGTCTCTCTAGACAAGGCGTTAACTATTTGGAAGTTATTTACTTTGAGGAATTGGCAAATCTGGATATAGCTGACGCAACAAGAGAAGATAAGAAAATCTACTCCACGATATTATGACCTGCCATTAGTTTATGTGAGCCGCAATAACTTTTGTGGTAGGTTTGTCATTATTATAATAATAATTATTACAAACTGCGAGACTATACAGCTGTGTCCAATATTGTCAAGTACTTAATAATCAGTTGTCTTTGAAAATATTTGTTATAGTCAAATATTCGTGGTTAATTTTTTGGACTACAAGTGTACCAAGTGTTGAAGTTGTACGCAGTCAAATTTGAAATTCAAAGTCAGCTTTCACATATAGAGTCAGTAAACAATTATAAAATCAGATTATTGCAATTTGTAAAATATTTTTTATAAAATTATTGTATTAATAAGTACAAAATTTAAAAAATATAGAACTTTTCTTTCTATTTTCAGCACATACAAATTCTCTACTCGGAACTGACTCTAAACCTATCAGCTTAAATATAAGTGATAACCAAATGTCTGCCCCAGCATTAAATGACACTTCTAATGATTTCTTCCTATCGATTTGGACAGATGTCTACGCCCTTGGTGCTATATTGGTGCTGTCAACTTTACTGGGTTGCTTTTTAATACATCACGTGGACTTAAGACAGCGTCTTTTAGGAGCTCGTATGCGTATAGCCTGTTGTTCTTTAATTTATAGAAAAGTAAATTATTAAGATTATATGTTTAAGTTTTTTATAAGTACAATATATTTTCTATTTTCGCAGACACTTCACTTGTCCATGAAAACGGCAGGACAGACACCTGCTGGTTATCTTATAAATTTGCTCTCTAATGATGTTAACCGTTTGGATTATGGTTTTATATTTGTACACTGGATATGGATAATGCCACTACAGGCGGTGATTATTTGTTATTTGATTTGGTTGCGTATTGGTATAGCAGCTGTTGTTGGTGTTGTAGGCCTTTTAGTGAAAACTATACCAGTACAAACGGGACTAAGCAAATTGGCATCTAAATTACGTCTAAAAATTGCTGAACGTACCGATGCGCGAGTTGGTATTATGAACGAGCTGGTGCAAGGCATACAGGTTATAAAAATGTATGCCTGGGAGAAGCCATTTCAAGCTGTAGTTGCTGAAGCTAGAAGACGTGAAATAAAACAGATTCGTTATGCTTCCTTTTTGCGTGGTTTTTATTTAAGTACAATGGTGTTTACAGAGCGATCCACCTTATACATTACCATTGCAGCTGCAGTTCTAATGGGGAATATGATATCTGCTGATATTGTGTTTTCAGCTGCGGGCTACTATAACATTTTGCAACTTGTAGCGGCAATATGGTATCCATTAGCCGTATCTTTTGGCGCTGAAGCATTAGTTTCTTTAAGACGTATTCAAACATTTTTATTGTTAGAGGGGCATGATGAAAAGGCGCATGGTATTACACATAAGACGGATACATTTGAAAGTAGAGACTCTACCTCCGTTGTACTTAAACAAATTCACGCTAATTGGGACTCAGCAATGGCAAACACACAAGCAACGTTAAAAGATATTAATTTAAAAATTCAGAAAGGTCACTTATGTGCAGTTATTGGACCAGTAGGAGCTGGGAAGGTATATTTTTTAGTTGAATGTTAAATTAACAGTTCTAAAAGTAACCAAACTCTCTGTTTTCTCTATTAGAGTTCTTTACTTCAGTTGTTGCTCGGAGAATTACCTATAATTGATGGTAATGTGGTGTTACAAGGTGATATTTCGTATGCTTCTCAAGAACCTTGGCTTTTCACTGGTACTGTACGCAATAATATTTTATTTGGTGAGAGCTACGATCGTAAACGTTATAAAGAAGTGACTAAATGTTGCGCTCTATCAACTGATTTTCAACAACTGCACAACGGTGACAAAACTGTTGTTGGTGAACGAGGGGCTTCATTGTCTGGTGGTCAGAGAGCTCGTATAAGGTAGGTATAATCTGTGTAGTTATAACGTTTCTATAATTTATTTTATTTCATTGCTTTAATTTTGTTTTTTTTTTTTTTTAATTTCAGTTTAGCACGTGCTGTTTATAAGCCTGCCTCCATTTATTTGCTAGATGATCCATTGAGTGCTGTTGATGCTCATGTTGGTAGACATTTATTCGATGAGGTTATCGGGCCAAGAGGAAGATTAGCAAATGAAAAAGCTACACGCATTCTTGTAACACATCAAGTGCATTTCCTTACTGAAGCAGATTGGATTGTTATTATTGAAAATGGTCGCATCTCAAGACAAGGCACCTATAACGAGCTTGCAAGATGCAGTGATTTGGACTTTGCCAAATTACTAGAACGGCCTAAAAGTGAAAAAAATAGCGAAAGTGAAAATGAATCATTAAACGATCTGTCGATATATGAAGGAGACGATATACCTTATATAGACGGAGTTAATGATGGCTATCAACCATTGCGTAAAGTTAGTTCAAATGATGATTCCATAATGAAGAAATCGGTAATTAAATTTTATGGTCAATAATACTGAGGATATAAAAATTTGTTATTTATCATAATTATAGCTAAATTCTGAGCAAGATTTATCTATTGATGATGATAATGCAGAAGACCAAGCTAAAGGTGGAGTTTCGGCACATGTGTGGAAAGAATATTTTAGCGCCGGCAGTACATTAATCGGATTTAGTTTCATGGTGTTTATAATGCTTTTCTCTCAAATCGTATGCAGTGGTTCTGATTACTTTGTTAATATTTGGACTGAACAAGAGTATCTGCGTTCACAAAATCAAACTACAACATTAACTACAACAGAATGTTTATATATTTACGGTGCACTAATAGTTGGAGTTGTAATAGTATGGAAATTGAATTATATTTATATAATCGAATACGCTCAATTTTATATACATATATCCTAATTTCAGATGACTGTCTTCAGAGGTTATCTTTTCTTTAAAGTTTGCATGCATGCTTCGAAAGTATTACATGATCGTATGTTTGGTTGTATATTGCATGCTACAATGAGATTTTTCGACACAAATCCATCTGGTCGAATTTTAAATAGATTCTCTAAAGATATGGGTGCTATAGATGAGTATTTACCTAGGTCTATGATGGATTTCATACAAATCGCACTTGTTATGTTTGGTATATTAATTGTTATAGCAGTCGTTAATCCTATACTATTGATAGCAATGTCCGTTGTGGCTTTTGTTGACTGGTTTATAATGAAATTATACATTAGACCGTCACAAGACTTAAAACGATTGGAAGGAATTTGTAAGTAATACAATTAATTTCATTTTTTTCTGTTATAATATAAAAATATAACATAATGTAATAGACAAAGAGGTAAAAATGTATTCATTACTTTATAAGCAACAAAATAATATTACAATTTTAGAGATAATGAACAGAAATCAGATGGAGGCATGAGATTTTGTAAGCACTTATATGTTAATAATATATAGGTTATTTATTTAAGTGTTTCATTTTAGTAGATGAACTCCTATATATGTATTTATTGTTAAAGTTAATAATATAGTACCTATATAGTATAATATATTATAAAGTATATGCATGAATATCTCAGAATATTAAAATGCTAGTAATACAATCAGTTCTGTAAAATAAAGGTCTTCAACCATTATAGTATATATCCTTCAAAATTGTTGCCATTTTTAAACAAAATAAATAATATTTTTGGAGTATTTATTAACTAATTTAAAATAAATAATATTTTTGTTTACTATAGTTTTTTTTTTTGTTTATCAAAAGCCTATGAATAGAAATGGCCTAATATACTAAACAATCTTCTTATTTTATAATAATTCTAAAATTATTCCAAGTACTTAGTACTTAGACCGACTTTCACTTTAAAAAAAGTTTGAAAATGTATGTTTGACAATAACAGCATATTATATTATCATTCTGGACGTAGCCTTTAAGTTAATATCATATATAAAAATAATAGGGTGATGAGAGAATAGTACCATAGTTGCTGTCCGCACCGACCTGAAAAGTAAGGGCACAAAATGATGAGAAAACTTGTATAATGGAATGGGATTAGGAAAGTTAAGGGATTTTAAGTAGTAGCAGAGACAAGTTATATGTAGATATCCAGTACCAACCACAAAATTGACAAAGTTTGTTCAAAAAACGACCAATTTACAATCATTCATCTTACTAATTTATTGAACTATACTTTATTGGAAAAGTTTAACTTTTATATGTGATATATTGCTTTATTTATTATTTAAATGTATATTATTTACTTGTGAGCTTTACGGTCTCTTTATCTTTCTGCAGTGTCTCCCTTTATGTATATAATACTTGACTTTTAGTGTGAGTGTGATATGTTGTTGAACGTTGAACTGTGATTAAACAGTCTAATGTAAAAATATCAATGGACATTCATGTTGTATAGCATTAGACATTTTTGACGAAATTGTGTGTGTTGAGATAGATAGGGATGGGTAGCAATACAGTAACGGATTCCATCACTATATACAATATCAATGTAGATATTAACAACAGTGACAATATGAATATCAGTGTTAAATTAGTAGCCAGAATTAAGGCTATTCAATTAATATTGTTTATAATGAAATAATTTACTTAAAATAATTCTATAGTTTTCATAAAAAATTTGAAAAAAATAATTTAAATATAGATAATTACTTTCAAGGATATGTGAACTATTATTACTGCTTTATATTTTTTTAGGTCGCAGCCCAGTATTTTCGCATTTGTCAGCTTCATTATCCGGCATTGCTACTATCAGAGCACGCGAGTTACAAGATGTGGTAGCAAGAGAATTTGACAATTTACAAGATGTGCATAGCGCTGTATGGCAACTTACGATGGCTAGTAATACTGCTTTAGGACTTTGGTTGGACTGTGCTAGTTGTTGCTTCCTTACTTCTGTTACGTTTAGTTTTATAATGCTTAGTCAACGTGAGTAATATCAGCTATGTTAAAAATATATTTTCTACTATAAATATATGTATATAATAGATACATTTAGTGGAAATGTGGGGCTTGCTATATCACAGGCTATGATATTGACTGGTATGGTACAATATGGTGTTCGTCAAATCGCTGAATCCTTACAGCAAATGACTAGTGTTGAACGTGTACTGCAATATACTGATTTAGAGCAAGAATCTGATATAAAGAAAGAACCACCGAAAATATGGCCAACCCATGGACAACTAGAATTTAAGAATATGTCTTGCCGTTATGATCCAAATGCTGCAGCTGTTCTTAAAAATTTAAATATTTTAATTCAGCCTGGTTGGAAAGTAGGAATTGTAGGGCGTACAGGTGCAGGAAAATCATCCCTAATAGGTGCACTATTCAGATTAGCAAATATTGATGGCAACATTTTTATTGATGGCATAGAAACTGGTGAAATATCACTGGAATCACTGCGTTCTAAAATATCAATAATACCACAAGATCCGGTGCTGTTTTCTGCTACATTACGTTATAATTTGGATCCATTTGAAAAATATTCCGATGCTGATATATGGCGCGCACTAGAAGATGTGAGTTATCTATGAATGATACATTCTATATTATTAATATTGTATAATTATTTTATTTTTATTTTTAGGTTGAACTCAAAGGTGCTATAGCTGGATTAGAATATATGGTTACGGAGCGTGGTAGTAATTTCAGTGTTGGCCAGCGTCAACTCATTTGTCTTGCTCGAGCCGTTTTGCGTAATAATAAAATTTTAGTGTTAGATGAAGCAACCGCTAATGTAGATCCACAGTAAGTTAGCGATAATTCAATAAAAAAAGAAATGTTATTTATCTGTTTTATTTTATTTGAAATTTCAGAACTGATGCGTTAATACAGCGTACGATACGTGTAAAATTTAAAAATTGCACTGTATTAACAGTAGCACATCGTCTACATACCGTTATGGATTCGGATCGTATATTAGTTATGGATGCCGGATTAGCACGAGAATTTGACATTCCACATGTGCTATTAAAATCATCGAATAGCTTTTTACGCCATATGGTTGATGCAACAGGGAGCGAAGCAGATGCTCTAAAAAAAATTGCTAGTGAAACGTATCAAAAAAATAAATTGCTACTTACTCATAAATAGTATAGTTTGCATTTATAAACATTGTGGTGCTTTAGCGTACACAATACGTATTTAAAAATTGAAATTAATTTATTATTTAAGATTCATTATACCAAACTTTTAGATAAGTTTCTTAACAATTAGTTAATATTTTTATTGTATTTCTTAATTTTTGTTGTATTAAAAATACAACTGAATTTTGAATTTGTTATAAGTTTGAATATGTACTAGATATTCTGGTATTGCCAATTTGAAACAAAAATTAATGTTAGAAAGAAATCATCAAATTCCAAAAGCTCATTTTAATATTAATGTTACATCACAAAAATCACACTGTAAGATACTTCACAATAAAATAAATAATAATAAGAGGCACTGTAAGATGAAGGGATCACTAAGATACGATGCTTAAGCAGCTTTAGCTTATTGTAACTGGTTGATTGAGCTTTTAAACATTTGTTGTGTGAATTTGATAATACAGTATGTTAATAAGGTAGTCTTATCTACCTTATTCAATTGTTATCAATCAACAAATCTCTCAATTATTTATAATTTAATAAAAAAAGTTTTTTTTTTATTTTTTAATATAATTTTATAAAAAAAGTTTTTTTTTAATTTTTTAATATAATTTTATAAAAAGAAGTATACATGCATTATTTCTAATAAAAATTCGTTGTTTTTTCTAAATTAAATTACATTTTTAAACGGATATTGTACTTCATATATAAAAGATTCCAATCTACAGCAGCTATTTTATTACTTATTTTACTTAACATCTACTTAAAACTTAATCATCTTAATTATATAAGTAATTTGAATTTATTTGTACTTATAAGTGTGTCTGTACTTAGAACAGTTTATTTAATATATCGATATTATAAAAAATCATATAAAGTAATAGTTAACAAAATATAATAGGTCAAGGTCAAACATTCTAAATTTAACTTCTAACATAAATAATCAATCTCGCATATGCGTTGTTAACAATAATAAATATTTTTATATCACTTTTAAAATGACTTATAATTCTAACAGCAAAGTCAGCAATTATTGTCCTCAGCGCAATAAAGCTGCTATTGCACAAAAATTGTTGCTTTTGTTTGTTTTATTTGTTTTCATTATTTTTATCACTACTACTGCTACTAGTTGCAACCACCGAAGACAGATTAGTATCTTTTGAGAACTTTCGATGGAATGAACTTTTAAAACTTGAAGTGGGAGAGTTAACAGGCGTTGACGTCCATTTCTTTGTACTGCTTGCTACTTCCTTTTGACGTGGCATTATAGCTTTCTGCTGTGGTGTAATTGTTCCAACAATCGAAAGAAGAAAATTGGATTTAATAGAATCTTCTGTGGAGCTACTTGAAAGTTCAGCATGCTTTAGTAATTCTTTTGTTAAAAATTCTCGTAAATTTAAGGGGGGGTGCGATTTACCTAAATGTGATTTATACTGTTGATAACAAAAAAAAACATTACATTAGTATAATAATGATTCAATACTGTTTGCCATAACTTACATCTTTTTCAGTACTTGAGCTCACATTTGATGGAATTGAAGATAATGAACTACTATCCACAACAGTTTTTATGGCAGTTCGTTGTGCTACAGTAGTCACTTTTTTCATACTGTTAGGTGAGCCACAACTTAAAGTTGCTCTCTGTTTTTCAATTTTACGCTTGGATCTAGGCCAATCAATACCAACTTTGAGCAATTCTTTTTCTAATTGTCCAGAATAATCGGAATTGGACAATGCGTCTATACCGCTTTCATTATTTTGTAATGTTTCAATTTTTGCTTTAATTGTACTTATCTCAACATCAGCTCGTGCAAAATTTGTTCTTAAGATTTTGCGACGCTTTAATTCCTCTTCAATATTTATTGACTCAGAATCAGATTCGTTATTTGTCTTTTCTGTACGTTTAACAATGGCTGCTGATTTTGGCTGTTTGCTTATCGCAATTTCTTTCTCTGATATATTGTCTAAAGTTTCTGCATCTAATGGAAGCATATCATTAGCGTTTGAGAGTTTTTTCATATATTCCATAGCACTTTGAAATTTTTTGCCTTCCAAAGTTTCATTAGCTTTATGAAATACATTATACAATTGCGAACAATTTGGATCAAATGGGAGCAATTCATCTATTATTTCACCATCTTCTTCTTCCTCTTCAATATCTTCATATGATTTTTCTATCACGTATTTAAAGAAATCTTCCACATTTGCAAATTGTAAACCTTAAAAAGAAAATACATATAAAATTAATATGGCATAAATTAGAATTATAAATATCACAAAATGCACATTATCATTGTACCTTTTAATAATAATATGGCATAGAATCACATTTACATAGTTTATATATAAATAATATATACAGCCACAGTCAAAAGTTTTTACACAACGAAAGTTTTTGTACATATTGCATAAAAACATGTTTTTATTGTTGTTGTTGGACGTCAGTTGCAAAAAATTTTTTTGTTGTCACTTAGTTTTATCTATGCAGAACCAAATAAAAAAAGAATTGGAAAGATAACTGTTCATTTGACAAAAATATAAGCAAGTGCGCTGATGCTTATTAGTAGTCAAAAGTATTTACACACATTTTTTTTGCGTTAAGTAGATGTTAAGTAAAATAAGTAATAAAATATGTTTTGTATAAATACTTTTGACGCGAAAAAAATGTATGTAAATACTTTTGACTACTAATAAGCATCAGCGCAGTTGCTTATATTTTTGTCAAATGAACAGTTATCTTTCCAATTCTTTTTTTATTTGGTTCTGCATAAATAAATCTAAGTGACAACAAAAAAACTTTTTGCAACTGACGTCCAACAACAACAATAAAAGCATGTTTTTATGCAATATGTACAAAAACTTTCGTTGTGTAAATACTTTTGACTATGGCTGTATATATATATATTTATATATATATAGATAATATTAACATGAAAAGAATGATACAAAATAGAAAAATGAATAATTATGATTAAATTCAACTAACATTTAATTTGAAAAAAGTTTATGATATTATATTGGCATCAAAAAAAATTTCACCCATTTCAAACACAAAATATCTTTGAAATTATCTGGGCTGCTCCAAATTGTTAATCTATAATTTTTGAAAAAGTCACTTTTGCAGCTCAATAAGATTATCTTTTTGATATACATATATATATATATAGAAATATTTTAGTTTCTTGACAAATTTTCAGATAATGAGATAATGTGTTCTAAGAAAACACACAAATCACATATTAAGGCCGTGTGCGAGTTGGAATAAATTGAAATTTCCTAGGGATTTTTGGTATTGCACTTATGTAAATATATGTATATAATAAATATATAACTAATGTAAATATATATAATAAATATATAACTAATGTAAATATATATAATAAATATATAACTAATGTAAATATATATAATAAATATATAACTAATGTAAATATATATAATAAATATATAACTAATGTAAATATATATAATAAATATATAACTAATGTAAATATATATAATAAATATATAACTAATGTAAATATATATAATAAATATATAACTAATGTAAATATATATAATAAATATATAACTAATGTAAATATATATAATAAATATATAACTAATGTAAATATATATAATAAATATATAACTAATGTAAATATATATAATAAATATATAACTAATGTAAATATATATAATAAATATATAACTAATGTATATATTGCACTTATTTATTCTTCTTGGCTAAAAGTTTTCAAATTTATTTATTAAACATCTATTAAAATTTTCACAATGGTAACACCTAATTTTTATCTAATTTACCCTAACCGAAATTCTGGAAAATACCAACATTCGCTGCCATACCGACATAATTTACTATTTCCCTCAAGTTATCATCAATTTACCCGAACTCACACATGGCCTTAAAACAAAATGATTAAAATATAAAATAAATAAAATATTTACCGGCGCTTTTCCATTTTTCAGTTACATTAGTTATAAACTTATTATATTGTTCCCTTGCTTTTGATTCATCAAATAGTGACGTGTCGATATTCATGCATTTAACATAATCATCAAAATTTGCAAAATGTTTAGGTGAGGGAACTGTATCAGTTTTATCAACATCACCTATATTTGTAACATTGGTACGGGATGTCAAGGGAGTATCAATTTCCAAAATTGGCGTCAATTCATGTGGTGTTTGTTTATCTGGTAATTTTGGACTTTTACTTTTTAATGCAGGTGGTGGTGTTAATCTAGACTTACTTTTTGATGTGCGACCTTCTGTTTGATTTATTGGTTCTTGATCTGTACGAACCTCTAAGGATGTGTTTGGTCGCGACATAGCAATACCACTATCACGGCTTCCACTACTAGGTTTATGCTTTTCTAGTGGCTGAAATGTGGTTATTTGTGCTTCCGCAGTGGTACTGTCAATTGCTTTACTTTGAGTTTCTTCATCATTACTAACAGTATCGTTGACTGAGGAATGTGTATGAACTGATTCGTTTTGCGCACTCGACAGACTTTCAGAGCTAAGTGTATGTTCGAGTAAACGTTGTTTTTCTTTACGCACCTTATTTATTAGATCAGTTAATTCTGCTATTCGTTGCGTACAGTTTTCTGTGAGTGCAGCATATTTAGAAACATTTACTTCACCATTATTTATTTCAGTTTGTACAATTTTTATAGATTCAGTATTTGTAGCTGCGGTCTTATACTTAGAAATTTTAGTTTCATTCATTTTAGAGCTACTTTTCAATTCATTGCCTTTATTACCAGAAAATGTTTTAGGTTTAGAAATTTTTTCAGTTGTTAAGTTAATTTGAATATCTTCAATTTCATTAGCTGGATAAGATTTTTCTATTGCTTTTGCTATTTTAGCAGCTACAATTTTGATATCTTCTCTCATTTTTCTTTTATCGGATTGCTGTTGATCGTTGAATATATTTGTCCAAGAGTCTTTTATTTCTAGATTTATTGTTTCCTGTGTTGCGTTTTTTCGAGCATTTAATGTCTTTTCTACTTCTTTAATTAAGCTACGATTATCATTAATAAATTTTTGTACACGATTTAACTGTTGATTACTTTGACTGTCTGATGAATTATTTGTAGGTGTATTCAAAATAGATGAGTTAGGGGTTTGTATATCAGATGAACTAATCCCCAAAGCCATAACGGAGTCTCGCTTCATATTTAATAGTCGCTGTATGTATTGGGCAAGTAACGGATGAATTGGTTCAGATTTAGTTGCGGAAGTTTTACTCTGTGTTGGATTTTCCTGATCAAAAACGTCTTCATAACATTTTTGAAATGATGGTGGTAAGCTCTGGTATGACGTAGAAGAGGAATCATTATTAGTTTCATTAGCGGTATCATTTGTTTGTTTCTTTGGAGTCTTTCTCAATTTATTTCCTTGTGCTAGAGTCGATACCCTTCTTGGACTTTTTATATATTTTGGTTTGGTAAAAGTTTCAACATTACCCGGAGCTTCCTTCATTTTTATTAAAATCTCCAGAGGCTTTTTCTTAGACCTATCAACAATGTCGGCGCTATTAGTTTTTCCTAACTCTTTAGTGTTGAAACTTTCGATGAATTCACATAATTTTTGTATAACTTCATCGTTAGAATATTTGTAGACTGATTTTTTTTCATCTTTTGCCGTGAAATTTTTATATGTTTTACTATGATTTGATAATTTATTGTTTTTTACTCCTTCCTTGGATTTCAGACATTCAATGAACTCATACACTTTTTGTATCATTTCGTCCTTAGTGTACATTTGTTTCTCATTTTCCGAAATGTCACATTTTTTTTTATAATCCATTGCTTCTGGATCAGTTATATTTGTAGTTTTGTTATTTATTTCCTGTATTAGCGAGTTACGAAGCTCTTCGATCTGTTGCAATAAATATTTAAGCTTGCTTATTTTTGGATTATTTGGTTGTTGCAATGTTTCACAATTTTTTAGCTCATTTTCGATTTGTTTACCTTGATCAGTTACAAGGTCCAGTAATATAGAGCATTCGCTTGACTCCAAATCGTTCATGTTGTCACAAGGTTTTTCTGCTAAGTTTATTATATTACTATCAAGGCAAGGACGTTTTGCGTATTGCTCCTCTCTGCAATAATTTCTGTTTATGTTCACCTCTGGACATGTTATAATAGCGGGTTCTAATAACATATCTTCTATCTCCGCATTCATTCTACACTCTTTACGCTTTTTTATGTTGTTATATTGTTCAGTACCTATTAAGTCCGCCTTAAAATAAAAACAAAAATATTAAAACCTACATATATAATCCATACTAATAAACGTTGAAATTCTACACTTACATCAGTGGGTAGTAATGATCGACGACGTTGTTTGCTTATTTTATCTAATAGTTCAGTTAGTTCTTGGCAATCTCTACGCACTTGCTCTCGATCTAATGCTTTTCGTCCACGTTCGTCTGCTAATTGGCTCTTTTTGTTTAGCTCATGTCTTCTAGCTTCTTCCAATTTATTTTCAATTGTTGCTTCTTGCATAGCGTTACGTTCATGCATACCACGTGGAGTAGCCCTTACTGAAGACGTAGGTTGTGGATAATTCTTACTATATTTGTTGTTATAATCATAATATTGTACGTCTTGACTTTTATTCGTTGTGCAAGAACTAGTTGCTGTTGTTGTTGTAGTTGTGGTTTTGGCAGTATCTGTAGTTGAGGTTTTGGTAGTATCTGTAGTTGTAGTTTTGGTAGTATCTATATTATGACATTTTTGCGAGCACCGTTCAGGTGATTTATGTGGACACTTATGTGGCGATATTGATCTAGTCGCTGGTGTTGTGGTACCTTGAGAAAATTCCGGTTGCGTTTCAGTAGGAGTACTACTATATTTATTTACTAAATCAGTAATTTGTGTAAAAAATGGCTTTCGTGGTTTATTAACAGGTGGTGGAACTGTTATTGAAATTGATTCATTACTGTTACAGTGGAAATCAATAACGACTCTTTTTGACTTTGTTTTGCCTTTTTCTTCGTCACCACTTACTACACAGCTGAATTTTCGATTCGTCTCTGTGTGTTTATCATTTATTTCACATGGCGTTGAAACTTCCATTGTGCCACTATTTACAGGTTCTACATCTAAAACTACAGTAGGTGTTTTTTCCATTTTCTTTGAATTTTTTTTAATTTCTGTGCTTTTTCCTTCTTTAGTGTGTCTTTGTCTGGCAGAAGAATCAGTGTCTGAGTCGCTCTCTGCATTTGAGGTTGAACATATTGAACTTGCACATGAACAATCCATATCACCTTCTCTTTGCTCATCGCTATCATTTGTTTCATCCTGGTACCTATTTTCAGTTCTATTACTTCTTTTAGGTGTTTTAGATTTTTTTCCCTTATTTGAATTTTTTCTTTGCTCATCGCTATCACTTGCATCATCCTGGTACCTATTTTCAGCTTTTTTACTTTTTTTAGGTGTTTTAGATTTTGTTCTCTTATTTAAATTTCTTCTACGCTCATCACTATCATTTGTATTATCATGGGACCTATTTTGAGCTGTTTTACTTTTTTTAGGTGTTTTAGATTTAGTGCCCTTATTTAAATTTCTTCTATGGTCATCGCTATCATTTGAATCATCATTGGACCTATTTTCAGATGTTTTACTTTTTTTAGGTGTTTTAGATTTAGGGCCCTTATTTAAATTTCTTCTATGCTCATCGCTCTCATTTGTATCATCATGGGACCTATTTTCAGCTTTTTTACTTTTTTTAGGTGTTTTAGATTTAGTGACCTTATTTAGATTTCCAATTCGCTTATCATCATCGTTTGTGTCGTCATCGTCGCTTGTTTCTTTTTTATTGTCTTTCTTAGCCGCTTTAGATTTAGTGTCCTTATTTGAAGTTCCTTGGGTCCTCTTCGCCTTTTTCTGTGGTGATTTAGAAGTTTTTGTTTGCGTACTCGTACGCTTTGCATTATCCTTTGCCGCATCATTCGTTTTACTTAACTTTTTATTTTGTTTTATTTCATCTTTTTTACTTGCCACGCGAGATACCAGCTGTTTTTTGAATTGTTTTTGGGTTTCAGCACGTTCTTTCTCTCTTTTTGCTCTACTTTCGTTTTCTTCCTTTGCTGCCAGATGCGCAGCACCTATTTGGTTAACGGCGTTGCAATAATGGTAATGCTTATGAACCAACGCTTGATTACGCCACGAGTCCAATTCTTGAGCTTTAATATCATCTAAACTCTGTAATTGCTTACCCTTTTCAGTATTAAAATCTCCTCTTATTTTACGCGCTATATTACTGCACTCATCCCTTACCTATTTACACATATACTTTTAGAAACATATTTTAAAAATCTTGCATATTGCCGACTTACTTGCAAAAGTCGAATTTTACGTAGGTTGTCTTCTCTTTGTTTTTTCACATGTTCACGGTCATCTAGTATTGAAGGTTTTCTGTTAACACATTTTGATAAATTGCCATTCACAGTTATATTTACTGACATTTTAATATATCCCTAGACCTCCCCTTTCTCCTTGGAGCCAATTTAAACCATACGAAAAGGAACAGCAAAACTTAAATTAGTAACGACCACAACAAACAATAAATGCCAAGCGAAAATGACATTTATGAGAAGTGTTGCCATGCATTCAATTAAGTGTTGTATTTAGGTACTTTAGTTCTTCGATGGGTATATACATGTAGCACTAATAATTTTATACTCAATATTTAGAATATTTTATATTATTTCAGATATGACGAATTTTCATAACAGATAATTGCAGATAATTGTTGAATCATTCGATACTAAATAAAATAATATTATCATAAAAATCAATTAATAAAAAAAATTAAAAAAAAGCAATTACTAATAACTATAAACAATTTATTCACTAAGAAACCAATTAGGAACTTATTTGTATAATTTTAATAACATACAATAAGGTTAGAATTATAATTGTGAATTGAACTCAATATAAATTAAATCAAACTGAGATTTATCAAAATCAATATTTTTACATGTGTGTTCTTTTAAATAATATTTATATTTGTTAATTGGAGATGTCTCTGTGAAAATGTCTCTAATAACATAATTGTTATTCAATATATTTATATATTAGTTGTTGACGAATTCGCTGCAGTAGTGACATAATTTGTACACTGTGAATTAGTGTTGAAAAGTGCAAAAAAAGAAAAGAGTTTTATTACTATTATTTTTGTTCAAATTGGTTTATTCTTAAATTTCTACATCAAATTAAAGTTTTCTTATTGTCGCTGTTAAGTATTAATGATTCAATAAACTTTAAATTTATTATATATAACGAAAATTTTCAAATAAGTTTTAGAAAATGGTACTAGCAACACTTCTTAGGTCGACATCGGCTTTTCGGGCTGTGACGAAAATGCATGTTATGCAGAGTGTTACATCAGTTTGTCAATTTTGTATTTTTACTATTACTTTTGTATTTTTTGGTTGTGCCTAAATTTTAAAGGAAATATACAAATATGCAGCATACAACATGGTTTTGACTCGTGATGAGGTACTGATAGTCTTAACTCTCATGACCAAATTTAAACCGATATTTTTTTCTCTCACTCTGTTTTTTAATTTGCATTGAAAGCAACAACAATTTTGATTTTGATGTGTCTTGACACTCTACATAACAGGGGCCTTAATGAATTTATGTTTCATTTTTGAATGAACTATTTGGGTTATGCCATTTATTTAAGAATAATAAGTTTATTAAATTTTTTAAATGATCAAATTAACTAATCAAGTTAGTTATTATAAATTATATACCAAATTTTTATTATTTCATTGACTGTATATTAGGTAATCAACAATAAATACAGTTTGGAAACTTCAAATTGCTTATTTTTATTTACTAAAAAAAATTGTATTTTTGTTTGCATACATAATCATACACTATATATAGATAAGATGTTTATCAATGTAATTAGATTCTCAAAGTTATTACATTGATTCTGGTTTTTTTTTATCGATCTTAAATATATTTCATATATATGAATTATCCAATTTATTACAAATTAGGGTTCGTGGATATAACAGCTTTAAAGAGACGATTGTTTAGCAAAGGTCTCCACACCTTGCTAATGAACAGAAACACTAATAATTAACAATGATAATAAAACTTAATTCAAATTTTCTTAAGAGTAAAATCAGAAACGTTTTCTTCAATCAAACTAAAAATATTTGAAATTGAATTTTACTTTTCAATTTCAGTAAACCCATAGCCTACTGGCGTTGTCACAATTGTATACTGTCACAGTAGAAAAAGCAAACGAGAGAAGTTGTTATTTATCATTTACTTGGAAGTTAGAGCAATTACAAATTTACGACAATAAATCAGTTAAAGAATAAAATTTAAATAATTATGTAGTAAAATATATAGTAAATATTTTGAAATAAAATCAAAAGCACATTCTACTTGATATTTACAAAATCGATAATAAATATCTCGTACAATGAATGTTGTATTTCATTTTAATGTAAATATAATTTAAACAACACAAATTGTTGTGGTCCAAAATAACTTGTCGTCATTAAATTTACAAATTTAAACAAACGAAGGAAAGGCGATTGCATCACTGTGTGGATTGGAGGGCCGCAGACATAAATATGTATATTCATAAGTTGTTTTCGACAAAAACAAAAATGCAGTTATAATGTTAAATTCAGTTTTATTAATTTATCAATTTAAATTCGTTTATTTGGAACGTCATAAAAATAAAATAATATGGTTTTACCAGTACACGAAAAGAAAATTTGCGTAATTGTAGTAGATTAAAAACAAACATTAGCCAACGTTGTTTGAATAACCCTCGTCTAGATTGCTGTCACGATAAACATAAATATTTTCTTTCTACCTAATAAAAGAAGAATATAATAGAAATAAAGTTAGAGAAGTATTGTTAATAACTGGGCTTAAAGTTATCAAACATTATTGCCATTTTGCCGACTCGTCAGATCTATAATTTTTCATATTATTTACTGCCAATATCATAACGAATATTCAGTGAATATTAATCAAACAATAATGTATTTCACAAGAGCCAATAGCAGTTCTATTGTTATAGAATATAAATAAATAATAAGTTTTTTCTAAAAATGGTCAAATTATTTGCAAAGCTTAGCTTTAACAAAGCTGTAGGATATGCTGATAATACAATAGAAATTAATAATCTATATAATATTTAATTAAATTATATTAGTAGTTGTAGTTCTTTGTATTAATTTCACAGATTAAAACTACATAATAATTTTACAAAATCAGTACAATAGTATTTAATAATAATTAATTATAATTTCATATATAATTAATTTACTGATTACTCTAAAAAAGTTGATTTAATTTTTACGCAAGTGTGAAAGCGCCCATTAAAAGCGTACTATTTATGCCTTCACACATTTTTCGTTCAACAACCACACTGTTAGCAGAAAAAGCCGTTTACGGCCGCAAGTAAAACAGTTTTTTAAAATTACTTAATATTTAATTTATTTTTGAATATTTCGCTAAATATATTAATATTGCATATATTTTGTGCTTATAATTAAGTATCACAGTTAAAAAAATATTGATAATCACAGAAAAATGAATAATACGGCAATTGTCAATTACCACGGCCGCCAAATATTCTCTTGCGGGATAGTCTCTACCTGAGGCGACTTTGTTGATTTGGTACTTTCACAATCGTCACTATAATAACCTGAAGAGGCAGGACTTAATGCTGCTTGAGGTAAGTTCATTATTGGTAATTGATTTCGGTAATAGCTTCTTTGCTGCTGTTGTTGAATTTTTTGCTGTTTTACTTGCAAACGATTATAAACACGTCCCAAATGAGTCATAATTGTTTTGCCCATTTCAATATTGACTCCTGGTATTGAGGCAAGCATTCGTGATACTTCTTCTACTGCATTCATATAACCATGACGAAAATTATGCATTATATCTGCTGCTGCTGTGCGTTGTTGCTTATTTTTTTTTGCACTTTGCTGCTGGCGCATGTAAGCAATTGTCGTTTCGAGCATTACAATTTTGTCCATACGCAGAACATTGTCATTATCGCTGCATTCTGCAATTAGTTGTCTCAACGTACTTAAGCAATTTGTAACACGCGCACGACGGTGACGTTCCAACATTGGTTTCTTGGTCCTTTGGTATTGTTGCTTTTTAGCCATATTCTCAATCTTACGAAATTTATACACGTACATTTTGTTTATAGTTGTATTTTATTTACTAAACGAACTGTTTTCTCCATAAAAGTACTAACGGATCTGTTGTTTATATCGTGCACTGCACTTCCTTTTATAGTAAATATTTGAAAGTTAACCACTAACTACTGCTCAGAGCGCATGTCCTTTAACTGCTAACGTTATCTTCTAACGTTATTTAAGGGTGGTTTATTGAAAAAAATATTAATTTCTCTTTTAATACTAAATTTTTATCCTGAACACAGCTGAATACAGCTGCATTATTCATTGCTCAAACAGTACAATAAGAGTACAATAAGCTAAATGTGCTTTGCTAAAAGGACCTTATGGCTCGTGGCCGTGGGAACTGAGTTAAAACTGAATTTCTCACACATTTTATGTGCCTATAATTGCCCACATGCTTCTGTTAAAAGGATCAAAAATTTTGCAGCTGCCGTTTTTTACCGCTGTAAAAAATGTATGCAGTTCAGCATTATCCTTGTTGCGCATATCCTTGCGCTTTTACGTGCTGCTCTCTGCTCCGTTGAGACAATATTTATTGTGTTAATCTGATTGTTGGCGCACTTAAGATGTTTGCGTTCCGTTCTTACTTGCTTGTTATATGATGCATTCTATTGTAGCTCCCACACAATGTATTAATAAAGTTAATATAATGTCAGGATGTGAGTTTTTTTTCTCCAGCTTTTGTGTAATCCTTATTGAAATGACATTTGTTGCTTATACTTAAACTGTGGGAAAATAATTTCACAACAATATTTTGTTGATTTTTTTTCTGTTTTATTTTCCTTTTCATGGGTCGTGCCATTGTACGACTAGTGAAGTAAATTTAAAAGCGTGAGATGCGTGTGTTCATGTTGTATGATGTCCTTATGTCTTATAAGGGTATTAATGAATAAACTGAGTATTAATTAATAAATTATGCCATATACTTATTAACAAATTTAGGGAAAAGTTGAATGAAATTTTATTAAAGTTATTTACTATTAATTAAATTTATAATATTAACTGAGTTTCTGTAACAACAACAAATTAAGGATCTTTAGAGTTATATGCTATGTGTTTATTTGTTTTTTAACTTGAGGTCATGTAGTGAGAAGTATTCTTCCAATTGGTACTTTATTTTCTATTATTCTATTTTCTATTAATTTCTATTAATTACAAAAAAATCATAAACGCCAATCAACAATTAAAAATTATTCAGTCATAAATCTTTTTTTATTGTTTGTTATAGTTTATTATAATTATTATATTTATATTGTATATTTTGTTATGTATATTTATATTATATTATGTTTATTATTATTATTTTTATTATTGTTATTTAATAATAATAATCTTCTTTTTATGTTGTCATTGTATCATTGTTAAAGTTGTTGTAGTCAACCAGTTTAAAGCCTAAAGTGTCCTGAATGGTTTAAAGCCTGAATGGTTTTGACGAATGAACAAATTCACCTTTGGATCTTCGTTATGATATACAAATTGGGTCACAATGCAAACTTGGTTTCTAATGCATTTGGAGAAGAAACTGGTGTTACATATTGCATATGTCTTCGTAGCTTCTACTAATTGTTAAACATATTACATAGCAAGAAATTAAGCATAGCATAGCAATTTAAACAAATAACGTAATGACTTTTAAATAAATAAATAACCGCCACAAAAGGTTAGATCTGATAATGTTCCGCAATTAATAATATTATTGAAGACACATAGTTTTAGACCATGTGCGAGTTCGAGTAAATTGAGGAAAGTAAATTGAAATTTCCTACGGATTTTGCATTGCACTTATATACACTTATTTATTGCACTAATTTATTTTTCTCCTAAAAGTTTTCAAATTTATTTATTTATTAAACATCTTATAAAATTTTCACCATGGTAATATCTAATATCTTATGTATCTTTCTGCTAAAAGTTTTAAAATTTATTTATTTATTAAACATTTTATAAAATTTTCATCATGGTAATATCTAATATCTAATTTACCTAATTTTTACCTAATTTACCCTACTCGAAATTTTTTTTATTATTTTTTAAATATTATTAAATAATTGAATTTTGCAATTTACTTTAATGTGTAAGGACGGAATTTTGTACAAATTCCGCCCTACATAAAACTCATTGTTTTTTATTATTTTATCATCTGGATATAACTCGATTTATATATTTAAACAAATAAACAAAGCCAACCGCGAACATACGCACAAACGACACGCAAAACAAAGCCAACCGCGAACACACGCACACACGACAAGCAAAACAAAGCCAACCGCGAACATACGCACACACGACAAGCATAACAAAGCTGACAGCGAATTATACTTGTGCGGTTGTGCGTGCAATTAAGCAAAGCAAAGTGTCGTATATAAATAGCGGAGATTTTATATGAAAGATCACTTAGCACCGGCACACCGAAGTGAGTAGATCACTACTCCAGCGCTAAGTCCCTTTTTAGAAGCCCATGGTGTTTCGACGCTAAGGCTTAATAAATCAGTAGAAGGTATTGTATAGATTTTATAAACGCCTTTGATGTTTTGACGTCTTTGGCTAGAAACTAATTACGTAGATTTGGAAAAAACCCTTTGATGTTCTGACGTCTTTGGGTAAAAATTATTGAATAGGTTTTATAAACGCCTTTGATGTTTTGACGTCTTTGGCTAGAAACTAATTACGTAGATTTGGAAAAAACCCTTTGATGTTCTGACGTCTTTGGATAAAACTTACTGAGTAGAATCAAGACTAGAATAAGTTATTTAAGAAAACTTTAAATAAATTTGAAATAATAAAAACAAACGGTCTTTTACTTTCCACTCATTGGTTTACCAGCTTCGAACTAGTCAATAAAACAAATTTATTGCAACGACCCGGACCGCGACTGAGTAATACCTCAGCAGAATTAAAACGACGAATCCGTGTCGTTACAATTGGCGCCCGAGCAGGGACTAGTGTTCGATAGTATTCCAAGTGGGAAGAAAAGAATTACCAGGGACCTGATTGGTCAAATCACAGTGGTCAAGGCTCGAATGGAAATTTAAGATCCAGAGGATAAAATATTAACAAATATCACAACAAGGAACAATGTCGGTGGGATCAAGAGGAATACCAGGAACATATGGAAGTTCAATAAATCCTCCAGTGCGCTCCTACCTTCAGATGGTTGAAGAGGTACAGAAGTGGTCCTGTAAATATGACGGTGGTAAGGATCCACTAGGTTTCATCGATCACATAGAGGAACTGGCGGCTATGTACAATATCGATGTAAATCTAATTCCCAAGATGATGCCAATACTCTTTGAAGACAAAGCATTAAGATGGTACCGCAATAACCATAAACCTTGGCTCCTCTGGTCAGGCTTCAAGGAAGATTTCTTAAAATTTTTCATATCGTGTAGATATTTCGAAAAATTAGACAATGAGGTACGAACACGATTACAAAAGACAAACGAAAGTTTCAAGGATTACTCACTTGATATTATAAATCTAATGCGACACACTGGCATGGATCCAGATTCGCAATTGGAGCGGGTGTATCGAAACATGAAGGCAGACTACCGGATGTACATTAAACGTTCAGAGTTTACAAGCCTAAATGAATTAACAACACTTGCCGATGACTTCGAAGAACTAAGCACAGAACAGGATAAAGTGAGCCGTCATCGTGGTCGAGAAGTGAAAGTAGGACGCATGGTAGTCGAGTCCCCTCAAGTAATGGTGCTACAAAATACAATGAGAAGCATACCCAATATGCCTGAACGGGATAACGCTATTCATAGTCCAAACTCTGAGTCACCCATTCCTCATCAGAAACCAAGTAATCAGCCTCAGAACCAATCAATCGCTAAGCAAGCAACAGCATTTATAACTAGAAATGTGACTTCAGCATCACTACCAAAGTCAAGCATAACGACACAACGCGTACAATCTCGAGATTATTCAAAAGCCCAGGGAATAAACCAGCAAGAAAATCCACAAGAGAAGACACCATGTAGGTGCTTAGTACCACCGCGTCAGCGAAATTTAAAACTCATCACAGAGTCGAAAAGTCAGAGTGCAGCAGTACCGCGTCAGCGAAGTTTAAAACTCATCACAGAGTCGAAAAGTCAGAGTCCAAATGTTCAACGTCAGCGAAATTTAAAACTCATCACAGAGTCGAAAAGTCAGAGTCCAGAAGTACCGCGTCAGCGAAGTTTAAAACTCAACACAGAGTCGAAAAGTCAGAGTCCAGAAGTACCGCGTCAGCGAAGTTTAAAACTCATCACAGAGTCGAAAAGTCAGAGTCCAGATGTACCACGTCTGCGAAATTCAAAACTCATCACAGAGTCGAAAAGTCAGAGTCCAGATGTACCGCGTCTGCGAAGTTTAAAACTCATCACAGAGTCGAAAAGTCAGAGTCCAGATGTACCGCGTCATCAAAGTTTAAAACTCATCACAGAGTCGAAAAGTCAGAGTCCAGACGTACCACGTCTGCGAAATTCAAAACTCATCACAGAGTCGAAAAGTCAGAGTCCAGATGTACCGCGTCAGCGAAGTTTAAAACTCATCACAGAGTCGAAAAGTCAGAGTCCAGATGTACCGCATCAGCGAAGTTTAAAACTCATCACAGAGTCGAAAAGTCAGAGTCCAGATGTACC